GCTCGGAAATTTGGAAGCTGGAACATACACTGTAGTGTAAATGAGAATATAGAATTCTAATCGTAACAAGTGGTGGATAGAAATAATGTTTATATAAAGATGGCAGGACAATCAACTTGTTTAAATATCTTCCAAACAGCATTGGTACCCAGAATTCTTTCATGATCTTCTAGCAAACTCAACAGTGAGTGGTCAATTCTGGCACACCCCTTTTTGTATGGTCTCAAGGTCACACACGTATGTCTCTTCACTTTGTGAGTATATTTAAGACAAAGATACCATCTTCCGATGCTATAATAAAGTTTTTTGGTATTTTCTTTTGCATAAAGGTTTTACAGGGAGGCATAGATGGGTTTTAACCCTTAAGTGGTTAGGCTGAAGAAAATTATACCAAAGGTTAGGGGAAGATATCATTGGAAAGGTTTTTCGATTCCCCAATATATTGAACCATTATAATGAAGAAATTTATATTCTAAGAACATATGGCTTGATTGTATCAAGTCAAAACTATTGAAAATTTTAACAAGCTCTACTTTTCCTCCTAGAGAGGTTATAGTCACAAAATTTTGGGTCAAAAGACCAATTATGAAGAAGATTACTATGAAGAAGTTATCAAAAATCCTCAGGGGGCAGATCCACTAACCGTTTAAGGGTTAAAATATGTGATGGATGCAGGATATAAATGTATGAAACTAAGACCATTTTCTCATGACAATTAAAGAGTGAATCAGATATAGTGAGAAGGCCTAACAAAAAATTGTTTCAATTTTAGAATATTTCTGGCTCATGTCATTCCTTGTCATGTCTATTTTCTGAAAATCCCCAAAGTGCACACTTTATTTCAGGTAAACTTAAGATTTTTACAATAATGTGTTATTTTTCTATAAGAATGGTAACCATTCTTATTATTTGGGAGAATTTAAACATTTTTCACCTATTTCTGCACTTTGAATCCATGATGACTTTACCAATTTATAATATATCGTGAATCTTTTTGGAGATATTGTAATTGAGATTGTAAGGAATAGATTGGTGGGTCAATCGTACATGTTGCTTGTAATTTTGTCACCCCTATATATCTGATTCTGCCTTTAAGTACTTCACTCCACACTGTGAGAGCTTATGAGAACGTTACAGATGACTTAGGCAAACTGTCAACATTTTGTTCATTTTGCTATCTATTTTATTCTGAAGTTTATAATGTATTAATAATAGAGAAACAACATGGAATATTGGAAGTGGTATTTTAAGGATGGTATTTTTTCTGTGATTTGACAAAGGTATCTGATGGCTAGACTACTTCAGCATTACGGTAAAATAAAACACATGTAGGTGTTATTGTCTGATTGTACATGTATGTCTGTGCAAATTGTATTATGATACTACATTGCCTAAAAAATAATATACAGAAACTTATTTGCATGTCCTGTTATATTTTTATCGTACCTAACAAGAGGTACTATATTGAAGTCAGTTTGACAGGCGGCGGGCGGGCGGGCGGCGTCTCACTTTTCAGCTTGTCTACAGGTTTCCAGCCAAACCATTTGAGGGATTCATCTGAAATTTTCAGGGATGTTTCTACATATCAACGTCAAGAACTGATTAGTTTTTGGGCATTCTGGGTAAATTTTAAGGTGGCCATTTTGGATTTTCCGTCCTAAAATCTTTTCTTTCAAGACTTGTCTACAGGTTTCCAGCCAAACCATTTGAGGGATTCATCTGAAATTTTCAGGGATGTTTCTACATATCAACGTCAAGAACTGATTAGTTTTTGGGCATTCTGGGTTAATTTAAAGGTGGCCATTTTGGATTTTCCGTCCTAAAATCTTCACTTTCAAGACTTGTCTACAGGTTTTCAGCCAAACCATTTGAGGGATTCATCTGAAATTTTCAGGGATGTTTCTACATATCAACGTCAAGAACTGATTAGTTTTTGGGCATTCTGGGTAAATTTTAAGGTGGCCATTTTGGATTTTCCGCCCTAAAATCTTTACTTTCAAGACTTGTCTACAGGTTTCCAGCCAAACCGTTCAAATTTTTACATATGTTACACAGTGATAAGTTCTAGAACTGATTAACTTTTATGCGGCCATCTTGCTTTCTTGGTCAACAAGACCACAATTCTGTGTTTTAGGTACGATATTGTTCACGTCTGTGCCTTGTTTATCAATATGATAGTTTGAATATACATTTGGTACTTTTTCAAAGATGGCGGACAGCGGACAGTTATTGTCGATTTTGATATTTTTAAATTTCATCGAATTAAACTACTTTATAGTTGACGTAATACTTTGATATTTGAACCAAAACAGGTAGGACATAGAAACTCTGGAGTATGATCATTTGTTCAATGCTCATATACCATGCACAGGCACCACAGTTCAACGATATCTTCCACCGCTTAAGGGAAGGTAACTGGGATTTGGGTTTTACATATGATAGGATAACTGATATGCAGTGATGCGATAAGGTTATGAGAGTTTATAATGTGGGGTTAAGTTATCCAGTAACCACACAATATTGACATAACATTACTGATACATTTCCAGTAACCTTCCCTGAAGTGGTGGAAGATATCATTGAACTGCGCTCAGCGCTCAGGCATGTTATATGAACAAATTATCATACTCCAGAGTTCTCATGTCATATAAGCCTGGTTTAGATTAAATATGAGAGCATTATGTCAACTATAAATTAGTTTAATTCGATGAAAGTTGGTGAGTTAACCTTACTGGATGATCTTTCAAATGGTATATCACGCTAGATACCATCCATTATGGTTTTAGCTGTAGTAGTGAATGGGACCTATTTGACACCCCGTTTTAGGTGAAAGATTGCTGGAATTATTCAGATGCGAGTAAGTAGTTACCAGTTTCACCACCAGGTGCCTCGTTCGGGTCAGATAGCATGGTGGGTATAGTAGAAAGTTCCCTTTAACTAAATAACATCTGTTTAGGAGTTAAATTTTCATATCACCCTTTTGTATCTTATAGTTATGCAAATTAAAACATGTCGAGTAAAAGAAAATCTTATCTGTCCAATATAAAAAAAGATATTTCACTTTTTGTGATTTTATAAAATGGGGTCTATGGGGAATCTCCCCGAACTAGAAGTCACATTTTCAAAAAAAATTAAATTTTCAAAGTTGATATACAATTTTCAAGATGTACTTTTACATGTAGTGACAACACTTTGAATGAATTTTGAATATTTATGACTTAAATCAAGATCATTTCTACTCGCATCTAGTCTATTACATAAGCAAGCGTTCAAACCTCAGGTTGCCAAGATCCAATCTTTTGGGGTTAATATCTTACTACTTATCTACTTTTCTGAATTAGATTGCTTCAAATGATGTGGGTTTGAATCGTGAAACATCTTCGGAATGTCAATTTTTATGATAAAATAAAATAACCTATTTGAGGGCCACTGGTTTCGTTAATACAAAAACAGGAGATGAAATACTTGGTTACAGTATTCTTTATTTACAATCAAACAATGCATGATCAGATTATATCCTATATACAAATGCATTTCCTAAGGCCCTCAAAATAATAAATACCATATACACATAGCACCATTCCTAACTATGAAATGATTATTTTGGAGAAATGAATACAAAGTTGCAATGAATCAATATAATTCATTCCTTCAAGATTTATAGTTCATTCGTTCAAGCTATGGGGCTTGAAAAAACAATTTTCTATCTGGGGTTCTCAAAGTTCTGCATCAAGTGCTCATATTATCGGCACATAATGTTCTACATGCTCAGTCTGCAAAGGGTATTGATTAATGGAGTGTTACTTGAGAAATATTATCTAAGTACATGTTATCCAATCAAACAAAACGTGTCGAACAGTCCACTTTTGGCATGCATCGCCAAGTAAACAAGTATAAACCATCAATTATAATTCATTTTACTTAATCTTTAAGCTCTCTGTTTAATCAAAACAGAACCTGAAATTGTTTCATTTCACAACTCTAGAAGTCCTAAGTTGTATAATTTGTTTTCCAACTCGCTTTTATTACAATCAAGATTATTTGAAAACTTCAACATACAGGTTCTCCCAGTTTCCCCCACTTGATAATATAAACCTACATATTATTTATGTTCCATTAATAACTACTTTCTACCCTGACATTCCATACCATGCAGAATCTACCATACAGCATGCAATTTTATAAATAAATAGTATGAGTACATGTAATATAAAAGTAAAGTCTTAAAACGACCAACTGATTGTACAATCATATTCTGAAATAACTAGGCTTATTAAGTTATTAGGCTTCTAAAAACTTCTACAAAATTTTAATTCTAATCTCAGATAAGCCATACGCCAATGAATGTGTTTTCACAATATATATTTTCCCATATTCAACGATGCAGTTACATTCCCATTATACATATCCAATATCTGTGTGCTCATCTCAGTCTAAGATGGCCCTTAAGAAACAATGTGGGTTCCAAACGGAAGTGTGTTATGTAGATTTATCACAGTAAAGACCTTGTGTATGCCATGAAGTATCAATCACTCTCAGTACAGTAAAACCTATGTAAACAGACTGCTCTTTGTACCTCAAAATAGTGTTTGACATCACAGGTTTTACTGTACTGTTTATGACCCCAGATCCAACAAATTATTGCATAACTATTTGAGGATTAATACATATATGCATATGTACACTTATCAAAGAGGCTATTCAGGTGTCAACTCTTGTCCCCTTGCTATTTTCCAACCTCTTTCTACCACTTCCCTCTTTTAGAAGGAAGGATGGAACCCAAAAATTGCTGTTTGACAATACATCTAACTTTTACAGCTAATTATTTACATTAATTTCTTTTTAAATACATTGAGCTACTCATATATAAGCTGATCATCTTGTGAAAATATCACACTAAGTTGTCTCCCTTTTTCCAGTTTTCTCAATAATATAATGCAATGATCTCTTCAGAATTGAAACAGTTCTATTTATCCTGGGGAGAACACTGGAATATATGAATTCTTGCATACTTTAGATTTCACTGCATTTTCAGCGCATGCAGTTCACCTCCATCTTCATTCACTCCGCTCCCAGCAGTGAAAACCGGAGCGTGCGAAGATGGTTCACCTCATAGTGTACTACATTCAATGACAATAATAGAGTCACATGTACACACAAATGATTTTCTATTAAACGAGTCAGTTACTATAGTGATATACTTCAAATTTCTTGCTTTCAAGAGAATAATATAAATGACCTTTTACATGCTGTACAATGAATTGATTATTAGCATATTCCTAGACGCATAAATAATTGAAAAATCCACTCACGTAAGATAAAGATTACACATTTATATAAAAGAGATTTTCCAGTGAATTTCAACTTCTTGAAAATAAATTGACATTTCTATTTATAAACTTTAGCTTAAAGCATGCATTTTGTTCTTATTCAACATTACAAACCATATTGTGCCCATAATGCTTGTGCAAAATCACATTTCAGCCACACCATACAATAATGTCAGTGAGTTAGCCTAGGCTAATTAATTTCAATAAGTTGCATCTTGTTGTATTGTGTATCCTCAGAACGCCTTCTTCGTTCTTTGGGGAAGTAAAGTGTCCTGTGTATATTTGAAAAATGAAAGAAGTCCAATTTTGCTGCTTTTCTTTTTGAAATAATTGCTAACAACATCACTTTCATCTGGAAGAAAATAATACATACAATTATTTTAGAAAAAGTTTTGTAAAACATATGTTTAAATGTGACCCAGATCTTGACCACATGATTCATTTGTATTTATTCAACTGTCATCAAATGTTTTAATGCAGTGTATTACATCAATGTTCACATCATGAAGAAAATTCTAGGGAGATTTTATACTTCAAATCCCAAGGACCCTAATACATGTATTTCACATGGTCTTTGGGTGTGTTTGCTTTTCTCAATTCCTCCAAATTGTAAATGCAAGGGACACAAATCATAGAATTAAAGCAGATATGAAATGGTATTTTTGACCTAAAGGAATCAATATAATTTTTTTGATAAATGTATTTGGACATGTTTTCTCATCAGAAGTGTGGAAATTATTTCACTGTAACGATGGGAATTAGTTGTGACGTTATTGGCCCCCAGGTGATCTCTAACTGGTCCCCACGTGGCCAGTTTTGGTCCATTAAAGCATGACGCCATAATGCCAAGATGTTTTGTTATTTGTTTACACAACAATCCTATGGTTGCCATGACGTCATGATTACCAAGGAACCAATAAACCAAAACTGTATATTATGTATGACGTTACTAATCACGTGGGGGCCAATCTGATTGATCAGTTTATTTAATTACATTATTTATGACCATTGACAGTTATCTAACATTTCTTTTATAATGGTTATTGCAAGAACTCTATGTTTGGCTTACAATGAAGAAAACCGCATTTTTGTAGCTGCAAGTTGAGAAAACCTATTTCAGTTGTCCTTTAACTTCCTATGGCCTAATGAGAATGGCATAATGTCGGTTTCTAAGATGCCTTGAATTGCTTTAATCTAAACTGAACTATGGTAAACAGAAAATGTTACAAACCTGACTGCGTAGGCTGTCTCTCGCTAACAGTGGGAAGAACATTCTCATTTGCAGACAGAGATACAAAGAATGCAAATGGCACCAACCACAGACATATTGTGAAGAATGCTAACACCTAAAGCAAGGAAATCATTGTTAGTTCCATCAGCTAATATACAGCAGTAACATGACAATGAGTATATGTAAGTTCATGTATTTATTGTATATTATGCTACTTAACTGTATAATTGTATCCTACAATAGTTTGGGAGTTGCTCTGCCTATGGTGCTTTATTATCAGGAGAAATTAAACATAACCAATTGGAAAATTATGTTTAAATGATTCGAGATTGAGGTCAAACAGTCCTAGCTAAAAAATACTGTATACAATTACTGACCTTTCAAGGGTAACCTGTTAAAGTATATCCACAAACTTAAAATTGAGACCCAGGATAGAGATTTTATGTAAAGCCATTGATGAAAATTCATGTAGCACCATTGGGGAAATTTCGTGTCACGCCATTGATGAATTTTCATGTAAAGTCATTGATGAAATTATGTGTTACACAATTGATGAAATTTCATGTAATGCCACTGATGAAATTTCATGAAACACCATTGATGAAATTTCATGTAACACCATTGATGAAAATTCATGTCACACCATTGATGAAATTTCATGTCACACCATAGATGATCTTACCTCTGAAAATGGGTGCCACACTTGGGAGAAGTAACCAAAGGCAAGGTAGTGGTTCACAAATATCAATGCTGAAAAAATGAAATGCACATACATAAAGTTTGAAAATTTCCTCAAAATTTAATTGTCATTCATTTTTAGCCCACTTTGTAAATTGTTACGAGGGACACTGAAGAAAATGGCTAAAAATAGCTAATTGAAATTGAATTTGTTTAACAAGATAACAATACTTAAATAGTTACAAATGTACAGCAAGGTTTTTGATTCACTATGTTATATGTAAATTCTAGGGTTGGGCTAAGACATGCATAGCTGCAATAACCATTAACATCCATTGTGGTACCCATAGGTCCTGCTCTTTCACAAAAACCATAGCCAAGTGGCATAATGTGAACCCAATCAAACCTGAACCAACTTGACCCAGTTCTAGTTCATTCAGTATTTATACACTTATTTGTTTAATACATAGAGGGGCTAATTTAATACCTTTGCCCAGGCTGACTCTTGATCCATGTTCTATAAAAAAATGATTAATATAAAATGAAACCAAAAAATCCATACTTACCAATAGCTGCTACGAATGCTGGTTGAGTTATTTCTATGTAGGGGAAGGTTTTCAATACAAGAATGTATACTCCATTTGTTATAAGACCCAACACAATCAGACTTAAGGGTAGATCTTCAAATAACAGGAACCCCACATATACTACTGTAGAACCCTAAAAATAGGAGACAAAAACCATCATATATAAATAAATAAAATGCATTAAGAATACAACTGCATGGGTGAAATATTATATTACAGATTTGGAGGTAAATGTACATAGTGAAATCACAACAAGGGAATGTTTAAGAAAACTTTATTATAGCAATTAATTCATCTTGATTTACAATAAAAATCTTGATCATTAAATAACAAATTACACTTTCTTCCCAGTTTGATTTTCAATAAAACATTGAAAACTTCAGACATTGGAAATCCATCATGATTAGTGAAAACATATTTTGTTCATCATGATTTGGTTCCGAGTGATTAAAACCATATCCAGATCAGATAATGATAAGAAATGGAGGAGTATTTAAAGCTCATGTCAGCACCACTTCCCCATCGAGACCATCCAGCTAGATGTTCAAGTGAACAAAATACTTAATCTCAGGGCCTATCGTGTATGACACCAGGCATGTAAAATATGTACAGATGTACTAAATATATGAGTCTGATTATAAACACTTACCACAATAAGATATTTAATAATTTTTCCTGTTGTCGTTGTGAATTCTTCAACAACCTCTGCCAAGTAGTAGAGCCCTGCAGCTGAAAATAGCATAAATAATGAGTTAAAAATGTTGATGCCAATTGCCAGGAACTGAAGATAGATGGGGCAAATTTAAATGTTAAAGGAAATATAAGAATAACACTATTATTTTGAATTCATTTTCAATTAAAAAATGTCTGAATTGATATTTTTCTGTTATATTTTGACAGGGCAGTTGACTTCACCGCCTCATGCTTGGCTATATAGGTTTACGAAAAAGGCCAACCCCACCAACCAGTCAATGTTTTCTACAGGTTACCTCAAAACAGGGTTTGAGGAAAATGTGTAAAAGACTGACCAAACATCATGTGTAAAAGAACAACATATTTGTAGCCTTAAATTATTTATTTAATTCGATTGTTAATACTGTACATGTTAATCATAGGCAATGTTTTTTTACCCATCTTATCATTTCAATTAAGTTAAAATGGTTAAAACGAAAGGCAAGCAAACACTTCCTATCATTTCTGCATGAATCTATTCTAATTTTTCACTGAAATTAAATGTAGGCCTATATTTAATAAAAATTACATATTTCTAACAAAATTGATTTGTATTGTCATACCATATTGTCATACCAACATTTGTTAATTTTACGTGGGTTCTCATGTCAGGATTAAAAGTGACTAACCATTTAAGCACACAATTGGAAAACTGTTTTATCATATTGAATGCAGTTTTGACATTTAACAATTGAGAAATCAAACATTATGTATTAATCTTTAAAAAGATGACGTGATTTTAAAGACCGACAATATAAAATGTTTTTTTTTGTTATTTTCAAAATATTGAACATCATGTAATGTTTCATAGGTTTTCTCATCATGATTCAAAGTGACTAACCAGAATGAAATTGGTCTAACAACTGAAACATCACTTAGAAATATGACATTTACAGACAATGTTGATGTGACGTTTTTCATGGGCGTTTTTCATCATAATTTAATATGGTTAAACACATTTAATCACAGCCTTGTAAAGGTACTATAGTCATTGGATTCCTAGTTTTTAGTATTAATTTCTATTCTATTTTCCTCTTCTAATTCTGCATTGCATCTATTCATTTTTATGTAAAAGACCGACAGGCGAACATGTGTACCCAACTGTGGAGAGTGACTGGTCAGTGTTCCATCTTTTTTGCAAACCTTTGCTACACCCATGACTAGGAACATCTATTTAATATTTAGTATTTACACCCTCTCATGATGAAATGTTGAAGTAAACAAAAATGAGTAAAATTAGAATTTTGCATGTGCACCATCTTGAGAAAAACTGTTTATTTAATTTGGATTGCTTGTGGTATTTCAACCACAAGACAAATGCTGCCTTCTCTGATGTTATTGAAAATTTCATGGCTGGAACTCCATAAAATACAACAGGCCATGGGTTCACTTCATATAATCATGGCCCCTGGGAACATGTATAAAAATTAAGTGCAATTCCAGAATAAAAGAGAAATATTTTACACTTTTCACACGGAACTCAGATCAATCTTTTTATACAATGTACCTGGGGCCTATGGTTTAGTATATTGCACACAAAATAATTTATCTCATCCGTGTCATATTGCATTCTTGGATTTCGATTGCTTATTTTTAGGTTAAAGTAATACTCAACCAAATTGAATGGACTGTTATCTTAAAGGTACAAGAATTAAATTAGTGCAGATTCAACTATCATAGACCAGTGTCAAAATATATTTAAGTTTGGATATTTCATCAAGACTAACATATATTTTCATTATCTACTAAGAAACCCCCTGGATGAACATTTTTCAAATTTTCTCTCTACAGTCCTTGTTGCCCCTTAAGATTAAGAGTAATCTAGCCTAGCCGTGAAGCACATCCTCCGATCACAGGGCTTCAGAATCCAGAATATATTCTTTCTTTTGACCCCCTGCAATAAGCAGATAGCATTTCCTTGATTAAGAACTCGGAATCTGATTGGCTGTCGCAACAGTGTGACAGAAATCATGTATATGTCATTGCGCATAATTAGATCACGTGATTCAGTTTAATCGGGCGCTTCCAAATTGGTTATAGCAGGGGGAAGAAGGAGGTACGGATTCTGGATACCTGCTTAGAGTCCATTTCACTGCTTCATTTCGTCAGTAGAACGGCAAAAATAAGAAATTGGGAGACCATTGTGCAATAATATATGGAAAAGTATATTCATAATGTACATGAATGACATTTGTATATTTCAGATTTTTTAGTTTTTTGTGCAATAAGCCTGTGCCATCTTGTAATTTGAAGAATTTCAGCCATGTTAATCTTATTGAAAATAACATGGCAGAGAAACATCCAAATATAAGAGGCCACACACTTTATAAGCCAAACTACAGTGCTGATATATAATAATTAAGGGGGCGTTTTCAAACTTAACAGAGTGCTCCTACCAAAATAAATTTCCCTACATACCCCTGAGACTCTTATCTGATAGATAGAATGCACAAATAAAACAAAAGTTTTGCTATTATAGGTAAAAAGTTCTCTTGAAATTACGAAGTGATTTTACCTGTTAATTCTGTTCATGGTCCGCCATTTTTGCGGAAGTTACACTGAAACGCAAACTCCATGAAACTAAACGAAATCACTAGAAAAAACATGGCATACATTGTGCGCATGTGCAGCAAAGTTTTAACCAATCAGATTATTTGATTATTTTGCGCACATGAATTATTTGCTTCTGAGCACTTTTAAGCTTACCACAATAAACAAACCTGGCAGAGACTACCCTGAGCCTACTTCATTTTGGCGAAATTTCAGCTTAAACTCGTGACAAATGAACTATGCATACGCTGGTGTGAAGCCTTGGAGACACTCATTTTGGTATATATGATTTATGGTGTATACTTTTCTGCAGTTTGTGTAATTTTGGGACATTAAATGTTAAAATTCAAGAAAATATGGCAATAAAACGACTAATCAATTAATATATACCAGCACTGTAGAAGCAATCCAAGATATGCAAATGTCATTCATGTACATTATGAATATACTTTTCCATATATTATTGCACAATGGTCTCCCAATTTCTTATTTTTGCCGTTCTACTGACGAAATGAAGCAGTGAAATGGACTCTACTATTTTTTTCATGGCCTGAGTTCGTCGCTAACATGCTAAATATAAGAGTTAGCTGACGTTTGGGAGTCTGACTTACCTTCTAAAGGTTAGAACCCGAATCTTAATGAAACCATATCACCTTTGTTCCGTCAAACATGGAGCATTTGCCACAACATCCAAGAGGTAAATCATTGACCGTGAAAATGAATGATTTCCTTGTAAGTTCCGGAAGTTTCAATACGAAAAATTACCGAACATATGTGAAAACCGAATATTTGTTCGTTGTTTTCACGATTTACAGGTTCGTTTGTTCTCCAATGTTTTGGTCTAAATTATAAAGCATCACCAACAGGTCTTACTCTATTAATCGACTAATACAACAGACGGCTCATATTTGTACGTAGCATTTCGTTCAGACCAACAGTGGGAGTGCAGATCACGCAGTTTCGTTCGTTGCGTACTTCACTTGAAATTGGTAATTTTAAATATTGGCTACTTCACTTAGCTTGGCGGATGTAGAACATTGCTTAATATTATTTTAATTTTCACACCACAGGGTTCGAACTTAACTTTTCAGACTGGTAGTGAAAATAGTTACCTGACATTTTTTCTAGGTAACTAAATTCCAAAGTAAGGTAGTTGTTTTTACCGGTTGAAAAAATGTTGATAGACACAGTTTTCCTTCACACTAAAAACAAGTCTATCGATCTGTTGATCTTAAGTTTATTATTAATTATTATTCCATGATACATTTGAAACTTCATGCCTTGTTTTCAGAGATAGTACTAAGAACATGTATCTATCATGTCTATGTGGAATCACACCAGGAAACTTTCAGAATAATAGATATAGATATATTTGCCTCAAAAGTAAACAGAATTAACTTTAGAAGACCTCAGAAGAATGTTTCAAGTTAAACAATTCAGAGAAAACTTGTTGACTTATGAGAACATACACATTGATAGTCATGTGATCAGACCAAATTATAACAGGCCAATGATGCTGTTTCAACATTCAAATTTAAATTTCCCACAATGATAAACATTCCTTAGTGGCTCTAAGTGAAAGGTCAACCTGCTTAATCTATGCAGCTGTTGCGTTTAGAGTTTCCCTCCCCAAGATTTTATTTTCTATTTCAAATCTACATGGTGAAATGGGAACTGCAAACTTTATTGAAGAGGGGTATGCTTATTGAAAGCAATTACTAGTATTTTTCTCAATAGATGTCTCCCTCTCTCACACTAATCTGAGAACAGGAAGTTAGCATACTTCAAAAAGTATCTTAATAATACGGTGATTTTGCCTGAAAATTGCCAGTTTTTAAGACTTTATTTTAGAAAAATAAGAATCTGTATGGTAAGTAAACACTTTATCTTATGTTTTGAGAAGTTATAGCCTAGAAGCTGAAGTGAAAGAGGACGAAAAGTGCAAAAGAAAAAATTTCCAAAAAGTCAGGAAACTGTTTTCGTTACTTGGGCATGCTGTTAGGTAACGATTTGATAAAACAAAGGAACGAATCGTTACTTCCGCAACGTTAATTTCGAACCCTGCACCAGACATGCTTGGTTGACACGTCAACAAAGTAAAGTTCAAGGGTCAATGCGTTATTTCGTGATAACTACAACGCCTTCCCGGAAGTCAACATTGATGAAAAATGAAAAAGTCGGAAAAGTATTTACACTAATTTCTATCAAATGATGTGTTTATGCATCATCATCGACGCAACAATCGTGATATGGTTTCATTAAGATTCGGGTTCTAACCTTTAGAAGGTAAGTCAGACTCCCAAACGTCAGCTAACTCTTATATTTAGCATGTTAGCGACGAACTCAGGCCATGAAAAAAATAGTAGGAGGATGGTGAAGAACGAATGAGAAAAAATGACATTTTTCACATTATTTTTTGGAATGAAATTTCATGTTTTTTTCAAAAATAAGATATTATGTGCAACTTACCAACTGAGAGTGTGATAAACAAAACTTGAATCAACATGGAAACCCATGTTAGAGCGTACAAAAACCACATTTTCCAGAATATTGCAACGCCGGTTTATTTTTATTTTTAGTTCCGGAAGTCCTAAGTTTTATGCAGTTTTTAAACGAACGTATTGATGCCATCAAAAGAACGAACGGGCGAACGTTCGAGATTTTATCAGTATCTCGCTGAAAACAATCAGGTTTATAGTTTATATTCATTAAACTTAGTCTATATCATAATGTGTGGGGGAGGGGGCATATGATAAATGGTACTTTTGCCAAAATATGTCAAAGCTCCATTTAACACACTGGTCCATTTGTCACTCCTTTGCATTCTACACGTGACTCTCCTCAAGTGCGGCAACCTTAGCTTGGACTACGTGTTAAAGCCTCTTTACCTTTGAACTTTTATTTACTTAACCTGCGATGAAAATACTTATACTATTGATGGAAACGTAATTTGACCTTATTTCCAATACCTCCAAATTTTCTCAAACTTTTCCTCAATTACAATGGCCGTCGAAAATTGATGATAAATTTGATGAATTTTTGAAAATCAACATTCCCATGTTAACCAATGGGAAATGGTAGGTTAGCCGCGAGTCATACAGAATATCCATCACTCAGAGTCTTTGCAAAAATACAAGTTATGTAGGAAATTGAATTTGCCAAATTTATTAACAAAAAATTGATACATTTCAGATCTTCAATATCAACAAAGTTACCGTGGAGTTCAGAAGGCGAAAAATGATTTTCAAAAATGACTTTGAAGCTCAAGTGTAACTTTGTTATTCATCAAGTAAGCCAAATACTTAGTGTAGAAAAAGTTAGACAATTCAATTTTCTATTTAAAAATATTTTTGCTGAATCTTTTACTGAGTAGATATCCCGATTTCTCATTTGCCCCGAACCCACCATTTCCCATTGGTTTACATCACGGGAAATGACGATTTTCAAAAATTCATCATCAACAATTTTCGGCCTATTGTAATTGTTAAAATTTGGGATTGAAACTTATTTTTTTCCATAGGAAATGCCATTCAAAATGACCGATGGAGTAAATTAATATGCATATATACTCATATTTGTTACTTCCCCTAGCTTTCCATTTGACAATAGGCTGTGTTACTTTTTCCCACAGGAGGGAGATGATGATCAATAGACTGACTCAAGATATTCAGAAGAAGCTTAGCTTAATCATTCATGTGCTAGTGCTAGTCCCAGGCTTTCCTTTACTCTCAACCGAATGTATCTTGGCACTCAACAGACCAAAGGGAAATAGTCCATATAAAACATCAATGGAAAAAAGATCGAACTTAAATCTTTAGATTCTATTTTTAGATCAGTCAGACACTTGGTATAGGGTCAAACGACCAGGCCATATAATGATTCACTGAAATCAATATCAACGAACCCTTGACCGAAGAAATTACAAAAATGGAAAGAATCATACTGGAGAAAAAATACATGTTGGGCATCTTGCAAAAATCTTAAAAAATAACATACACGTATGATAATAAATTATTTTATTTTACATATTTGCATATTTGAGAAAGGTAAAGGCTACAATGGATAAATGGAAACTAGAATTTACAAACACTCAAACTGGAGAGAATTAACACTGGAAAACACCGGACGATAGCCATGAACACAGAGAGAGAGATGCATAAGTAGGCTAATTTATAAGTGACTGGCATTATGGCGGGATCAGCAACTAACCAACATACATACTTAGGAAACTTTCCGGGAAGAATCTACTGTTGATTTATTGCTATGGTCAAGTGCTAGGCCTGGGGACCATTAAAGTCTTTTGATACAAAATCAATAAATAAACTTTATGTTAGGGTTCAACTAAGGGCATCTCCAAAGATCCAATAGGAATGGTTTATCTAACCTAAACCACTAACTGGGCACTGACTCTTATGAAAGGTAAATGGTCCATAACCCAATTTTAGGAAAATTGAATTTTTGTATTGACTATGAGGTAAGTGTATTGAGAAGTGAGTGGGTGTAATTAGTTCAGCTTCGGTGTACTGCATGTTGCAGGCCAGGTACAGTTTAAAACTTGATTTCTTTTGTGTTTAGTATTCAACGATTGAATGAGTGATTGAATGGTATAATTAGTTCAGCTTTAGTGCATTGCATGTGACAGTCAATCGTATTTTGTGCCACACTGGTTTTGGATAGCCAAGTGTACATTCTTTAAAAACAATACAAAAAGAATGCACTCCTCGTTGTTACAGCTGGATATTCTGTAGAATGAACTGCAGTTCATTCTATTGTCTTCCAATCTAAGTGGGGTTTATATACTCTTAACATAGCCGCTATTTTCGTATTAAATGACATGCCCTACCTGGGGACTCGGAAAGTATGGTTTGGATAATGATTCTGACTGACAAATTCGTAAAAACTTATTTCAAAACGCGAAATGTACCACCAAGAGAACGCTGAACTTTCCTTGGATAACCTTCACTCGGACGAACCATTACCCTTTCGCGAAATTGATGGTTGGGTACAAACATTTCTTTACATTACATAGACACCAGCTTAGATAACAATTAACTGCTAATGGGGGTAACACAAAACGCATGCGATCTGGATAAATCCTGCACTGAATCGAATTCAGACATACCAAAAAATATATTTGGGTGATCTAGAACTCGTTTTGTCAAGGCGATCCCTTGAAAGTACTTGTTAAGGTTGTAATGTTGAAATGTTTGCCCATAGCCTAATTCAATTAAATTGACAGAATGAAATCCTATAAATCAATGGCTAGCATCTACGGCCAGAAAACATGAACATGGACGCTTCTTTTAATTAGAATATAGTTTAGATAAAGTACAATATCTATCTTTCTTCTCAATCAGTAAGGTAAGTGTTTGACAGATATGATAAATATATATGAAGACATTCTATCTTATCGATGATGGCTTCAATAGCCTAGGGATATTTTGGCGGACAAGAGACATATAATGGGTAATAAAGTAAACTAGAGGTCATCCGCCATTTTGTTTCAAAAATTACGTAAAATTAGTCGTACCAGCCATTTTGATTTTGAGTTTAATCAAGCAATAATCCCAGGCATTTAAAAGTAGACGAATTGACAAGTATCAAAAAAATAAATGTCAGTGAAAATGTTGAATAATGATGTCAATACAAAGTTTGATGAATGTAAAATAAATCTGTTTATGACTGTGATCTTGAACCTGAAGCTACACAGTGGTGTAGAGTGGCTGAATAGCTGAAGGGATTTCAGAAGAGGTGGATGAAGAAGAACGAGATAATGGTACACGTGATCTCGCTGTTGTCACTGCTGCTTTCACTGACTGATGCGCAGGGTAAAGTAGGGGTCTTCAGCCTTCCTTGAGACTTAATTATGGGTGTTCACAATTTCTAAAATCATCACTCAGTCATTTATTCAATGGGTAGGTCAAGTCGACATGATTCAATCTATACAATTTAGTGTGTGATTTTGACTTTTGTCGAAGCCACCTTTAAAGATATATCCGATAAAAAGATAGGCAAATGTTTAGGCAGGCTATGACCACAGACCAGTTTGCAAATTGATGACGGACGTGTACCAGAGGTATAAAATAATGGAGTCATTAATGTCAATTTTAACCCCTCTTGTGGGCCTGGAAATAAGATTGCATTGAAATGATATAACAATCATAAAAATGCTAAAACATCGGATAGACTCGACCTGGTCACAAAGCTAATTTATAGTTTGACGAAAAGGAATACGTGGATTCATCTTACCTGTTACTCTGATAACCAATGTCAACATTTAGTTTAAGTTGATGTTCAATGAGTAAAAGTCATCAACGAAATGACTGAGCGAATGAGGAATGAGGACCCGACAGTGGCCTAATGATGATGCAGTGCAACCAATTAAAGTCACGAGCATGTCCATACTGGAATTTAGTCCACTCACTCCGTGAGAGTATTTGTAGAAAGAGCATTACGACCAAAGTGGAATAACTAAAGATGTCAATTAAAATGGAAGTAATACTTAAAGAATAAAAAGATACTTCTAACTTCTATATTACTGAACATGATCTTTGATTTCTTGGATTACGGAAGCCAAATGGATAAGATATGGAATACAATAGACAGGTCACACACTAAATTGTAGCCTATTGATCATATACCTGGAATGTCAACAATTCTGAGTGATATGGAAAGGAAGTAGCTAGTTAATAAACTTTTTTTGTAACATATGTTTCCGTCCAGTATCACGACGGAATTTAAAGGATAGGTTATATAAGGCGAAAATGAAACTTTTTGTATAAATGTGAATAGTCACAATTATTCGTAGGAAGAATTTACACATTTTGCTTTGAAACGTAAATAGTTCACCACTTCATAAGGGCGGGGGGGGGGGTATATTTGAGATGCCAAAGAATACACCGGGGTTGATTTTACATGTTATTAGCAATTTTTTATTTAATTTTTTTTAATTACAATAAAGTTACATGGAAAACGTACATTTTACAATACAGTACTGGTTACACATTAGCAATTTTGTCTCATCCGATATATGTCTGATTCTGTCTTCAACTTTGTATGCTCATTGCTCATTAACTCTGTTTTTCTATCTAGATTTACATGTGAATCATGTTTTATTTTCACAGTGTTCACTCCAGAAGAGCTTGGACTAACAGAAGGTGCAGTTACTACATTACATTCTAATAAGAGTACCATTTACGTCTATAATTGTAACATAATTTTTCAATACTCCTTCCCAATGAATATGTTTGGATAAGTCTGGACTTTATTTAATTTTTGAATGGCTTATTAGTATCTCAAGGGCGCTCCAATTTAATGAATACAGAACACATAAGTTATGATATGTGATGATACCTATTTATTTCAATATTTTTCAGCCGCTTGTAAACCTGGGTACACGAGTGGACCGGATTGTTGCACGTATTACCAATGTACGGGCATTGGGAGCGCAGTGCCCGGCTCCATCAGACTGGTCAAGCGCCGTTGTGTTTGGCCTTTGGTCTGGAACGAAGATTCGTGCTCCTGTGACTGGGATGTCTTAGTTCCGCAATGCGTCGATGACCCCTGCCAAATTGAAAGTAGGATTTGTTGACCTTATCAATCCATCGTTGTTTTAAAATCCATTTGTTCTATTCAATAGCTAATGGCACATCGATGGGCTTATCGTTCGCGGAATCCCAGCATCGGCCACATGGACTCGACTCGTTACTACATTGGGGTTTCCATAGATCTTGACTATATTCAAACGGGAATGCGATATATTGACAAACGACAACAAGGAAAATTACTAACGCAGAACTTTACTAGAACTATGTCAGGTGGGGTCGAGATATAGATACTCTTATTCTAATTTTCAGGCATCGTCCCTACTGTAGCAGATTGCCCAGACCCCGGGACGCTTAACAATTCATGTAAGATATAATGACTATTTGAGGGTCGATCCTCCCCGTAATCGTGACATTCCGCGTGAATGCGTATACAGGATATTTTTGAGGACCGACGTTTATTTGCCAATTTTAGAAATTTCGTGCTCTATAATCGATAGCTTGGGAAAAAGAAATTCAGTTATTACTAGTTTCATTTTCAATCTTTAGATAATCCATTTTTACTCCAGTTATCTGAAGATATAAAATGAAACTAGTAATAACTGAATTTCTTCTTAGTTTTTCCTTATTTGCTTTAATAATTTTAAAATATTTATTTACTGTAAGTTGTGAAAAAACCGATTTTACTAATATAATGAATAAAGTAAAACGTGAAACATCTGTGTAGCAGAGTGCTGTGTCGATGGTGTAGTGTATACAAAGACGGGGGACGAGAGCTACATACGAGGCAATGATGAGATTCCACAAGACTGTCCTGAAGGTCATGAATTCATGGTAGAATCTTGCAGTTGTGAACATATCACAGGTATTGAAAATGAGTATCACAAATGTTTTCTACAAAGGTCAACGCTGAGAACTTACAATAAGCATTAAGTCGGTTATTCTAACTTTGCTAAGGCGCGTGTTTAATGGTTTTAGTAATGTAGGGTGAGTACCTTAATATCTTTCTTATGCTAGGTTCCCCTCGCACCTTAATCCTCGATTCTTACTTTTTACAATATTTGTCATTTATTGTAGGGCAGTTTGGTGACCGATATTGCCTGGTTTGGGATTTTGAAAACGATTTCATCGACATACACCAGGAGATTCCAGCCTTTGTTACGAACGTGTACATCGCTAAAGGGGAGGGAGTGGGCGGTGGAAATGCGGCTCGGTTCAGAGAAGGTGGTTCCCTTCATATATCAGCTTTCCAGAAAGGTAACAAATTCTACGGGTGAATTTGGTCTTGCTTGGTCCTTTTTATCCAAACATAGTTTACTGATACAATTGCTATAATTTTCTTGTCCATTCGTTGTCCAGGTTGCCTGGCAATCTTTTAAAACTGAATATTATTATAGGTTATTTCGGTCGTAAGTTTAGTATTGGGATGAGTGTCAAGGACGAATCAGGAGAGGGCGGCATTCTATTTGACAACGCAGGTACCCTGCACCTCCAACTTTCAAATGGAATGCTGTCCGGTGGTGTCAAAACAGTTCTGGATGATACAGTAGATGATTTTAATGTAGTAAGTACAGTGGACGAACAGCTTTTTGTGATACGAAGGGCTGCATTTACATATACTGTAAAAACTAATGCCTACTTTAGATTTTTATATAAATGTTTCAATGAAATGTTCAAAAGAGACATGTGTTCATTAGAGAGATGTTAACAAACGAAAAGTCATTCATAATTTGATAAATTTCTCTAGCCTGTACCAAGTTCAACTGGTAATCGGAAAAAGAGACAAGGTGGTGCTTGGTCAAGTTTTGGGTATGAACACGGCAGTCTTCATGTTTACGTAAATGGAATCCTTGTCGCTAATCCTGACCAGCCACGTAAGTAGTAATCCGACGTAAGTTAGCACTCCTAAAGAAAGTACATTTAAAGTTTGACGTAAGCTCTTAAATGTAGTATAGTAAAGAATAGATAGTTACTTGTTGAAGGTAATGTTCAGAATAGTCAAGAGACTTGGATAATTATCTATTCAAAGAAATGTACAATGGAAAACTGAATGATATGTATACCTGTATTTCATTCGATTCAACAAACACCCATTGAATTCATTGTTTCATATTTTTATTTCATGGTTTACAATCTTAGGTGTTATTTGTGTTTTAGTTGCACCAGTTCAAGGAACTGGGTGTGCTCTAACCATTGGTTCAAACTTCACCGGACTCATTGATAACGTGAGTAGTAACTCAAATAAAAGGGCAATAATTCGATTTCCCACAACCAGATGTAGTGACATTGTTCTTGTATGAACTTTTTTGTTGACGTTGTTCGGCGTCCAGAGTTCGGCGTCCAGGGTTCGGCGTCAAGTTAATGCCTTGTCATGCAAGTTTAGAGAGTACATGACACATAGAATATACTATTTCGTTTCTATATAACACCGTGATATTCCATACCTACTGAGGTTCTAGGTACATAACGAGCGGGAATATATAGTGTATCTAGGGAGCTATCGCCAAGGTCCGAGACAGGGATGGATACACGCTATATCCATCCCGGTCCCGCTCCGGAAAGGCGAACTCAATTTAATTTTTACTCAATTTACGAAATAAAGCTTATATTTCAAACTCATGCTTAAATTTTAATTCATCATTGATATGCTCCAACAATATGGAACTATCTCCATCGGTCCCTCGGGAGATACACACATTTCCCTTGGAATACACCCTGTATCCAAAACCTCCCAGTATATAACACTTAAGGCACTTGCATATATAGATACAGATACGTACAGAAAACTGCAAAAATACCTTATTTCAAAAAGACAAATGTTATCTCATAACAAATATGGTAATACATATTTTCTAGTTTTTCTTCTGCCCGTTTGAACTGACAGACGAGGAAAGGCAAAAAGTAGTGGGGAATGGAACATTTCCAACAAGAGATGGTAATCTGAATGTCAAGGTGAAAAGTGGGGCAAACAATGGCGAAAATACAGGGGATAGTAATGAAGGAACAGGTGGTTCTGGTCCATGATCTGCAACAAGATAATACAGCAGCGCCAATCAAAACTTGTTAGGACATCCAAATTAAACAAGCTGTTAAAGCATTTTGTATAATAAAAGCCAAATGTAAAATAAACAAAACAAGCATTAAAATTATAACTGTCTTATTATTTATCATTCAGGCAGACGTATTTATCACTTGTTTACATGGTTATAGGTAACTGGATTAGAAAATCTTTGTTAACAAATGTACAAGAAATTTTTCGACATTTTAATGAACCATGCCCCCACCCGCCAATTACTAAAAAATCATAATCCAACATAATATCAAGTTTCTTTTCCAAGCTTGTATTCAAGAATGTAACTACCGGCTTCCGTCTCGTGATTACATAAACTACATACATAAATTGACCTGTCATTTTGAAGTCACTGTAATGATAAAAAAGCCCATCGGTTGAATTACCGAATCGTAGGCCATTTTTACTTGCTGCTAAATAAGCAGATTAACCCATTATTTAGTTCAGCGATTGGGTTTGTCACAAAGCTTCGAGCTACAGGATGCACGGCAGGTACTAGTCATGTATAAATGAGTTTGCCATCAAATTGCTATCAACGCAGTAGCATTCACGAATACAAGCTAAAGGTACAGGTGGAGGCAGGAGAAAATATAATTTCAAATGAGATTTTAATGCTTTCTTGTACTGTTCCATGTGAGATAACCCTAAGATGTCTCGCCTGGATAAATACACTCAAGTTTTCAGACAATTCTTGGCATAGGGAGTATCAACTTTGTGTCCACTGCTCTGCACTCACAAGGCCAAGGCCATCATTTAATGATCACAAATACATATAAACTTCGGCAAACCATTTTTTATTATATGAAAGCATGAACATGCCTATCTTTTAGGTTTGTTTGGATTGTGCTAATAATCTGATGAATTCCACAATAGTCCGTGTTGGCCGACCTGAAAGAAAAAAATACATTTACATACTAGATAATAATCTTTAAAGTAAGAGAGTATCATTCTACAGAAAGTGAATCCAAGCCGTCTGCTTTGTATCCCAACTTTTTCTTGACCCTTTTTAGCATTAATGCTTGTATGATGCCCTAGCATGGAGCCATATTTTGCCAGTGTTTAACCAGAGACATATGTTTTATATGTCTCTGGTTTAACTTAACATTTTAGCCTCGCCTAAAATGCCCTTAATGGCAATTTAGTAAGATTTTTGTATTGGCTTTTATAATGTGTTGGATTGTATTGTATTTTGAAATTGACAAATAGATATTGTAGTAAGTAATAAAAAGACACAGGGTGAACAATATCACACTCTTGAGTGGAAAAGACAGTTTGGGGATGGAAAGTTCGAAATAGTCACCTTGACTTTAGCCCAGAATCAGAACTAAACTTTCATAAAAAGAAACATCCCTTAACCCTTTTAAATGTTTAGAGGACGCAGATCTACCCCCCCAAGGATTTTTTGATAACTTTTTTCTTAGTTGGTTTCTTGACTTGAAACTTTCTGGCTTTTTTTAAAATTGAACTAGAAGTCCCATGAACACTATATTCATGAATCTGTATAAATGTATGTAACAATGTAAAAATTTTCATCTACTGTACCCTTGATTTGGAAGATATTAATTAAATAGTACCACGGGTACTGCGGACAAATGGGAAAACTGTGGGATGCCCACCCACCCACCTGTCCAACCACCTGGTAGATGGATAACAATATAGGCTGTTATAATAAAATGAGTAAAAAACCATCATTGATCTGTCCTTTTACCTGCCATTCCCTTGCTGAGGTAGGTAACTTCATCCTTATTTTCCATGACACCTGCGATATCAAGATGCAGCCATTGGTCATTTGTCACAAATTCCTAAAATACAAATCTTAATAGTTAAAACCACTAATGTACTTTAACTGATCCCTTTAATTAACAAGTCTATTTAAAGTATATATTTAATATGCTTTAATCATTATAAATCATTTCAAATTAAATATGTATCATCAAAATCATTTGTATTTATTTTTATCATAGGGTCCCAGACAAGAAACAGCAGATTGCTATACATGAACAAGTACAACATTAAAGATAACAATTCTGATCATCTTCAAGTTACATGGGAATGTAACCCAAGATATATTTCAAATCAGCTGTTGCCTACAGGGTGTTTTGTACATAATTAACATTAAAGTGTGCAAAGGTGAATAAAGCACTACAGTACATCTATGTATAACATAAAATCGCTTTGACAATTTAAAATACAAGTAGAGAGCAGTTTATTTTTGGAGTTCAGAGTTTGATGATCTGTAGATCTATGTCCTGTGAATTTTAGCTTTGCTTCAAAACTGCATACTCGTTTCCCAGTTTGATTTTCAATCACACTGGTATCAGTGGACAACTTTTCTATCCGAAAAACAAACAAACCATCTGATTGGTGCACGTTAAAACCAGCGCACAATCAGATGATTTGTTTGTTTTACTCTAGGATCTCATTGGTCAGACTCCTTTTAAACCATAGTAAATGGCCCTTAATTATTGACTTATGAAGTTGACTGATCAGCTTCTATTTACCTTAAACATAAGAATTAGCATAATGTAGTAAGATGATATATCATTCATCAGAATCCTCAATCAATGACAAATTAATAGGGTTTTGGGCAGAAATATCAGCCTGATATTCCAAGGTATGAACACATCATACCTTTGAAATCCAAGATGTCAAGACTGTGGATTCCTTCATATCTACTTCACCAACGAATTGCTTGTGGGGAGGTGTGTACTGGGGGAGGGGGGGGGGGAGTCTCACAAGGGCTTGTAGCTAGACTAGGAGGATTTCAGTTTCTTTGAAATATTGTTGTTTTTATTTGAAAAATAATTATCATTCAAATTTGGTTTAATTCTGGTAGGGAAGGCCAAATCTAAAAGAGCATTATGGACCAGAAACATATCTGCAGCATGTTTAGGAAAATAACAGAACATGAAAATTATTCAGTTTTGACCAGTGGCATCGTAACTCAAATGACACATATAAAGTTTGCATACAAGGACTACTTTACATCAAATGGAAGAAGCTTTTCAAACAATGCATATGTAAATACCCTGAGAAATGCTGCCGCTGTACATGATCCACCAGCCCTGCTGTACTTGCCAATGTTATGCACATCAGCCAGATGGCACTCAGTGACTTGCTTACTGTAGTGCTTGTATAGAGGCATTCGCCACATTCTGTCTCCAGTCTTGGCACCAGCCTTAAAACACCAAAATAATTTCTATGATGGACAATAAACCGATATAGAAAAAAACATTCAAAAACAATTTCATGTCAATAAGCCAAGATTAGGCATACTGGTTTGAGTTTTAATGGTTATACACCAAAGCAGGCCAACAGCCAGGGGACTTGTTCGATATCTTCTAAAAATGTGGCCCTGTACCTTGTTTGCTTTCTTGAAGGATTTTCATTATATTTTGAGGTAGAAGGTAATATTTGGGCATTGTTTTCTTTAAAGGGTATTGTTTTTCAAAATTTTGACCCAAATCTTTTTCCCTACAAAAAGCTGGCTACTGGCATGCAAATAAGCAAATGTTGGTCTGCATATTAGTCTGTAATTACTACCACAGGATCATTTTTTTTGCAACAATTTCTATTAGACGGACAAATTAGAAGAAAAAGTTCTTACTAAGCCATTTTGCAAGGTTATGGCAGATGATGAAATTATGATTTTCACTAAAATGTATATTTTTCTTGAGTTAACATTCGTGGAAACTTGAGTGACATGTAATTGACCTATTACAATACAAATACCTGCCTTATGTAAGAGATCCCACATGGGAGAAGAGTTGGTAAACACACCTGTGGCAGCACTGCCCAAGGCGACATCTATTGCACCTATAATAGAAGAGTTGAACATATTATGTGTACTTGAAGAGAGTACATGTAAATTTCAAACGATGAATATATAGAGATATATTGCTCAAGTATTTTTTCTGGAATATGAATGTTTAATATCATAAGCTTTAGCAGTACAGTATACTGTACACTCCATTGTTATTGTTATACAGGAGCTGATCTTGGAACCAACAAGGGGGGCCCATATTTGAAGTCTGGAAAAAAAATTTTGGGCCCCTAAAACCAAAAAGTGGGCCCAAATTTTGGAAAGGACGATTCTCGGTTTGGAGAACTGTCTCCTGGGCTAATATTTTTTTTCATGAAAAATATAGAAATATTACCCAAATTAAACTATGAATATTCAAAAGAGGACATTTAAATCTACAAGATGTAAAAATAACAAATTGGTCTGAAGCAGGGATAACGCTCAATTAGACCGATTCAATAAAATACAAGTCTCGATTTGGGGAAAAAAGTTCATAAGTGTACTGCGCTAATATTTTTTTGCGAAAAATCTAGAAATATTACCCAAATTAAATTATGACTATTCAAAAAGGACATTCAAATCTATATTATGTAAAAAAATCAAATTTGTCCGAAGCAGGGATAATGCTCATTTAGATTGATGAACTTCGTTCTCCAAACCGAGAATCGTCCTTTAAAGTTTTTTCTTTATAATTTGGCCTAAAATTAAAAACTAATATTTTAAGCCCAATTTTTTTTTCTGGGCCCACCCGAGGGACCCCCCTTCCAAGATCCGCCAGTGCATTTCTGTTTTATAGTATGATATCGAAGGCTTTACTTGGTCCTTACATTTTAGTCTAGTCAGTATGAGGAGGGAATTTAAGGGACATAACTTTTCATATTCATTTTATGATTTTACATATTTCTTTAAATTAATAGATTTTAGTTTTTCAGCACTTGGATTTTGTGGCCATTTTATCTCCCTGAGATGCAATTTGGACCCCTGCAATAAAACTAGGCTAGAACTCCTACCATCCATGGAAGGGTTTCGTATTACTAATGTTGTACCTGTTAAAGTGGCCATATCCAGGATAAGCCTAGGAGAATATGTGGATTGTACATAACACAGAGCATCTGCCAGGACCAGTCTTCCCTCAGCATCTGTATTGTCTATCTAAAAAAATAAGTTGAAATAAAGTTATTTTGGCTGTGTAGAGGCTATGGAGCATGCAATGAATGAGTCATCGTAGACTTCTTTTTTTATCATATACATATACAGTGTGAAGTGTAAATGTGTATTCTATGAAGGCTAGGGGTCACAGGCCATCAAGGTACATGTAGATTTGTACAAAAAATTATGGTTAAAATATGTAAGAAGATATTTTACAAATGAAATCTTTATTTTTTACAAAGAATGTTTTGTCTGAGACATGCAATGTGCTGCTATTAACCTCTTTTTCTAACATAGTAGCCTGGCCAGAACAAGTCATGTCTCTATATTTTCTCAATAACTTTCTCATTTTTGAATATTTTTTCATAAAATTTTCACAGAATAAACTTTAAAGAATTCCTAACATACAAATTATTTTATATGGTAAATGCCTCATTAATTTCATTGTTACAACCTTTGAAAAGTAATGTCATATTCTGTTGATGGGTCATTTTTGTCGCCATTTGAAAGCATCTTTTATCTCCATCAAGTATGACAATAGGCGAGTAGTAATGCCTTTTATGGGACGAGCAGTATAGAGGCTTGAGATCATGAGGTCTTGAAATAGTATGGTGGATTTAGAACACTAAAAAAGATAAATGATCCTCTATCAAAGACTGCAATCAAACTTGTAGACCATATTAGGACAAAATGTAATAGGAGATTTTTCGTATCTTTTTAGAAAAAATGGCGACAAAAATGACCCATCAACAGAATATGACATTACTTTTTAAAAGGTTGTAGCAATAAAATTAATGAGGCATTTACCATATAAGAACAATTGTATGTTAGGAATTCTTTAAAGTTTATACTGTGAAAATTTCATGAAAAAATATTCAAAATTGAGAAAGTTATTGAGAAAATAGATTGGCATGACTTGTTCTGGCCAGGCTACTATCTTGTATAAAAATAGAATCAAAATGTTTATTGTAATATTCTTTCATGATTGAAGTACCTGAACAGTTTTTCCATTGCTTGCTGTCACTACATCACCAGGCTTAATAGCAGAACCACTAGGCATATTTTCTGCTAGTGGCATAACACCTAAAATGTAATTGTTATTTTAATCAAAATAAAATAAAAGAACAATGAATATAATGACATTGAGATGTTTTTATGTAGACATATTATGCTTTTGGAACAGCAGCACCATAACATTTATAATGTGATGTGCGTTTACGTATAAAATCACATATTGTCAAACATTTGAATGGAAATAACTGAAACCATATACAAATAAGAAGGATTTTGAAAAATGAAGTGATTTGTATTTCAGTCTGGTAAATTTCTGCTGAAATTCTAACACTACAACGGCTAATTTGATCGGATTTTCGGAAAAGAAGGGGGTGCGTGCCCCTGGTGCTCCCCTCTAGATTCGCTAGTGCATTTTAACATTGACTGTTGGTGTGATATAGAGACAAGAGGTTGTCTCATGTTGAACATTGATAGATAGCCAGCTATAGTTAAAATATCGAGAAAAGGATGTCTCAGTGTCTCACATAATATTGTTGGCAGCTGTAGTTGAGATATAGAGAAGAGGTTGTCTGACATTTAACATTAATAGGTAGCTGTAGTTGAGATACAGAAAGGAGAGGTTGTATCACATTTAACAGTAGCTGTATATCAGAAACAAGTCAAATTCTTTACTTCAGAGAATATTTTTAATTTATTGAGACTTTCGACTAATATCCCTTAGTCTTTTTTTCAAAATATAACAGCATGTATACATTTATGTGACGTCATAAACAGACAATGGAAAATTTAATTATGACGTCACATAAATGTATACATGCTGTTATATTTTGAAAAAGACTAAGAGATATTAGTCATGTTAGTCGAAAGTCTCAATAAATTAAAAATATTCTCTGAAGTAAAGAATTTGACTTGTTTCTGATATATTAACCAGAGAGATGAACTTACATAGAACAGTAGCTGTATAGTCTAGCTACAAGCCCTTGTGAACCCAAAACATCCCAACATCCTGTGTGGGAAGGTGTATAGTCAAGTAGAGGGAGGGGGGTCACAGAGGGATGTAGCTAGACTAGTAACTGAAGATGAGATATAGAGAAGAGATTGTCTCATATTTAACATTAATAGGTAGCTGCAGTTGAGATATAGAGAAGAGATTGTCTCACATTTAACATAAATAGGTAGCTGCAGTTGAGATATAGAGAAGAGGTTGTCTCACATTTAACATTAATAGGTAGCTGCAGTTGAGATATAGAGAAGAGGTTGTCTCACATTTAACATTAATAGGTAGCTGCAATTGAGATATATAGAGAAGAGGTTGTCTCACATTTAACATTAATAGGTAGCTGCAATTGAGATATAGAGAGAAGAGGTTGTCTCACATTTAACATTAATAGGTAGCTGCAATTGAGATATAGAGAGAAGAGTCCCTGCGACACAAGCAGCTCCTCCCATGTCTGCTCTCATGGCCTCCATTCCTGCTGAGGGTTTGATAGAAATGCCTCCTCTGAAGAAATAGTGGTCAAACAAATAAATAAAAATAAAAAAGTAATGGGGATATATTTAGAATGTGAAAGTATGAAATAATTTCATAAAATATGAAACATAACTAAGAATATAAATAAAATAAGACAAAATATCCCGATTTGTCGGGGGAACAATGTTTACTCTAAATCCTATATTTCATTCAAACTTATAAGCATTTTGCTCTAAAGCATTTGCTCTAAAATTCGACCAAATCAAATGAAATAACAAGCTTTTACGCTATCAGAAGTTAGATTTCTTCTAAAAAATGGAAGCCATTTTGAATTCAGTAGTCATCTTGGAAGATCTGAACCAAATCTATCAACTGATATTTGTGTGTTTTGATGGCTTTTAAACCTTGTTCGGGTGAGATTATTGAATACAGATTAAAAGCTGAACCAAAAATCTGTAAACTTTCCACAAGTTTAAAATTCAACATGCACAATGGCCATACGTGTCAAATGTGATACCCTTTCCTACAAGGGCAAGAGGGGCAGATGAATCGTCACTCCCAGTATATGAGACTTCAAGGAATACAGACTCCTCTTGTGATCCTTGCCCAACAGCCAGAAAGCACCCCATATTCCGTTCTTTTGCCCACTCTGCATTCCTAGAGATAAACAGCAATATTTTGATCAATCAACTTTTCGTTAATCCATGATTTGGCATTTAGATTTAACCTCTTAAAAAGAGTTTAAGATCAGAGCATTTTTATATTTTGACATTTTACTATAAAATTAATAAACAGCTGATCAATATGGTACAATTATTAAAGGGATGAAGACTCATTTCACACATTTTAAAGCATAATTAAATATTTTCAAAGTTATACACATTTTAATGAAAGGTTCAGGTTACAAGGTGATCCTATTTGTATTTTGAGGCTTATTAGAAAGGGAATAAGAAATACCAAGGTATTGAAAACACTTATAATTTCTAATATTCTAATATTAGTGATACATATGAAATCGTAAGTGCCATGATTGAACCACTACTTCAATATACTGACCCCTCATAGTCTTTCCTTGGAAAATACACATTTATGTAAATATCTTAGAGAATAAAAAATCAACTCTTTTTTTGGGTGATGTTACATGTATGTGTGCAACCTACGTACCTGGGTGTAATCTCAACCCCTTTTATATTTCCTATTTGTTCCTGAATAGTTTCAGCAAACTTCAGTGGTGTAAGATGATTAGATGGCGTCTCCATTAGCGACCTTGCAAAGTTTTGACCCTCAGCAAGAATTCTCCCAGTTTTCCAACCCTGTACTGCTGAACGATCAGTTGAATGGCATTCAATTTCAGGAAGTGGTTTCTTCTCAGATTTATGACGGTCATAATTGAAGAGAGACAGAACTGCCCCTTCGGCTGCAGCTTCTGCATTTCCACAGGGATCAATCTCAATTTTTTGACTCACATCACGTAATGACCTTACACCAGCTGAAAATATAGAGCATAATTCTATTTTCAAGGTAATATGCTTACTCTCTGGCATAGTACAGGGTGGTTAGCACAATGATGGCCACACCTGGAGCATGTTGTTCAAAGGGCTGTAACATTGTAACTATCACTCTTATGGTCATGGAATTTTGTAGGCTAATAGGAAATTGAATTATTTACAAACAAATGAGTAAAATATCTAAATTGACATAGATATGAAGAAAATGCAGGGTTGCCATTTTTTACCACCCTGTACTATTGATCATCACTCTACTTATACATTAATGATAAAGAGAGCATCTACAAAACATGTCAAGCTAAATCAAACAGGCATACAATTTTATCTCTATTTGATATTCAAAATATCACACAAACAAGTCATTAATATGCAAAATGTCACAACCTGCCATTTGTTACAGATGCTGAATGCTGGCTGCCTAATGCTGAATATCGAACACCAACCATCAAATGCTAAACACCAGCCACAAAAAGTTGGAGATGACATGACAATTTGACACAACGTGTGATGGTGATGTTACAACATAATAGCCCTATTTCCTCTCTATTACAAAGCAGGTGAATTTACACTACTATTTTCTTACAAATTATTTTTTATTTAACACTGTAAGTTACACATTCCAGCTAATTTGCATAATGTGCATAACAAACCAGGATCTTACCAGCTATAGCAGATCTGACATTTTCACTTCGGGGATTCCATCCTTCTGCTTCATCATAGGCTGGCAGTTGAGGCTTCCCTAGTCCAACTAGACTGATGCTGGTGTATGTGTCATCTGCTCCATGAAGAACACGACAAGCCCCTTGCTTAAGATCTCCACCACAACTGTAACAAATATTAGAACTATCATATCTCAATCTCAGGCTTCCCTGGTCCAACTAGGCTGATGCTGGTGTATGTGTCATCTGCTCCATGAAGAACACGACAAGCCCCTTGCTTAAGATCTCCTCCACAACTGTAACAAATATTAGAACTATCATATCTCAATATCAGGCTTCCCTGGTCCAACAAGGCTGATGCTGGTGTATGTCATCTGCTCCATGAAGAACACGACAAGCCCCTTGCTTAAGATCTCCACCACAACTGTAACAAATATTAGAACTATCATATCTCAATCTCAGGCCTCAAAAAACTTCTTATCCTTTTAATAATTGACTGAATAATTTTGAGAACTGATGAGTGAACATGTGTAGATAAAAAAGGACAATAAAGTTATGATATATAGTATAACAGAAATTTAATAACCATCCTTAAATGTAAATTGATAAACAGGAAAACAGGTCAAAGCAAGAACAGCAATTACCAATTTGTTACTTTTAGTTTAGAGACTTACACTTGAACAAGTTGTGTTAATTTTCCACCAGTCTTTGTATCTATTTCCCTTGCAGTTGGGGTAAGTTCAACATGTTTATCTTCCGTCACATAAGCTCCAACAATCAGCCCCCGTCGAGACTGGAATTTAAGGATGCATGTATATCTATGAATTACAATGAAGTAAAATCTTACTAAATTGAGCATCTTAAGTTGTATAGGAAAATTCTCTGGTTTCAGCCAATTTTTTAGAGCCTGGGATTCAAGAGGCTCAAGAGGTTAAGGTTCAGCTGGAAAGTAACATTTTGGTAAAAAATTGCTATACCTGCACATGTTATTTTCTGGTACAGAATTAAGTATGAAGGCATATGTGTATTTCCTTGCTTTTTTCAGGAAAGTATCATTACACTGTCTACTTTTAGTAAACCTGGAAACAGGTCAATGGTAGCTCCTGTGTTGTCTGGAAACTTTGAAAGAAAATTTGGAAAAAAAGAAATTGTGAAATATCAGAATTTCCTGGAGTTCCCATTGAACTCCTACTAGATATTCTTAAAGAAGACAGTGTAATGATACTTTCCTGAAAAAAGCAAGGCAATTGACACATGTCTTCTTACTTTATTTTGTACCAGAAAATAACATGTGCTGGTATAGCAATTTTTTACCAAAATGTTACTTTCCAGCTGTACCTTAAATGCAAACCATTTGTATATTTTGGATTGCTTGTGGTTAAGCTCACAACTTTGCGGCCTATTGTATTTTCTCTAACATTTTATTTTAGAAAAGATCATCATGGCTAAAATCATAATATACTTCACAGGTTTATGGGGGGTTTACTGCGCATATAATATAGGTTACTCACTTCGTGAGGCATGTTAGATTTTGAAACTTATGTATAGCAGAATTAGTCACAGTTATCCCATTCCCGGAACGTCCGGGAACGGGATAAAGTCACAGCCTTTGACATGTCTAGGTTAAATATAGGAATATGGTTATTCGGAATGAGTTATATGTTCCTGAAAATAAGACTCAGATTACTTAATCTGGATTTTATTTCTTTGCTGAATTATCACCCACCATTTTTCAAAAAATTGTACTACATATATACATGCACTTTAATCAAGTATTTTGTTATCCTTACCGGGCTAGATTCACAGTGGTGTAATCGTTTAACCAAATTACATTTGTTTTTCTTTGTTATTTGAGCTCGAAAAGCAGCATTTATTGTTTTTAAATGTAAATTTGAAATGTACTTCATGGGCGCTGACATCTTGAAATATTACCCAGAACACCCCAAAAGATGTAAACTTCCGGGTAAAGTTTTTATTCCATTTTTTTCATTATTTCCATTACTTGGCGTTATACAGGCTTCCTAATCACATGTTCATGAGAGGTAATAGCATTGGGTACTTTTGAAAATAATTTTACCTCGATTGTAGGTGTAGTTTTGTGTCACATTCAGTTTCAGTGTTCACTCTTACTGTAGATTTTGAATTTTGAGTCTGAAGCCTCTGAAGCACATGCTATCTATTGCAAGACTTACGCCTGCCACAACCGTCACCATGTTAATCAGTGTTTTTTAAGTAGCGCAAGGATCCTGCCATGACCGTGGTAGTGTTATCGTGTAAGCCTGGTATAACCGTGACAGGCTGGTATAACCGTGACAATGCTGTATTCTATTGCAAGGCCTGTCATGACCCTGGAAGTGTTATCGTGGAAGCCTGGCGCGACCGTAGTTTATTGTGGTTTATAAGCGAATGTGAATATTAATGTATGTAATTTTGATTTTGCCATGATCATAGTATTAAACTGTTTAATTGTAATGAGGATCACTTAAAATTGTTAAGGATATTCCTGGCATAATGTCATACATATTTACTAGTCATTGCAATACATTATAACGGTCATAGTAGAATTAAGCCTAAATCTCTACATTACCACTCTCATACCTGAACTTGCAATACTATATTACATTGTCACGGTCATGCCAGGCTTTGCAGTTCTATATTACATTGTTACGGTCATACACCAAGCCTTGCAGAACTATATTACATTGTCACGGTCATGGCAGGCATTGCAATATAATACAGCATTGTCGCGGTTATACCAGGCTTTCACGATAACATTACCACGGTCATGGCAGGATCCTTGCGCTACTTAAAAAACACTGAATAACATGGTGACGGTTACGCCAGGCGTTAGTCTTGCAACAGATAGGGTCTCGTCTGAAGTTTTGATTTTGACCCATTGACTGTTAGTCTACCAATCATATGTAAATAGTTCACTGTGAGTTCAAGTTAGAACATCCAACCTGACCAGCCATTTATATATATTAGGGGGCAGTGGAAGAAGGGCCCTGGGGCAAGAGGGCCACCATGTTTGTTTTATTGTTTAAAATATATATCACCTGATATTACAGTCAAAACAGAAATGTTTGGGAGTACTTTGAATTTAAAAAATAAGCAATCAAATGACCATATTGAAACAGTTTATGTAAAAATAGAAACATTTATATTTATCCTAACTTTTGTATATTTTAGTTTGTTTTGTAATTTAGCTATCATATCTGTGTCCTCTAATATTTTGATACTTCTCTGCCATGTTATTTTCGGAAAAATTAACATGGCTGAAACTCCCTAAATTACAAAAGGCCACAGCTTTGCTGCTACCCTGCGTGCAGAGTCTAGTTAAACTACACTCTGCCTAGTAGAGACCATATTACAGTTTAGTAGCCCCGCCCCCAAGACGGGTACCGGTGACAGTTTGTTTTGACCAACACGCTGACCTTTCTTCCACCAATCAGCGAGCTTGAAGAAACATACGCCAAATGTGTTCTAATTAAATATGCACATGTCATTGGTCAATTCCAGCTCAACGATGACGTCAGAAGGAATGACCATATATAGAACGTCGGTCAAATTTGGCCGACGAACACTGATTGGCGCAATGAGTTCACAGGTTTATTTTAGTTTGAAAGAGTGAAGACGAAGCTCTTTTTCAAGAAGTGAAGTCAAACGAATGCAAAGGGTACTTTGCTGCACATTATACACTGATACATTACTATCTGAAATATACAAAAGTTAGGATAAATATAAATTTTTCTATTTTTACATAAACTGTTTCATTATGGTCATTTGATTGCTTATTTTTTAAATTCAAAGTACTCCCAAACATTTCTGTTTTGACTATACATGTATCTCCTGACAGGGGATCATCATGGCACCGACCTTACCAGCCGTTGATTTTGCTTCATTAAGGCATCAGTTTTATACTGTGGCACTTCCCGAAAGTTGCCCTTGTTGCCTCATTTCTGTATGTCTGCGGTAAAAACCTATGATTCAAAGTATATGTAGTGTACACAGGCCCGTAGCCAGGGGGGGTTCGCAGGGTTCGGGCGAACCCCCCCCTGGCCAAAAATTCTTTCAAAATCATGCAGTTTTTCACCATTTTGAGCACTTTTCAAGTGATTTTAGCCATATTTGGGCCAAAATTGTCAAATGTGAACCCCCCCTGGAAATTTTTGAAAACTGAACCCCCCTTGGCAAATCCTGGCTACAGGCCTGGTACATGTAGTTATCTGTTAGAACAGTTTTTTTGTCTAACAGGGGCCTTTTTTTGCCCCATGATTACACAAAATCATTTTTTTCAACAGTGAGAAGCACATTTGCTATTCAGAAATTTATTTCAGAGGGGCCTTTCAGATACCAAGTATATCAGAGTACCAATGTCAATTGTTGTAATAAACATGGGTTCAGCAGACAGGAATTTTCTCAAAATATTTTATATCACAAGTTGTGAAAATGAATGCTCTTAGGGGGTCTGTACCGTCCTAATTTCCCCTAGAGATTTATAAAGAGTTATGCTGTCAAAGAACTCATGGGGTACTCGAAGAGGATTGAGGACTTTAGATCCATTGGTTGAATGCCATAATTTGTAATATCATTGGAAATCAATTGAATGAATCAGTGTTTCTGTAGACATCTTTTTACAGTGTAATATGTACATTACATGTATAACTGTTTCGTTTTACATTTTCCAGTGCAACAGCAAACATGAGCAAAGATGAACAATACATTTACTGAACCATAATAGCTGGAACTAAAAGATGTCAATCCAATGTGATAACCTTGAGATTTGACACAATTTACATTCTCAAATATAGCTCATACAAGAAATACTATGGCAGTGATACGATGGAGAGGATGGTCTGTTATTACTCCCTTAACAAATCCACTGAAGCGGGCATGGATGAATCTGAAACTAACACGGAACACATTATTTTATAACTCATTCACCAACTGGAGTGCTGTGATGGACACTCTTTTCGCACCTATGTTTTGGTGTGTTGATAAGTTTGTTCACTATCTCGGGCCAGTAAGTAAAACTGTAGGTCTTCTATCGTTAAATGCTAAAATCGTGAACCATCAACAATCGGACATGGTATGTTTTATACCATTATGCTTTTGATGATCCAATAATCCACAATTCAGGTTTTCATCATCTAAAAATGTCTCAATGCAATATCCAAAACATATGTTGGACTCAGTTCGGCATGCTTTTGTGTTCTATAAATGTAGGATTGGTGTCCATCATACGATAATACCCTTCATTATGTTTAAGTTGTTGTCTTGAGCAACCTGTTTGGGTTATCAATCATCAATGAATAGGTTTTCGGATTATTTTCACATACCGTATTCTCTGTAATTAGCGCCCAGGGCGTTTAGAAAATTGAAAATACATTATTTAGACCATTCTAATAAGCGCCCATGTATGAAAGAAATCAGAAATCCCGAGGAATTTCATGTATGGCAATTTTTCTTGACAAGAATGCATTTCTTCAACATATTTTTATAATAATATGACAAGTGCTGTTATTGGAGAGAATACGGTAAAGATCGCTTAGACAATATTGACAGTGGTTGAAGACCCGTCTATGTCTAATTTATTTCCGGCACGCCCACTTTGTCATTATCGCCGATTACCTTCAATATTTCCACTAGAGACTGCTGGATATCGATCTAAAGTTATACATTATTTCTAATTTGATGAGAGATCATCATTATTCGTGCAAAAGTCGTGTAAAAGTCGAGAAACATTAAAAAGAAACCAGAAAGTTCACGACCTTGACATGCGCAGAACATCTGCGCAGTAGCTTTTGAAATTTCTGAATGCCGATAAAGAACAATTCCTTCATTCATTATGGACTATTTGGAGACAATATTAGCATGGTATGGTGTGGGAAGCACCCATCGATAGATATGTATCGAGAGGATGCATAGAATTACAAAACGCGTCGTGTTTACAGCAGTTTTAGGGTAAGTACTCTATTATCGCCCGCTCCTTGATTTTGAGAAATATTTTTTTCCTGATACATTCTTCAATTCTTGTTGATTCCTCGATGTTTCTTGAACTTTGTGAAGCGGGGTGGGCGCTTATTAGAGAGTGGGCGGTAATTACAGAGAATACGGTATGTTTTCCTTATAATGGGATTATTTGATGATGATTGACTTACATTGTATGTTTATAAATATAAGGTAATTCAAAAAATTATTCAACAAGTCAATCAGTCAAAATACTAATAGGGAACTCATGTACAGTAAAACCTGTCTAAGTGGAACACATTTGATACCTCTAGAAGTGTTCCACTCATAGATGCTCAATTAACATTAAATCAGTTGGTCTTGGGACTCTGAAAAGTGTTCCACTAGCAGAAGTGTTCCACTTCTAGAGGTGTTCCACTTTGGTTTCACAGTGTTTATTCAAAGTTAAAGGTATTGTAGGGTGATCCTTTGTCTAATACCCAAGCACTGCTTTTTCAGATTTTTGTGCTGCTTGTGGTTGTACTCACTACAACAGTGGTTGTGATATTTTATGTCTGCCTTCTGCCCCATAAGTACGACCTCAGCCTGGGATGGACCATATATCACCTTATATTTGGGCATTGGTTGCTTATTAACATTGTGTTCAACTACTTCATGGCAGCCTTTACTGATCCAGGTCATCCTCCTCAGGTTGGTGTATTTGATAATTTGATTGTGTGTAATTATCTCTATTATTATAAGTGTCTTATTGTCTAATGCTATGATAAATGTTAATATATTTAAAAAAAATATGGTAACCCTTTTCGTCACACACACTCAAACTATCAAATGTGTGTGTTTCAGGCAGTTCCAGAGGTAGTGTCTATATGTAAGAAGTGTATTGCCCCTAAGCCTCCCAGGGCCCACCATTGTAGTATATGTGATACTTGCGTGATGAAGATGGATCACCACTGTCGTATCCTTTCTTATCAACAAATGGATTTACATATAAATCAGCAGGGGATTTGTACATCTTTTTTTATTAACTTTCCTGAAATAAAATTTTTATCTTTATTTATAATTGTTCCCAGCATTATAGAAAATGAGGTATTGTTGGAGCTATTGCCAATGTCAGGACAAATATCCATCAAAGGATTCACGCATGGGAATATATAATTCAATTTTTCAAAATTTAAGATGTTTGATTTTAAATTTTGTTAGCTTTGCATAAAGAAACAATTGGTGTGCTATCCATGTATATGGTCCAAAAACTAAGTATCTCTTCATTATGATATACAACTTTGTTATGTTGTTTTCTGAACATTGTAATCCAGCTTGGCTAAATAATTGTGTCGGCCACTATAATCATCGCTACTTCTTCATGTTTTGTACCTACATGTGGATTGGAACGATCTATGTTTGTGTGTGTGCCAAGGACCTCTTCAGGGAACACTTCCTTGGGCCAGAGGTTAAGCACTTTCATTTTATTGAATAAGGGAAAAGATCAACATGAGGGGATCTGAAAAGATTTTTTTGTTCCATTCAGTTTACTTTATCATAAAATTATATTAGAACTCACCCATTTTGAGCATATGGTCCAGTTTATACAGATGACTTATTATAATGATTTTGAATGTGAATAAACAGGTGATGGAAAACCATTACAACAGTGAAAAACATTTATAAGTTAAAAATGTTATCCCCCTTGAAATAACAAGTGAATATCCTGCAATGGTAAAGACATGAATGAAATAAGAAAATATGTAGCACCATTGTCTTCTTGTCATAATTATATAATAACTTATTCCAGGGTTTTGCTGCAGTTACTTTGGCTCCACAGGCCGTGATGCAATATTTGAAGAAAAAAACTCAGATGTATGAACAAATAGAAGAGTCAGAGGTATGGTTTTCATAATTTATTGTATTTTATTAGAGACACTGTCACTCAGAGGGGACGATTTGGTACCCCCTAATATCTTTAACATTACTAGTAACTGCCACATTCAAAATTTTATGCAAAATGTGTTGATTTGTTGATGGTTACAACTAATTGATTGAATTAATTTTGGTTCATTGAAAATTCAGTAATTTAGGTTAATCAATATGTTGAAAACCAACAAAGGTGTTGGTTTGAACTACCTTATATTTTGTACTGTATATTTATCCATTGAGAAAAAAATATTCTAGGATGGAAAAATTTAATTCAATCAGTTAGCTCCTTTCAGAGTATGATAAAGTATTTCAGACCATACTGTGCCTGTTGTTTGTTTTGTCCATTAATTTTTTACTCTACTGCAATTCCATATATTTTAAAAATTATTGTCAAATATTAAGTTCCTTTGTAAGCTCTTTAAAAGATTATCACCAGTAAAAAGTTGTTGCTATTTTGTACTTAAGAGAGTGGGACTCAAAAATAAAGTGAATACACCTTTCCAATAAATCCTGGCACCTTTTGTCACATCAAAGAAACTAAGGTATATGAGTTAGATTGATGATGTCATTGGTGGTAGGTAGCAATCTGATCAAGTAAAAATAGCCTTAACTTATTGCTAATTTTGTAGTTTTGTAGCTAAGTACAACCAATGACATCATCGATATAGCCAATATATTATAGCTCCTTTGATTTACCAAAAGGGGGCAGAGTTTATTGGAAAGGTTTATTGCATTGAATTTGCTGATTTAAGGTTGAGCCAGGTTGTTAAGGTATATTGAATCTTTTATAGGTGGCTGCCTTATCTGAAGACATTGGAGAGATTTCTGATGAAGCCATGTCCTGGTTTCACCAGTGTATTATATATGAATTCCTGCTATGTAGCGGTGTGGCTGTAGCTCTGGGCTTCCTTGTGGCTTGGCACGGGCGGCTTATCACAAGGGGCGAGACTAGTATTGAAGTACATACAAATAAAAAAGAACGTGCCAGATTAAAAAAGAAAGGCTTAGTAAGTATTTTAACATACTGTAAAATTGTATTATACTTCAGAGATAATGCACATATATATTTAGTGTGACATGACATGACGAATATATGGAATCACCCACTATGGTCCTTCTGTCTATCCATCAACAATTTATGGACAAATGAAATGGGATATACTTTTTTCCACCATATGTGCTTATCGCATGCTGCCATTTTAAAATATTTTGGGAATAGATTGTGTTTTATTGTTATTTATTTATTTCGTTGTTATTCTTTTGTAAATGATCGTAAGTTTGGTTTTCGTTAAATAGTACTAAGCCCACAATTTTATTTCCAGGTTTTTAGAAACCCTTATGACTTTGGTCCAGTAGGTAATTGGCGTAAACTATTTGGCTTAGGACATGGTCGGACATTTCTGCGTCATATCTTACTCCCATCCACCCATGCTCCACTAGAGGATGGCTTAAAGTGGCAAACAACTACATATAAATTAGAAGATTCTCCTTTACTCCTGTTATGACAAAAGAAAACTCAGTAGCACCATGACAAGGAAGATATTGGCTTAAATCAGAGACATATAAAAATGGATGAATATGGGAATTCATTCCAAACTTAAAAAATGTGTCTCATTGATTGTTCATGTACAATACATTGTTATGCTACTATGAATGTTTATGGTGCTACTGAGCTTATGTAGTAAATTAAGAGTGCAACTGAAATTATTTAGTGATTTTTTAAATTAAGAAAATCTCCTTGGGAAGTCTTGAAAAATTATTTTTGTTCCATATGAATTTTCTAAAATCTTTCATGTAGATCCAGATGATGATTATGAACATGTAATTTTCATAAGTAGAATTACCATAAATGAATCAATTCAGGTATGCTCCATTATTAAATCAGCTAAATATATCTGAAATCAGAAAATGTACAAAAGTATACAAATAGAGTTCATCATAATGTAGTATTTGTAATAATGTAACTTATAATTTGTAACTTGTAATTTTATATCCAGAAAATGTTCAACTTATTTTTGTCATTGCAGGCATTGGCAAGATATTCCAGTTCTTTTATATAAAATCTTTCCATATTCTTATTTTGTTTGTACTGATTAATAGATTCCTAATTTTGATAAAGTAATGAAATTGATAATTCATAGTTAATTGATAGTGCAACAATTGATACTTGGTCAGAATGAGGGGCCAAATCAGAATCTTCAGGGGTGGTAAGGTATAACATCAGAATTAACATGGATGGCGTGTTATTTTAAACTTGACAAACTTTTGTAATGGTTAGTCTTAGTCAAATAACTTTTGCAAACAGACAATAATTTCGGTTGACCACTCAAGCTGGTCTTGTATAAAACCTAATCCACTCTTACCCTCGTCATTCATATCCAAATGGACGCCTTGTGTAGAAGGTATTTGGCGGTGCACAGATCCTTGATGCAAGAATACCCTCAAGGTTACAGACTTTAGAATAACATGACATTCATTTTGATTTCGATGTTTTATCGATCTTCACCATACCCCCTAAAATTTGAATGTGTACCATTAAAACACACTTAGTCTCTGATCCTTTGATCTGGTCCTTCATACTGAACAAATGTGACATGCTGCACTCATTCAATTTTAATTCAAAATAGTATTCAAAATAATAAACAAAAAGATCTCATAATCATTATTTATTTCCCTAAATTGTTGACTTGTATTTTGCTAGAGAGGTGGGAGTACAGTAAATAGATTTTTAAAGTTGCAATATACTTGACTTGCTTATAAAACCTACCTCTTGGCATTATAATTCATCGGGGCACATTAACATGAGACAGCAATTTGTAAAATCATAGAACAGAACATAAAAAAGTGAAATACTTCCTTTAATTTGTTTTTACCTGGGAGCATTTTGATATAAACTTGAATATAATGACGGTTGTTGATAAAAATAAATTTCATACCTATACTGGTTAACAAAGTGTTAATTTTGTGTTTTATTGGGGAAATAATTGCATTCGGGAATTAAGTGTTATAAAGACTAAATATCTCAAATAGTAGAACAAAAACGTTAGATAAGTATTAAATGGTACCATAGAAACTGGAAATCCAGGTACCTGGGGCAAATAAAGAATTGAGAGAATGACCCTAACTATCTATGTTTACATACATGATAAACTCTCAAACACATTAAAACTTTAAGTATTCATCTTACATCATCACTAAGCGAGATGTTCAAACGTATATCGTCTTTCAAACAAAAACAGCGCTTTGAAGATACAAAGACAACGCTGTGTGTTTTTTAATGATACAAACACCAATTTATGTCCTACTAAACTATATCATGGAGATTCGGAGACAATCAATTTATTAAATTATTAAGATTTAACATTTTGCAAAGTGTCTTTATTTGTGTTTTTTTTATTTATCATGACCTATTTATATCAAAGCTGAATCATTCAATCTGGCTCAATCCACGATTAAAACAACACAGTTGTATACAATCCAACACCAAGCCACCATAACAAAAGCAGGCACAACCAATAGAATACAACCAAAGTGTGATATTAATATATAGGCTACAGATGTTTTCTCCAACCGAAGACAACATCAATCACACAACACAATCGTGCACAACCCGACACCTCACCAGATTGGACACAACCCACCCCATGATCAGCATAACACAATCACCATATCACAACCCATTGTCAAATTAAAAACACAATAAGGTATAATCCAATACCAAACAAGCACAGCACAACCAGACAAACAACTACCAAACACAACCGACTATCAACTTACACAACATGATCCACAGGTAGCCTTAAAACAGGGTTTGAGGAAAATGTGTAAACGACCGACTAAATCATGTGTAAAAGACTGACCATATGTGTAGCCTTAACTTATTATCTATATAATTCGATTTTGAATACATGTCAATCGTAGGCATTGTTTTTTACCCATTTTGTTCTTTTCAATTAAGTTAAAATGGTTAAAACGAAAGGCAGGCAAACACTTATTTTATGGGACTATATCCTAATATTAATAAAAATTGTTATTGTCATACTGATTACTGAACACGATGTGTGTTCTCTCCTGAGGGTTAAAAGTGACTAACCATTAGAAAGCAATTTTTGTCACATTGAATGCAGTTTTTACCAGATTGACGATTGACTGAGAAATCAAACATTACGTATTCATCTTAAAGGATGATGACATGATTTAAAAGACCAAGGAATGTCTTTTGTTATTTTCATACTAAACATAATGTAATGTTACGTGCGTTTTCTCATCATGATCAAAAGTGACTAACCTAAATAAAATTGGTCTTCAAACAACTCAAGGCATCACTAAAAATGACATTACAGACCACGACGATGTTACGTTTTTCAGTTGCGTTTTTCATCGTGATCTGAAATGGTTAAACACATTTTAATAACGACCTTGTTAAGGTACTATTGTCATTGTATTCTTAGTTTTTAGTTTTATTTTCCTCTTCTAAGTTTGCATCTATTCATCTTCATGTAAAGGACAAACAGACATCCGACCACCAACCACGTGTGCCAAACTGCAGAGAGTGGCTGGTCGGTCGTGGCCGGCGGTCGGTCTTTTTCGTAAACCTTCCGATAAAACAGAACATGACACAATGTTGAACACAACCAATCCAGGCACAACCAATAAAGCATCCCCAGACTATTAAAACAATATGACTTAACCAACTCTTCAGCCAGAGACGCATCCACAACACAATTCGACAATTCAGTACTTTACTCGATTGGCTAGATTGTGTAAAACCTGCCACCCGGCCAGCATTGCATAATCACAACACTGCATTATACAATCCATTGTCAAATAGACATAATACAATATTGGTACAATCCAATAGCAAACTCACACAACCATGACAACCAGACAAACAACCACCAAAACACAACCGATTGTCCAACTAACACAACACAATTGGGGACAACCCAACGATAAACCAAGACAACTAAGCTGAAAAACCAAACGTAACGTAACCCATCGTTTGATTGTACAATACAATTAGGCACAACCAATAGTACACGACCAAATCGTGATACCAAATATACCCAACCAGCTCCCTAGATAATAGATATGGGTCTATTTTTAAACCCGGGAAATAAACCCTAGATGTGGAATGGACATTTTGAACCTCATAGGCTGCCCCTATACAAAAGAAGACGAGTACCCCCCCCCCCCCGTTTTAAATATAAAGAAGACTGCCCCGAAGCTACAAATTGAAATGATATGATGGCGCGATTTGAGACTAATAAAATGATAGACAATTACAAATTCTCTTTTCTAAGGAAATATGCAATGACATACATCATCCACATTCATGACCTGTGGTTCACCACTTACAGTCATTTAGACCTACATTCTATAGCAAATATTTGTCAGTGTCCAATTTTATTGGCCGTCCCTAGGCTGTCAAAGGACTACGCCCCGACGTAGGCGGATTTCCACATACCCTACCCACCCACCATGCAGGGTCTGACTTTATTTTTAACTTCTCTTGCATGATCTATTTCGAGAAACTATTTCCCCGGGTAATTTCCATTACTCTTGAAGGAAGAAGACTACTCGATCAACCTTCTACGTCACCGACCAGCTGTTCAAACTGATCGAGCGATTTCACTTGTAAATCGGCAATACGACCTGGTATCCTCATGTTTTGCTTTCAGAAGAAGCTAAGCCTGAAATCTAAATTATACAAACGGTACGGGCTATGCAAACACTTGGAATAACAACACCTTTCAAGCTAGACGCGGACGGAGACGTAGATAACAGTATCCACGTCCTTTATATCATGACAAGTTATTTTATAGGTATTTTTATGATTAGAGCAGGTCACAATGACTGGATGTTATTATCTTATAGTAGTCGACATACTTAAAGGAATCCAACACCTTGCAAAACTTCTTAACGGAGAGGAATAAGGGAAAATGCTTGCCGGATTCTGAATCTGTGTATTTTTTAATGATTTTTCACCGTCTTAGAATTTCAATTTTTTTCCTTTGAAAAAATGAGATTTGCATTGTTTTCCAATTAGACAAATGAGTAAACATGAATAGCCCGAAATCTAACGGTGAGATTTTGTTTTAAAAAATCATGGATATCAAGGCTAAATATAGCTATACAATAAACATAAAAAAGCAATGCTTGGACTCGTCATATTCACACAAAAAATTAATTAGTAAATGAGGTTTGATATTTGTGAGAATAAGTTGTACGAGTCGCAATGCTCTACAAACACCAGACTACAGGGTGGATTAGGATCAATGACACACATAAAAATTGATTTAAAAACATTTCATGATAATTATCTCAAACAAAAGCAGTTAGCGAAGGATACATTTCATTACACTCAATAAATAGTTATCACTTTTGACTATATATACATATCTCATGGGAATGTATTTCCATCTGCTCAAGATATCATATTTTAGCTTCGAAAATCACAATCGTTGGATAATACATTTGTCTCAGAATGATAGGCCACCCTGTAGCAATGTAGCTTTCACTTGAAGTGTACCCTTGAGAATAATGAACTTACTTTCAAATTGGTCTTGCTTTTGTGGTGTATGTGGCATTTTAGCAAATCTGCCACGCTCATTTCTTTCCAGAACCATCTTGTTCACATGTAACACTAGGCTATACGCGCATGTATAGACAGATGACATAGATATACATATAAATTATATATTGCACCTGTATTTACTTACATGGGAATATTCCCTTTGGAAAAATGCAAATGCATGAACATATATTTTCATCTTATATATGACTTCAAGCTAACATATTATTTCATATTTATATTTTCATAGTTAGTCTAACATAAATAATAGATCCATGAGAACAATATTCTTTGTTTTCTTAAAAATTGATGGGTTTACTGTGAATTCAATAAATTACAATTTGCAAGGGGTAAGTATACCGTATGACCTTAGTTGCAAAGTACTGTTTATATATGCAGCTCAATAGCATAAAATATGTTGAATGAAGCATATGGTGGGGATTAGTCGTGTGACACACAAACTGACCAATACATGAGGGTATTAGCTACTTTTCACAGAAACCAAAGGAGGACAGTGATTTTATTTCAACTGGGAGCTTACCTCCACACGACTGATCATGTGACCATGGTGTTGGGTCCCTTTAAGGTTCAGCTGGAAAGTAACATTTTGGTAAAAAATTGCTATACCTGCACATGTTATTTTCTGGTACAAAATTTAGTATGAAGGCATGTGTGTATTTCCTTGCTTTTTTCAGGAAAGTATCATTACACTGTCTACTGTTTGAAACTCCTCTCATCAGATGGTCTCAGATCAGGAAGATTTTCCTGTCACATCTTTCTGTTTTCTAAACGTTAAATGTATAGGTTTCTTAAAATCACGTTTCAGGTTGAATTTACATGGACAGGTCGAGGAGGAAGCATCTTCTCCGTGCCAACAGTAGAGACACATTGTGGCCCTATAGAGGGGGACATTGGCAAAGGCGTTTATACATTCAAGGTAACATATACGCGGGAAATATCCAGGCCCCGCTGACATCGCGAGCAATGAGCTCATGTTACAAACAAGCGGGGCCTTGAGAGATATGATAGAATCGAAATATAATTGTTTTGTGAAACTGTAGTAAGTGAAACTCAGTTCAACTTTATTTCATAGTACACTGGCCATTTTAATTGCAGAGCGACGACTTAACAATATTTTTCATACCTCTCAAAGCCCCGCTTCTAGCATGAGCTCATTGCTCGCGATGTCAGCGGGAACTTGCTCGCGATATACGGGGCCTGGATAGTCACCGTGGTATTTGTCTATGTATACAGACAGTCACACACATGCGTAAATCAGTGATGACTTTTGACCTAAATAGGATGTCAATATCACATAAAGTTCAAGGTCAAATGGAAGGTGAATTCTGGATGTTACCATTCGATAAGTTTTATCACCAGTTCATCAATTTAACTTTATGCCATTACACCAGATCAAATTAATGTACACGTGGCTTCTTTCACGGCAAAGTTTGTCACATTTGAATGTTACATTAATCGTCTCGTGTTTAATAATCTGTATACGTGTCTCATGAAAAATTAAACATTAATCATCTTTTATATTCTGTATATTTTGTTGTGGTTAAATGATATTAGTGTATTCAACCTTGACTTAAGGGTGCGATGATATTTCGGTCATAACTTACCTTTAAGTTAAACTGACAATATGGGGATATTAGGAATACTTTATCACAATCAATTGATTATTATGGTTATCAAATGCCATAGATTTTTACATTCATACAGGGTTATGATTCATCCATAATCGCTGTCACATACTTCAGGGTATACCGTATGCAGTTCCTCCTAAAGACGAGCGTCGCTGGAAGGCTCCCGAAGGTGTAAGTCAAGAGGATGGAACGTGCTGGAATGGTACCTTTAAAGCCCATCAATTCGGCTCTATGTGTCCCCAGCGTCTACAAACAGATCAGTCATTTGCAGGTAACCATGTCAATTATGCTTGAAGAGTTACTACGGTAACTATAACACGGGTGTTAAGCCACGATGATACAATGAGCACATGCTTTGAGGATTCGCGTTGTTTGAACCTACCGACGAGCTCACCTATACACCAAAACCCGTTACACAGTCATGATACCGCCGAGCAAACTCATTGCATCATCGGGTCTGCTTTACCCCCGTGTATAAGCACCTAGAGCAAGACAAATATGATACAGGATGTACAGTCTCACTCATTGCAAAAAGGAGTACTGTGATAAATATAGATTAATGCCCTCCCTACCTTTACATACATGACATACCTACAGTGTATGCTAAGAATAGAATGGATAGAGACCAGTTGAGAGTCAGCCGCCGTCGAAACCGCCAAATCTCAAAAAGACCAAACCAAGCGACATTAAAGGATTTCTCCCTTATGGTCCCATTCTTAATTTCTGAATACACAATTGAGATATATGATAAAAGTAAAGCGTATTTAAGTTGAAGCATTGTACATTGATTTATACTACTAAATATATTGAAACAGAAAGAACAAAAATATAGAAGTATATGAAATAGCAAATATTTTTAAGGAATATCTCATTTATACTTGAGTGGATGTCAATATTAATATTTAATGAAAATTCTCAACGTATCTCTGATTTTCAGGGGATGAAGACTGTCTGTACGTTAACATCTTTACACCAACACTAAACCCTAAAGCCAACCTCCCAGTGATGGTATGGATACACGGAGGCTTTCTGCTGTTCGCAAGTGGCAATTTGCCGAAATATGGACCTGATGAGGTTACTTCTGCAAAAATGAAGGAATTTGTATTTGTCACTTTTAACTATAGGTATAAAGCATTTGTGTCCGTGAGGTCCGCATGTTTTAATCATAATTTGATCACTCAAGTAGTTGTCTTTTATCAAGAACCCAATCCATTTGAACTCAGTTGAGAATTTCCACTTTTTACAAGTTTGGGATATTTCCTCAAAGCAATTGCGTTTTACTAGAAAACCTATGGTCGAATAGGCAGACTTATAATATTACATGAGTTTGGAGTTGAGATTGATTCTTAACAAGAACTCTTAAATATAGATTTATGTCTTTTCCAGACTTAACGTATTTGGATTCTTCGCTCTAGATTTGTTGAGCGATGCATCTCAAACAAAACATTCGGGTAACTATGGGTTTATGGATCAAATCTTGGGCCTTAAGGGGACTCATCTCTAACCCTTACGACAATGGTGATACACCTGCCAATTACAGAACAGAAAATAAACATCTCCAGGAAAAGCTTGTTTGTTAACTTCACGTTTGACAAGTGTTCTGTAATTAAATGTTAATGACGCTGAATGACGGTATGTGACACTTTACGACATAGTAACTCATAGCAACTATGAGCTCCTCACTCGAAGCAGTGTTTTATCATGACGTCATATAACACTCTTATTCACGAATTCTTGGAATATGGTACCATCATCTGTGACGTCAGTGACACATTGCCCCATCAACAATTAAACAAACAAATGAACTATACGTCACTGATTTCCAAAATAATTGCATAATTTGGTTGTTTGCTTTGTTTTCTTGTATTCGTTCAAGCTTAGTTCGCTATATTCCAGCAGTATAACAAGCATGCAAATGTTTTACAGACATGGCAAACCAGCATGTAACTTGCTTTTTTCTTTTTTCCGCTAAATGCCACTTGTATGAGCAATTTATATAAGGTTTCATCATATATTACCTTTGAAATCAAAATGATAAGTATCCCATATATTACTGATGTATAAGAAAATCGTTTTAGCCTACGGTATAGCCACCGAGTTGTGTGCCTCTTAATAACATCTAAAATAAAAAAAAAGTTTCACCATCGATTTTTTACTTCAAATAATATCAAAGTTTATTGAAATAAAGAGGCGATTGAAATTTAACATGGCGTCAAGAACCATTTACAAATGTTAGTCTTACACAAGGCTTTAATTTATTTACCCTCATTTGAATTTTCTTGAAATTTTAAACTATTCAGATGATAAAAGGCATTGCATTTGTATCATTTTAAGCGATTATAAAATAATTCGCATGCCCAATAACACGTATAGAGAGATTATACCGTTTCGAACTAAAAAAAATGTTTTTGATAATCGATGAAATTCTTGAAAATATAAGAAAAAGCCGAAACTCCGAAAATAAATAACAGAAAAAATCGACGGTGGAACCTTTTTATATTTTCAGATGTTATTTAGGGGTACGTGAACTATTGTTTAAAACAATAAAAACAATATGTCAATGTTCTAGTTATTCCCTAAAAACGTCAAAGTTTATGAAAATTGAAAGTCAATTAAAATCTGATATGGCGTCAATTGTACTGTCTAATTTGGGTAAGGGGTCACAGGCCTTTACAAAGATTGGTATAATAACGCTTTATTTACCTCGAATCGAATTATCTTGGAACTCAAACTCTTCAGATAATCAAAGTGAAGTTAATCAAAGACATTTTTAGCAATTGTATAATGATTCACATGTCTTATATGCGTATGGCGAAACCATACCGGTGAGCAATGTAAACATTTCTTGTTGGAGATAATTGATGAAATTCTTAGAAATATCAGAGAAAGCCGAAATTTTGAATCTAAATAACAGAAAAAAATCGACGGTGGAACTTTTTTATATTTTCAAATGTCATTTAGGGGTACGTGAACTGTTGTTTAAAACAATAAAAACAATATGTCAATGTTTTATTTTTCTCAAAGAATGTCAAAGTATATGGTAATAAGGTGATTTAAGTTCGACATGGCGTAATTGTTATTGCCGAACTTGGGTGAGGGGTCACAACCCTTTACAAAGGTTGGTCTTATGATGCTTTATTTACCCTAATTTTAATTTTCTTGACATTCAAACTATTCAGATAATAAAAGGCATTGCATTCATATCATTTTAAGCGATTGTAAAATGATTCGCATGCCCAATAACACGTATAGCGAGATCATACCGTTTCGCCCTAAAAACATTTTTTGCTGGTGATAATCGATGAAATTCTTGAAAATATAAGAAAAAGCCGAAATTCCGAAAATGAATAACGGAAAAAATCGACGGTGGAACCTTTTTATATTTCCATATGTTATTTAGGGGTATGTGAACTATTGTTTAAAACAATAAAAACAATATGTCAATGTTTTAGTTTTTTCCTCAAAAAATGTCAAAGTTTATGAAAATTGAAAGTCAATTAAAATCTGATATGGCGTCAATTGTACTGCCGAATTTGGGTAAGGGGTAAGAGGCCTTTACAAAGATTGATATAAGAATGCTTTATTTACCCCGAATCGAATTTTCTTGGAACTCAAACTTTTCAGATAATCAAAGTGAAGTTAATCAAAGACATGTTAAGCGGTTGTATAATAATTCACATCTCTTATATGCGTATGGCGAAACTATTCCGGTGAGCAATATAAACATTTCTTGTTGGAGATAATTGATGATCAAGTTCTTAAAAATATCAGAAAACGCCGAAATTTTGAATCTAAATAACAAAAAAACTCGACGGTGGAACCTTTTGGTATTTTTAAATGTCATTTAGGGGTACGTGAACTATTGTTTGGAACAATAAAAACAATATGTCAATGTTTTAGTTTTTTCCTCAAAAAATGTCAAAGTTTATGAAAATTGGAATACAATTAAAATTTTATATGACGTCCATTGCACTGCCGAACTTGGGTAAGGGGTCAAAACCCTTTATCTAAGCTGTTCTTACTATGCTTTATTAGTACCGCTGAAAAAATAATTGGCATCAAAAGTCTTCAGCTTATCAAATGCCGTAAATTAAAAACAATCTTGGTGGCCGTGTGACGATTTTCCTATCAATCATCGATAAATTGAGAACGTGTCGCTTTTAAGCAAGCGTATTCTAATGAAGCGGGTAAATTGAGGCGCTTCTTCCGTAACGTCACACTCATCTTTCAGACGATGTAGTGAAATATTTTGATGGCTAACATCCAATGTTTTTTACATAAAATGAAAGCATATATGATACCCTTCAGAAAAAAGAAACATAAACAGTGCATGCAGGGTATCCCAAAATCGGCTAGGTTAGAGATGAGTCCCCTTAAATGGGTGCAACGAAATATTAAAGCATTTGGAGGAAATCCTAATTTAGTAAGCGACATTTGCTCAGTAAATTCAAACGTTTGATAGATTGAGTATTATATAATGTATTAATTCCCGAATAAAGACGTAAATAATCTACCCTGCGCGCAGAGTCTAGTTTTTTTGGTTTAATTAGTTGTAAACTAAAGTCTAGTTGTAAACTACGAAGACGAAGCTCTCTTTTAAGAAGTGAAGTAGAACGAATCAACAGACACGCTTAAAATAGCTGTATTTTGCTGTCTTTTGATGCCGAATTTCTAGATAACTCACGCGTCACGTTTGGGGACTTATTTTAAAATGTCCAGAGTCTGATATTATGTAATAGAGAAGAAATAATTTTGAGTTTCAAAATCAAACTTTAGGTTACGATCTATGGACAAAGTAGTGGAGCAACGTCTGTGTATGCGCTGATGCTGTCTCCATTGGCTGATGGTCTATTCCACCGGGCATGGTCCAGTAGTGGGACTCTTCTTATTAACAAAGACCTGACTACAGTGTCTAAAGACAACCTAAAAATCCTTGAAGCAACTGGATGTACCACATTAAAATGTCTTCAACAACTTGAGTAAGCGTTCATTGTACTCACATTGTTTTGTGTACTAAACTCAAATTGTATGTGAAAAATTATGTATTGGCCACATAGATGAGCAGGAACACTTCAATTGTTTTCATTTACTTCAAATATTATTGTATGTGCACTCAGTAGTTTGTGTTCTTTTTTGTCATAAGAATGATATTGACTTTATACTCAGAGTGTACTCAACGCAGTTTAAAATACTTTTGTGTTTATTGTGTTATTGTGTTTATCGAGTTAATGATCTTTATTATTGATTAAAGAATAGTAATTGTATTTAACAAATATAGACCGAAGAGCAGGGGTAATATTGTCGAATACGCCCCCTAGGGCTAGGCATAAAAGCTTTCGAATATACGTCCATGATAGAAGGCGTGAATACAGTCATGATGGAATACCTCTTATAATTAGTTTAAAATACTCGACTGTTTTATAGTCCTACAAAGCTGATCCAGGCGATGGAAGTTCTCTGGAACTTTATGGATGAGATGTCCGACCTGCCAACTAAGGGGAACTTTGATGCAGCCCTTGTTATTGCCGATGGTAAGATCTGTGCAATAAGCCTTTACTTGTTCACAATTCCTCTGGTACAGGTTTTTGTGTCACCCAAAGAGAATGTCCTCCTGTAATTTACTCTGACTGAATGCAAACCATACTTAGTTTTATGGACGCTCATATCATGACTTCAAACACTTGCCTCCAAATTTTAAAGGGGTGCTTATTTGTGTACTTTCAGGAACAGTTATTCCCGATATGGATTTCAAGTGGAAAGATGTACCATTCATGATAGGTATGATTTCATATTACACGTTATTTAAGTTTTGGACGTTCTAACAGTTTCAACATATCATCAAAAAGATGTAGCAAATAACATTAAAATTAGATCTCGGTTTAACCCAGAGAATGGTAGTAGTATAGTTAGAAACTACAGTAGACCATTATCTAGGTTAAAACGCTGTCAATACGCAGGTCTTGCCCTAATGTACCATACCCGTTTCCCAATTTGATTTTCAATGAAAACATCATACCTTGGAAATCCAAGATGCTGATGTACTGGTGGTGGGATATTGAAGAGTATTTTAAGTATCATAATCTGGTTATGCACATACGGTATGCACATCTACCTGAGGGACTGAAGGCAGATATCGATATCTTCGAGGGTTAAACCCCATTTTCAAAACGATCGTACATAACTGCTTTATCCTATACCCAGTAGAGTTTTCTAAAAAAAATTCCAAACCTTTTTTCAAAATTAAAAAAAAATGTTTTCAACATTTTTTCAATTTTTTCAATTACCGGTTATGGGGTATGCCCGGGAACTGGAGATATGTCGGGAGATAAGACTGGGAGATATGGATGTTCTGGATATGCAACCCTCAAAATCGGGACACTGGATATATCTTATTTAACTTATCTCACTAAAGCTCTACTAGGATAAATTGTTGTACGGTTCAAGTTCACACCTCTATAAGTTACATACCTAAGAAATTATATTTTATTTGAGTATTTGGAGACTGTATAAAAGCATATGAACCATTAACCTCTATTTTACTTTTTCCAGGCACTACTGCTCAAGAGACAGACAGTGGACCAATCCCTGCAGATGTAAGAACATGGAGCCAACAGGAATACATTGATTATGTTACGAAGAAACTAGACACATTTAGTGAGGCTATATCATCCAATAACCGATTCCAACGACCCGGAGTATCAGTACACTAGCATGGTTTCTGACATGCGAGTAAACTGCATCAATGATGTATTAGCCAGTCAGGCTTACAATGCAAGTAGAAAGACGGGCATATATAGATATGTCTTCACAGAGTTTCTTTCAGTTCCAACATTAGCCTTCGAAGAGTCTTCATTCAAAGCGAAATATGCTTTCCACAATATTGACAATATGGCATTTTCTGGTCACATTCCTAATTTCATCGAATCACCAACGGCAAAAGACTTACAGTTTCAACAGACTATGATTGAAAATATTGTTAGCTTTGTACAAACTGGTTCCCCAAAGGCAAAAAAATGGAAGCCATGGCCAGATGGCACAGCTTTACTAGGGGCCAAAGTGAACTTTTCTTCTGGCGTACATGGCTACGCACCAGATAAATGTAAATTTTGGATGGAAAATCATTTTGGTGACTATGCATGGGTCACTTAATCGCAAGGCAGTGATCACTTTGATCTTTTACCTTTATACTTTTTTGGTCACTCAAATGAATCATGTAAAGTTCATGCAAAGATATTAAGGTAAGTCATGATCATATTTTTTTAAAAAGAAACATGGTAACTTTTGATAATTATGTAAACTTTCCAAATTCTTCACAATGCTGTTGTTCCATATATTGAAATGGATGGCAAAATACAGATTGACACTTCTGTGTAGATATTCAAATGAGCTACAGTGTATAGAGCTATGCCATCTTTAATCATTAATTTTAATTAATTACAGAGAAATACGTTTGTATGTTACTAGGTCGGGCCATTTTACAACTGACCCATATGGCGGTGGAAATGGCCCATGCCATAGACTGTTAATTAAACCACCAATGTTAATAGGCTAAGTAGTCTGGGATCTTCGTTATTTGTTCGAATTTATGCAGAAATTAAGCCCTTATTACCTATTTCATGAATATTTCGATTGTTTTTAATGAAAAATTTGCCCGAGCTAATTTCTCGGTCCTTTTTTGTCCCAAAATTGACATTTTGCCCCCACCCCTGGGGGGTTAAACTAAAAAACAAACTTTTTGAGCAAACTCCCAGATTTTCATGAAGTACTGATTGTATAATGATTATGAGATCGGTTGTAGATGTTTATTTAAGCTTGCAAAATTGATATTTTTACACGTTGACGTCCACATTTTCAGTTAAAGATGTACTAAATTCCCATGTCAGAATATCTTATTAGCATGTACCTTGTGGTGGTGATGGTGCGTATAAAAGGGAGGCGGTCACAAGGGCATCTAGCTTAGCTACTCGAGGACCGACTACATTCATTTACAACGGTCCCACTTCTATCTAATGATGAAGCAGCATATTCTGGATGTCACATCGATTTTGATTGAAATGGAATTTTGTGGTATGTTTAGTCTCAGGAATAACCCAATAAACAGGCACTTGTTCAATCAATTCTTAGGACCATGCATAAGAGAGGCTAGCAGTATTATTGTTTTCTTCAGTATTGCTTTTATGTATTACAAAGTTATATAATACATAGTTAATTACAAGAAAATAGTTTTTATTCCACAAAACAATGTTAAAATGCTCTTCAATATGTCACTACATCTTCTAATTCAAGTTACAAGATGAATGCTGTGAATTAGAACAAAATAATAACTATAACACACTTGTAATTACATGAATAAAAAAGGTGATGCTATTTACTTCAGGCCTCCATCCTATAATACTTGAACTTGAAGTCTCGTCCCCAGTCGGAGTATAAGAATTATATTTTATAGTATATACATAACTTTATATAAAGGGTGACAAAAATACAATATCGTAAATAAAACGTCTATAATTCACATTGTGGGAACCAAATGTGTTGTATTTTTGTGTCACCCTGTACAAAGGTTTCGACATAAGGAGCAATATTCCAGAACAAAGTTCCAAATTAATTCATTGTACATTGACATTGGCTTCCTTTATTGTACATTGATATTGGCTTCATTCATTGTACATTGACATTGGCTTCCTTTATTGTACATTGACATTGGCTTCCTTGATTGTACATTGGCATTGGCTTCCTTAATACTGTTCCACATAATTGACGGTGCATAGTGCCTGTGTAACAAAATGGCGTCCGGGTATGTTGCAATAAAGATGCAGGTGTAAAAGGGTAGGAGGTCCTATCAAATTATGGTCCTCATTATCTATAATCACTGGGCCAGTAAGGGCCGTTAAGAAAGGGGTCCATAATCCCTGGGGGACCATCATTTCTTTCACACCGGTCGTTATAAAGCTTTCTCATCTGTTCATTCTTATTAACTCTGTGAATATGAACGAATATAATACACAAACGTTAAATTATGATGAATTAGCAGTGTTATGTAGAAATATTGGTGTATTGACCGTTGCAGTGATCCCGCTGAAATCACCGGGTATTGATCTTTCCCTTGATCCCCATGATATAATTAATGCAGATTCATTTTACAATTATTAGTCCGGGAATCCATTGCATATGTTTGCAGGCTGGTACGTATACTGTACATCGGATCGTAATCTGACTAAGCACAATTCACCCAAATGGATTTTCCATCAAACTAAACGTGTTGTATTAAATGCTCCAATGAAGAATATAACACGAATCCAAGCCTTGAAAAGAAGCAGTGTAGCGAAGATATTCAGGCCGTCAAGGGATTTCAAAATTCAATTTTTGCTATCTGTTTTTATTGTCATCGCTCGAGGGATAAATCGATCACTCAATTTTATGTTGGTTGTGAAGTCTTGATATACTTTGTTCCAATGCATCTTTTTTATCCTTAGGGATTACCGACTCTGATTATGTATTCCAATTTAAATCTATGTCAGGGGAGCTTTGGCTATTTATATCATTTAATACTATAGTTGGCCTATTCACATCCTGTTCTATTATGCCACAGGGTTGACTATTAGACATACTGATTCCATTTTTATTTAACATCGCACGTTCGCTTTTTGACTGTTTTGTACTTGGATTTTGAATCTGTGGCTGATCTGAATCAAGTGTTGCATAGTTTTTATCAGGAGTTTTGGACACCAACGCTGAGTCGTTTATGTTTGATTCGTCCTGTGAATAGAGACTCATTGAACCCGGTATACCGAACTCAAATCCTTCTATTGTGGTTCCCGTGCCGCATGATCCACGGGATGCACAAGAAAGCAGATCGCGGGCGCGTTGTGGATGAGCAGGACGACCAATGCTGAACGAGTGGTTGGTAGATAACGCCTCTGTTGTAGCACTGTCAAGGATGTCATTAAGACTGGCGTCTTGGAATCTGGAACTGGAAACAATAATACAAATAACTGTAAATGCTTTTTATTTAATAGTTGTCAAAGTAGATGGTCCCCCACAGCCGTAAATTCATAATCTCGTTCAAGCACTTTGATTCATTTACCAATGAAATATTTATTTCTTTAATCTAATATTTTAATTCAATTGGATTTAATCCGATATTGATCGAGTGATGAAACAAACCTATCCACATCATGATCAAGTTCATGGTCGGAATCTTCTATTTTTGAGCTTCGTTCGCTGGAAGACGCTTCAGTATCGCCAGGCGTCGATGTTTCCACCTCTGTGGGTCCAGGGTATGGAGGAGGGTCGCCCATTTCTGCAGCGTATACCGGAGGGTCAATGCCTGGAAATCACAAAAGTCATTGATTTTGAATTTTAAGGTGAAGTTTTTACCCAAAAGTTATTGATTTTAGTATTTTGAGGTGAAGTTTTTAAATTTTCCTTGGTGAGGGCACTTAAAATTGTGAAACATATCTGATGAAAAAGTCAGAACCTGAGAATAATGAAATTGTTTCAGGACCAAAATGTTAAATCATTTATAAGTCCAGTCTCATCCGAGTACAGCATAATCAAACCGAGTGTACCAAGGTCATTGAGAATACCAAAGACGAGTTAAGCTCACACATTTCGATTAGCAATAGCGATCATCATCCTATCTATTGGGACTTGTTATTAACATACAAGTATATTCCTCTCCGTCGGGAGCAACAATTATGAGATTAATTGACCGGTGGCAATGCTCACGTAACTAAGGAAACTGAGCAACATGATCCAAAGGAATGACATTTGCCCAGCAGTTTTGCCTTAAATCGAGACATTCCAAAGGGGAAATGAGATTTCTTTCTTGGCACAATGAGAACAACTTACATTTTTCAAAACATATTTCCATGGATATTTAAACGTAGGCTCGATAGACATGCTATGCCATAATACATCAACTGAATCGTTGAACCTGGCCTTCAAAAGGTTGTAGATATGTAATTTGTCAAAATATTCTAAGACCTCACCTTGACTTTCCACAATAAGAATTCACATAAATGTGTGTGATGAAAATAACATGGGAATTAGTATTGAATAAATCAGCCTGATCGTGTACTCAGGAAGGTGACGATGAGGTGGGGACCTTAAGCACCCTATGCAGACAGAGCCTGTGGGAAATATTGGGTGCGGAGCAAATGAGCGGAGGGTGCGGAGCTAACGGTCATTTTTGAATTTAAATTTGGGATATTTCTGAAACTAAGCCGTTTTGGGACTTCAAATATACCAAGATATGTGTATTTGACACCAAATATCAATACAATTGTGAAAATAGTAGCGCAATTCATTCTATAGCGACGCAGTGTGCCTTAAACCTTTCCCAGACCTAGTATTTTGAAATTATCCTTTTAATACTGAGTCCCCAGCATTCATAAAAAATGGTGTTCAAGGTACACTATCTATACAAATTATTTTTGCATCTTGGAAGCCAGGCAGTATCTGTGTGATTTTATAAAAAATCGGAAATGTTTTTCAGATATGAGCCCCCTCTAAATATTGGGTGCGGAGGAGCTCCATAAACGTACCTCCGCACCCAATATTTAGAGGGGGCTCATATCTGAAGAACATTTCCGAATTTTTATAAAATCACACAGATACTGCCTGGCTTCCAAAGTGCAAAAATAATTTGCATGGGTAGTGTATCTTGAACACCATTTTTTATGAATGCTGGGGACGCAGTATTAAAAGGATATGTCTCAAAATATATAGGTCTGGGAAATGTTTAAGGCATACTGCGTCGCTATAAAATGAATTGCACTACTATTTTAACAATTTTATTGATATTTGGTGTCAAGAGACACATATCTTGGTATATCTGAAGTCCCAAAACGGCTTAGTTTCAGAAATATCCCAATTTTAAATTCAGAAAATGACCGTTAGCTCCGCACCCTCCGCTCATTTGCGCCGCACCCAATATTTCCCACAGGCTCTGTCTGCATAGGGTGTTAAGGCAAATGTCATTGTAATAATTTTAACAATTACAAATATAAAGCTTGGGTTGTTATAAGTCAGAATGTCATCAAACAGGGTGTATTTAAACCAAACTAGCCTTGCCTAGGTCACACTTTATTCATTTCTACTTTTATTTAATTGAAGATTGGGATCAATAAAAAAGATACGACTTCTAGGCAAGGCTAAATCCAAACCAACAACACTAAATATTTGGCCATAGATTTCTTTAATATGGATGCGTACTATACCTTGATATGGGTGATTGGAATGATGTGGGCACACTGTATATGTTAGTGTGTAACCATTACTGTTAGTTTCCAGGCGTTCACAGCCATGCCTACCATCTGAAAATGAAAACATGACGCCGTGAATTTGTTATCCTTTTGAAAAATTAAATAAAATGTCCAAGACAGTAAAGATCACATTTTAAAGTCGAGGTGAGTTGCAGAGGTAAATTATTTTGAGGTCATTATTAGATGCATTTTAAGTGATTATACAGTCATACATACAACTTAAGAAATAACTAGACGAGAAGTGTTCCGTTATTATTTAAACCCACCTACGAGGGCCGTTCAATATCCTAAACCCCATCACGTCAACGACTGACAACAATCGTTCAATAAATACCAATACAAATGTTCATGTTGATTAAAGAATCAAAAAGAAATCTTCAGTTATTAAACATCCCTCGAAAGTGTAATCAACTGAGACTGTGGTCGATTATGCAGCCACAGTACTGATCTATGATAAACTGGAATCGAGAAAATATTCTATGTACCAGCTCGGTTGCGCTCTTTACGTCGTTTGTACAATGGGCAGCAGGAGCAACAGCAGCAAACCAGTAGGGCAATGACAACCAGCACTATAACGCCACCTATCGAACCACCAAGCACAAAGGGCAAACTGTAAAATAACATTTACACTAATTTTACTTGATATAAAAAAGGAACTGTGTTATGCAAAATATAGACCCGCAAATATAGGCATTATCTATTGGTACTCATTCCAATGGAATGATATGATCTCAAGATAGTTTTTGACTCATTTAGTTTTTGTTGAAGTGGAATCATTTCGGGTCTATTGAGCAGTAATTGTTACACGGTGAACCAAGATATATTAACCCATAGACATATTGCAACTTAATGCAATTGAGAATCCGGTTGGGACTTCAACTTACTCAAAACTCGATATAGCATACAGTGATCCATGCATATGCTCACATCTGATAAATAAACTATATATTTGATTTATGTATATTTGATGCATTGGCAGATAGATTTATGAGATCTGACACTTAAAAACAGGTGAAAGGTGTTTTATTGCTATTAAAATACGTTTCTTTACCAAGAACATAATTATAAAACACATTTTTCTTCTGGCGCAAGTGTAAAGAATTCATTATAGTCGTCATATATTGTTAATATAACCATGCACCTCTATCCCCTATTTTAAGAGGTTCTCTATGGGCAGAAGTAAATATTAACAACATGCATGGGCGTAGCCGGGGGAGGGGGTACGACGATACGATGGGTGCGTCATGTGCGATCACTTCTTGACATATTGCCGGGTACGCCTCTGGCAGTGGACTGTTTTGGTTCACACAGTTCAAGTTGTCACAGTGGTTTCTAACGCTGACGAGTCCTTTCTCGACGAACAAAAGAAATGTTCACCTTGAAACCTTACAGCTTACACTTATCCTGGGGTCCGTTTTTGGAACCGTCATAATCTACGATTTAGTCTCGGAATCGTAAGTTACGATCGCACAAAAACGAGCCCCTGAGATCTTGAGACTTTTGCAGACGTAGATCTGTCTGTTTAAAGAACTGAAGAAGGGAAATGGAACTCTCAAAGGGGTAGCTGTAGGTGCCTAAGTGATGAGAGAGTGTATATCCTCGGATATTGCTAATCAGCATTTCACTACCTGCAGAGAATCTGATGAAAAATATGCTGGAAATACATGATCCCATTTTATGAATAGCAGAGATTTTGCTAACATACATAGGATAACGTAACTTTTCAGGAACAAGGCGATGGAAAGTATATCAACTTGTAACTTTCCCACATGTTTAAAAACTGACATTTTTAACATCTTTATACAAAATAGACATGATTCTAGACATCTTTTCACAATTCGTTATTGTTGTGGCAGTATACGCCGCCAGGCCTGTGGCCAATTCTTTCAAAATCATGTAGTTTTTCACCATTTTGAGCACCAAATTTGAACGCCCCTGGAATTTATAAAACACTGAACCCCCTCTTTGGCAAATCTGAATACGGACCCGAGCGCCAACACCCGCTAATACTTATCAATATACGGATATATTATTTAGTTTAGTTTAATAACATGTCACTACGGATTGATTATCTTATTTTTCTTTGATTATCGCATTTTTCAAAAACAACCTAACCTTATTAGTCTTAACAAATGGGAAATAAAATAAAGCACCTTCAAGGGAAAGATAAGATCAATAGCAACTAAAGATTAATTGATTTCACAGGGATGATTTAGAAGCTAAATTATACGCTAGATTACTCAATCGATTTTTATTCTATTAGTTATAAGGTTGATGGACTCCATGCCTTTGACAGAAACTTATCAATTCGGCTATTATCAGAAAATGTAATCATAACATTCAAAGAATTGGTCGTGACGATGAATGATGCTTAACTAATATTTCAACTTAATATAACACAGCAGTTGTATATTAATTTAACGAAGGGCGCGTTTATTGAAGTTGGGTAACTAACTATATCACGGTGGTTGAAGATCGCGCGGTCCAGACTTACATGCCTATCCAAAACCGAGGCTGCAACGCTTGCTAGTCAACGTTTGTACTCGACAAACTCGACATACTACTAGTATTGAGATTCGATCAAAATCATGTAAAAGCACATCTTTTAGCAACTGCAATTTGCGATGATTTTTACTGTACACGGGTACGATAGTGACATTCATGTTCAAAATCATCGTTGAATGCCTTTATCTTAATATATATTAGGCAACACAAGAAAAATAAATGAACTGTTAAACTTGATAAGCCAAACAAACAATTTTCTTTGATCTAAACCCTTGGAAACTCAAATTATAGAAGCGTCACGACCGTCAGCCTGTGGTTCAATTCCAAAGCCAATAATACTCTCAATCTATACTGACCATTGGACTTTCAGAGCTTACCATTTTGTACTAAAAAGGTACGAAATCATGTTCCATGAAGTTCAACAAAGTTGTATCACGCCTACTTACGCTGGTAGGGTATCTGGTAGTGGTGTAGGTGTGGATGGTGGGCAGCAGTAGCGATATGTAGTGTTCCCGCAACATATTTCTACGGGAGGATTATCCTTCCACATCGGACAGAAGAACCCGTTGTTCCAGATACCATAATTGTCCACATATCCTGAGCAGTATTCTTTTTTGCTCCCTGAAACATATGTACGTAGGCAGCTCATAAAATAACAAGAAAACATAGACGAATACACTCCTCTGAAAATGTTTGGCAACCAGAATTCCCATTTCGGACGACGTGGTTAAAGCCTCAGTCACATTTGGTCTACGGTCAAGGTGGTCTTACGGCGGCCGTAGCTTCACAAAATCGATGTAGAAAATCTGCTATGATATCGTAGGGCTTATCCCTATGTTTATGCTGCATGATTCTCTCAATTTTGGGAAGCTACGGCCGCCGTACGATTGCTGTAGATCAAATGTGACTGAAGCTTAATATAAGTCTGTTTACGTTTGGCGATTTCACATAATTCCTTGAATGAAGTTTTTCATTTACCAAACCTTTGGAGGGGATGTTGGTGAGCAGAGTGGAATCGTAACTTCTTCGGAAAACTATTGTCTATACTGTTATGTGAATTATTTCACAATTTACTCCTACTAACACCGTTTCTAAGGATGTAGTGTTGTATGATAAATATTGAAAACAACATCAAACAGCAGGATTCTTAGATGTAGGCTTGAATAAAATAGAATGGCATAGAAACTGAGGAAGAATAATTCAATCATCGACAGAACTGGAATTAGAATGAAGGAAATGTGTTTTGTTAGGTTGTTCATGATCGTTGGCATTACCTGAATTCAATTAGTTATGATCGACATTGGATGGCTATCTCCTTGTGTCTGACAAGTTAAAATAAACAATTTGGAACTAAAGATTTTCTTTATTTTATCACCTGGACAAAAATCTCTCTACTAAACCCAACTACTGAAATTGTTACTTTTAGTATTTGGTAAATGATTCGTAACTTTTTCGATGTAATTGAGGTGAAAAACGCACGACTGATCGATGTTAGAAGCCATGAATGAATGCGCTTATTGAGATGAGCGTCATTATATTCTCTTGATGATATGTCGGAGTACAAAAAGAAAAGACAGATAATAGCACTGCTACACTGAACTATGATTTTTTTTAAAAAATGGGATGAAAATTCGAAACATAGCTCGACTTATTGTCGATATTCTTCTATATTATTCAAACATCTTCTGGTGAGCTCGTCGAACACTAGGCCATGCCAACCATTGCTTTGCAAGATTATTAAAGTGTCTTTCTAAGACTTAGAAGGAAAAATGTGAGATTTCGAGCCATATGTCTCAAGAAAATGCTCTTACCTTTCTAGTAGGATGAGTCCAGGTGCCAAAAACAGCTGATCAAAGGATATATATCATTTTCTAATTGAAAATTTTTGTTGAGCCCTGCATTTTTAGCACTGTTTTGACAGGAAGTCATACCCAAAATGAAAACTGAATAAAACAACCTTTATCCTAAATGTAGATCAAAATACTTACTCAGACATGCAAAATGTTATTATTAGTAGTAATGCTGATCATTTTTAAGAAATTTAAGCATGTAAATAAGACTTTTTTCGTCCATGATTATATAGATAAAGAATTTCTTCCTTCAGGAAGCTTTGGCAGTTTTGTGTAGTGGTTAGAGCTTTGGGCTCAAACAGACTTTTATTCCAAAAAATCTGGGTTCAAATCCCTCCAGTGGAATATGTTTTTATTCTTTATTTTTGTTTTTTTTTCATTTTGATCCACAATATTTCTAAAATAAATTTTTGTATATGGCACCTAAACCATATTTAGTATTTCCAAAGGTTTTAATTTTTAGATGAAATCATAGAAAGTTACTTTAAGCTCAAAGATATAAAAATCTTGATTTTGGTTGTTACGTGCCAGCTTTGGCACATGGCTCCCATCAATAACATATTTGTAATTTTAATATGGTATTTCACGACACTCTTGGGCCAAATATCTAATCAGAAATAATCATTGGTAACGAGATTATACTCATGGACGATTCGAGCTGGTTTATATAATTTGATTCCATCCCCATGCACAAGGCCAATTTGGTGTTTGAGTTTCATTTTCGATGATCTATGGACGTAATGAGCCTATTGTTCGTTTGCAGGGATTGTAGAACGTCAATGTCTAACCTTGTATTCACGAATGCAACTAACGCCTGTCGGCTACCGGATTAACCTAGTATTTTATGACTAACTCATTTGAATATGAATGGAATAGTGGCAGGTATTATTCATATTTAAAGGAGTTTCCAATAAAATACTAGGTTAATCCGGTAGCCGACAGGCGTTAGTTGCATTCGCGAATACAAGCTTAGTTCTGTAAAATTCAATGAAAGATATAACCTCCGGGAATCATAAAAAAGGTTCATCGTTGGAATTGTCCTTTTTGGGCAAGAAAGAATCCTACTCCTAACTTTTCTGCTCTCCAAAAACGTAAAGCATGAAATTCTTCATCCTCCGATCACAGGGCTTCAAAAGCCAGAATATATTCTTTCTTTTTAAAGAAGAAGGAGGTACGGATTCTGGATACCTGCTTAGGAGGATGGAAATTCTTCAGTGCTTACTATGTATGAGCACTTCATTCTGATCATCTCATCGTTCTGTTGCAGATGTCCACATGTAAAGAGCTGGAGGACGCATGGGGTACTACGATTATGACTTCTTGGAGTAGACATTCGATGAGAAAAGATGTGATCAAGTAGCGTGACAAGTCAATCAATGAATCATTCCTTTTTTTTAAAACTAAGCCCATGTGTTTTATTATTGATATTGACTTTAAATAGCATTACTTTTTCAGCATGTAAAGAAAGTTCTCATCCATCACAATCATGTATGTAATATTCATCACAATAATGTCCTTTCTTACAACTGATGTGGAGTGGCATTTGAATGGAAATGCGATGGTTATCAGAATGGTTTAGAAATCAAATCAAGAAAATAAAGACTTATTGTTAGTCTAAGACCCAGAAAGATTTTTATATCTAGATGTTTATTTGGTGAAAGAGTCAAACTTAACCGAATGTAAATATTAGCCAAAATCATAGTCTTGGGTGCCAGTATTACTATTTGCTGTAGCATTACCATGAATATATTCATTTTCAACATGCAACCTGTTACCAAGGTGAAGTACACACTCTAGTTATTGCGGACAACAGTTGACAATACATTGGCGAACGTTCAGAAAAGATCTATCCAATTTCTCCTCTGGGATATAATTGCCCATAATTATAAAATTATATTTTATTGCCACGAGGCCAATTATTTTATGAAATATGACATAAGTGACATTTATGTTGCATGTACACAGAGCTGTAACCCTGAGTGTCAGGGCCTACTACATGAAGCTCTCTTTTAAGATTGCAAAATCAAAACTATTGGAAATGGTATTGCCTTGTACAGAATTTAACAAAAATAAAGTAATGACTTTGAGATCATTCATGAGTCTTGTATCCGATTTTGACCCACACAAGGCGTTTCACACGATGAAAGACGCCTTAGGGCCGGAAAGGAAGGATTTGATGCAATACCAATCGCATTGAATCTGATTTTGTTCCATATTAAATAAAGTGTCCTGTTTGCAAAAAAACATTTTTCTAACTACTATACTACCATTAAGGAATACCAAAGTCATTCGGAGCATAAAAACGTTTTACAAAATCTTATATAAGTATTCATTGTACCGTGAACGCTAATACCAAATTAATAACAAAGTAAAAGAGCACGTGGGTTATCGCAAACAATTTCAGAAGGTTATATCTTGTATTATGACTATTTTCTGATAATGAAGACAAGTTTATCTTTTAGATCAATTCATTATCTCTAAGAAAATTATGCACAGTAATAATAAATTCAAACAAACTCGGAGATATTTAACTAGCAATTAACCCATCAACACACTTTTTGACCCCACTTTGAAGATGTTGACCCCATTTTCACCAAAAATGCAATCATTTTTTACAATGTTTAATGCATTACTATTCTTTATTTTGATGTATAAAATAGTTCTTGAAAGAAAAACTTAATTGCATTAAGATAAGTGTTCCCCATGTTATTTCTCCATTGAAAAATCTCATGCTATCCATTGGTTTCAGTTCATTTTGGTCATCCAAATTGAATATCTTTAAAGTCCCTGGAGCAATCAAATTTTTCTTTTAGGAAATCGAACATGTCTCAAAGCACATTCTAATTATGCATTCAACAATATAATAATGGGTTGCATTTTTGGTGAAAACTAGGTCAACATTTTTGAAAAAGTATGTTGATTGGTCCATTGCCCCTTCAATATCACTTAGGTCTGATTAACTAAATTATCATTATATATACTTTTCTTGAAGATAATGAATGGATCTAAAAGATACACCCATGTTCATGATCAGAAAATATTCATAATTCAAGTTAGAATCGTTTGAAATTGTTTGCGATAACCTACGTGCTCCTTTTCTAAGTTATAACTAAAAACGTAATCTGCATCATCTCCCTCTCTAATACATTTACGATGATAGATTACCTTTCGTTATTCCGTTATCCTTTCTTGGCATGATCTATCCTAAATAATATCCAGCGTTTCTTTATCCGAGTCTAGGGTCAACGTAATCGCACGTTACATCAAACTCCGTGTCGCGTAGTTTATCAACAGTATCGGAAATAAGTGTTTTATGGCTGTAGCCGATAACGACACGTGTGTTTTGGTCCAGTTTACGATACAGATGTTAAGATGTATGTTCAATAAATATGATATTTTTATGTATGGTTAGGCCTATATATACCATACTCTCTGCAATCTTCCGATCTCAACTAATGATCCATCATATTCCAAATTAGATTAACGTGCATTTTTGTTTAGTTGGGAACATTAGCTAACATTCGTAGACGATGTATCTTAGATTCCAGCTAATATGCTGGATCTCAGATAACATAAGGTAGAACTAGAAGGCAAATTTTAGTTGTCCGTCTCTGGTCAAAAGAGAACTTGTTTTAACTTTTTTCTAAACTAATCCATGTTTATTCAAAATGAATAAAATTGAAAATGCGCTGATGCGAATTAACAATTTAATCCTAGAATTTTATCGATCACGTTGTACATTTGTGGATCCAGTTCCAGTTATTACTTTTTCAACATCACCACATTTTGTCGATCCAATTTCTTCATTCGATTCCTGGTGAATGAAACTGAATAGGACTTTCATATGATGCCACTAACCACTAAATTATGACATCGCTTTAACTATAGGCCAATTATTCCATTCGGCAAATAAATTCAAGATCAACTGATCAATTCTGCTTGCCGCGACAGCACACTGGATTTAATTCCATCAATCTCTTATTCTCCATCCCAGTCTTTTGTCTCTTATGTTGGATTTAGGGGATTGTATCGTGTTTCTTGTCTGTTCAGTAACAATAGAGACGATACGTCCGTATCCCAGGGGTTACACGGTATTGTGATACGCTTGAATCAAACGTATTGAAGATCCACGCACTGAGCGTTTTATTCCACCGGGACTTAAACAATTTTCTCTATTCTCACGAACTGAAGTTTAATTTGCCTATAGGCAGTGTCTTATCTAATATTATTTTGACATCGATCTGATGTGAATAAGCGGTACTTATATATTGTACTGTATCGGTTACGTCGTGGCTGTTTTATTGTATCGGTTACGTCGTGTCTGTTTTGTAATATAGGTCAGGCCACGCCTATTTTATAATTGTATCCGTTACGTCGTGCCTGTTTTGTATTGTATCAGTAAGGCTGTGCCTTTTTATATTTTGTCCGTTCTGCCATGACTGTTTTATACTGTATAGGTTACATCGTGCCTGTTTTATAACTTGTATCGGTTACGTCGTGCCTGTTTTGCATTGTATCAGTTACGTCGTGCATATTTTATATTGTATCGGTTATGTCGTGCCTGTTTTGTATTGAATCAGTTATGTCATGCATGTTTGTACTGTATTGGTTATGTCGTTTTGTTTTTTATTTGTGCCTTGGTTGTATCTGTTTGACTCTTTTGGAGTCTCACAGGTTGTCGCTGATTGTGTCTGGTCACGGGCTTACTGGCTTAAAGTCGTCTCTCAGTTTTAGTAAAACAAGTTACATATCCCACATCGTCAGAAAATGATTTATCCAGACTTCGCCAATCCTCTCTATTCATTTCACCAAGAGTCAATAAATAAATAAGCAAATAAATGAATAAATAAGCAATTTCTGAACGTGTGTTAAGAATGAATATATTTTATATGTTTACTATTCGCAACTAGAACGACTTTGGACAGTAAAGTCATTGTACATCTTTCTTTAGAGGAGACTGTTTTATTGGGCTGTCAACATTAGTTATGATCACTTATGCCTGAATTGAGATTTACTTTACTGCTAAAAGCATTTTGAAATCTATACAACGTGCTGTCTTCGAAAACAAGATGAAACGGGTTAATTACAAAAACAGCAACGTGACTACACGAAATGACGAACAATTTTGATATAGCTGGAATAGTACCTTAGAGCGATTATAAATTGCCTCAAGTTATGATGTATCATTCATGATTTGGCCTATGCCCATTTGACATCTATGTTTCGCTGCTTATGAAAATGAAATTGCATCATCATAAAACGTGTGACCTTATCAATTTCGAAGGAGGTAACGTCTGTATGAATAATTAAACAATGATTTGGCTTGTAATAATAATATGGAGGTTTTTACATTTATGAATGAGTACATGTATATATCTATTGGCGGGAGTAAAGTAGGCGAGGTTGTTGTTAGAGTTAATGAAATAACGTATGTGCGACTGTCTAATGTTTTAGGTTGTAAACGTAATAAATGAAATAACGTATGCGCGACTGTCTAATGTTTGAGGGTGTAAACGTAGTAAATGAAATAACGTATGCGCCATTGTCTAATGTTTTAGGTTGTAAACGTAACAAATAAAATAACGTATGCGCGACTGTCTAATGTTTGAGGGTGTAAACATTAAACGTAATGAAGGAAATAACGTATGCGTGACCGTCTGATGTTTCAGTGTTAACGTAATAAATGAAATAACGTATGCGTAGCTGTCTAATGGTTTTGGGTCTAAACGTAGTAAATGAAATAACGTATGCGCCATTGTCTAATGTTTGAGGGTGTAAACGTAGTAAATGAAATAACGTATGCGCCATTGTCTAATGTTTTAGGTTGTAAACGTAACAAATAAAATAACGTATGCGCGACTGTCTAATGTTTGAGGGTGTAAACATTAAACGTAATAAAGTAAATAGCGTATGCGTGACCGTCTATAGCTAATGTTTCAGTGTCAACGTAATAAAGGAAATAGCGTATGCGTGACTGTCTATAATGTGTAAGCGTAGTAAAGGAAATAACGTAAACGTGACTTTTACACATGTATACATAATGTGTGAGACTCTATGATAAACTATTTTTCTACTACTTTACTCCTACTAGAAGTAAAGTAAGCGTGTGTGTGTAATGGAGGAAGGTAAATTGCATTGATCGATCGACTGTCTAATATAATGAAGGAGGTAGTGCATGCCTGGCTCTTAAATGTTGGAAATTAAGGGTGTGATGTTTAAATGACTGTCTTATGTTTAAGAGTTGAAAAGTAATCATAGTATTACAACGGTGATAACTAAAGCTCCAGACTCTATAGAAAACCATGAAAACGTGTTCTGCTGGCAACACTTTACTTAGACCAACATTTCCAGTATTTGTAAGGATGGAGTTCGAATTTACATAACGTTGTCAATCAGCTTACGAAGGTAAAGGTGCGAACATGGTGCGTATTTTCATCAGCTTCGTTCTTTCACGATTTTGAAGAGTTGCAGAAGAATTTCACCTGTAAAAATGAGGCTGTGTTCTTTCGATCCCCTATTTTCTATAAAAAGCCTTTTTATTTTATTGATTAAAGGCATTAGATTTAACATATTGAGCTTAGGCTCATTTTGCATTCATTGCAATAATACCATGGGCGTTCAGTCTTTTTCGTATGAATCCTAATCCGACGGGTCCATTGAGTGGTTATCCACAAAACAAAGAACAACTTAATTTTAAGAACATTGTTCGATACGGAAGAATAATATATATGATTGTATATGTCAGCCTAGCTTATGATAACAAAGGAAACTAATAAAAAACGCAAGCAAAACGCAATTCATTCACATTATTTCGCTCTTTGAAACCGAACAGTCGCAAGACTTCATACTGTTCATTGATTTCATTTGGAGCCAAAACCCTCTTTTTCCTAACTACTAATTTGAATATATATAATCAACAGGCAATGTTGATAGAGTTTCAGTACAAATCGATAACACATTTATTCTATTCAATAACCACTAATCGGCCATCAATACAAACAACTACTTCATACTAAAACCATCAAGTGGTCCCAAATAAATAGACCTAATCCTCCAAGAACTTGTTTGTGGAAAATGTATCTTCTAAATCGTGTTTGGAGAGCAACTGAAGACGCAAATGTTAGTTTTGAAAGATAGCAATCGTGCTGTGTTTGAGCTGTTAAACATGATTTGCACTTAGTTTGGCTTCAGAGCTGCAAGTATGTTAAACATGTGCTCGATGCTCATCTTGATCTTGAACATATCGCAAATAAGTTCAAATGACAAGATTTAGCAGTATGTTCAGGTATGTAATCATGGGGGTTTCTAGAGAATACCTTTGCCCCATGAAATGGGTTTTAATCTAACCTTTTTATAAATGGGGCTATGAGCTACAATGGCTTAATAAAAAGAGAAGGTTAGATTAAAACCCATTTCATGGGGCAAAGGTATTCTCTAGAAACCCCCATGATTACATACCTGAACATACTGCTAAATTTTGTCATTTGAACTTATTTGCGATATGTTCAAGATCAAGATGAGCATCGAGCACATGTTTAACATACTTGCAGCTCTGAAGCCAAACTAAGTGCAAATCATGTTTGGTACTATGAAGGCTAAATGAGAAAATGGGTTCCGGGGCGAGGAGCTATGAAGGTGATATAGGTACCGAAAACTGGGGCTAGGAGCTATGAAGGCTATATAAAGAGAAAGGAGTCTCCAATCTTGAGGAACATACATGTAGCCAGATGCATTTGTGACCCAATGCAGTGACCTGAACATCATCTTGAAGATTTTACTTTTGTTGACACTTTCGGGCTATATACGATTTTGAGTGTTTTTTCGAAAATTTCAAAGCCTTTCTAATACTTAAAATGAGGCTAACAATATAAGCATACTCTCAACAATTTGCATTCGAAATCTCTGGTTAATATATTGACTATCTATTTATTGATCATAATATGTAGAAAAGTAGAAAAAAGATTTTTGACCTAGATTTTGACCTTGGTAAAAACAGTTCGCCGCCAAGTTCAGCTAAGATAAGCCAAAGGGCCATAAAGTCGACTACTGAAACCTAGCTTGAAGTAGCGAAAAAATGCGGGGAGAATCCTAAAGAGGACCAAGAACTTCCTTAAAGAATGAACGAATGTGACAGAAATCATTATCAGGAATCATGCGGTGCTCCTTCTTTAGTAAAGTGATGAGTATTAGATATTGGAATTCGAAATGACGTCCTATGGGCATTATTGTCCTTTTTCTTCTATTCAGTCTTAGCCTGCTCTGATTCAACATAGTTACAAAATAATTATTGTAATATTGTGTAAATTGTATAAATCAGTATAGAGGAAATCTAATTTACTGACATCTATCCGATTTAAACATGCAGAAAAACATATGAATGTAAGACAAGTCACGTAACATTTACAAATATGCATATAGGCTGACTACTAATCGCTGCTTCAATTTTTCGAAATGTGGTCAACAAACGATTCCTTGCACCCGGGTCCTTGCTCTTCTCTGGTACCTCGCCACTCATCGATCAACACAATAATCTACATTTTGATTTGCCTTAAGTTTTTGAATTCAAACTTATAATCACTTTCTGATCGTGTTTCGTTCGATAGTTTTCAAGTTATGAGTGCCAGTTTGAATTACTTAAAATCTGATCGATCAACTCAACTGTTTTTCCACTCTGATCTACCCAATCCGTCCAATGCCATACCTGACACTCAAGAGTTCCAACAATTTTTCATTTGATCAGCCATGCGTCGTAAGTGAATTAACTACAAAGCAATGTAAATACATTTCTAGTCAGATATTGACGGATGTTTTCTTCATAGAAATATTGCAGTCCATAGAATTTCTTCATGAGCGATTGAAAAGCATAGCTGATTATTCTCTTAAATAACGCTCTTTTAAAGGCAGAATTCCAATCAATAAAGATGACTTACCCTTAGCTGCTATGTAATTGTAGATAACTTCAGGGAGACTTTTCCCATTAGAGTATCCCGGCATCTTTCAGGATTTACCTAATCCTGATGGCCATGGGTGTTATGCTCGGGATGTACGTATATCGGTGAAGAAAAACATTCTAGTTAATGTTTCTTTGCCTTATCAGTTGTTCCAAGAAGAATCAGTATGAAATATCCCAGTTGCGAACGAAAGATCAAGATGCAATGATAGACTTCCCCTCTTATAAATTCACATCTGTTCATAAGGCGTGCAGTTTATATTCAACGTTGGATGCCGTTTGTATTTCGGAGGATTTGCAAAACAAAACAGATCTATGTGTTAATTACTGTTCAAAAATTGCAACTCTCCATCTTTCAAGAGCCTCCAAGCATAGATTTACGCAAATAAGCCATTAAATCGCTTTTATTTTCAAAACGTTTTTGCCGTAGGGTTTCGACATAGACATGGTTTCGGTAATGAATACCCAAGATGAAAATTCGAACTTTTATTTTGATTTTAGGAGGAATTGCATTGGTTGGATACCCAGATGTTATTATATCATGAGTAATTCTGAGGATGCTACACCCATACAGCTGACGGTTCATAGCACTGGAGGGGGGGGCAATACCTCAATATGAACAAGGCATTACGTGACAAGATGTCACCACCTAGAAATGTTGTAACAATAGACACTGTTCACGACGACCAACGCAGAACGTCCAAAATGAAGGATAAAACAATATGTCGCTACTTACTCTAGTTTCTAGAGGCGCCCTGATGAGAAAAGTTACAGTTTTGCTATGTAATGAATAACTTAACCACAAACTAATATTTTTGATTTGTGTTGGGAATCTAACCTATTGCCGGCTTCGGATTGTTCCAAAGCCTCTCTAAGTAGATTCTTACACTGAACTGAAATAAAAAATGTGGTTATTGTTATTAATTAGATGGGGCTTATAAAACTATATAATACGTTTGCTCTCAGCAGTCCATAAACTATTTTTAGTCTTACAGTTCGGACTATTCCAGATAGTCTTTAGTCTTATTACAAGCTCTTGCACAACAAGTGTGTGAGAAGGTGTTTAGTCAAGTAGAGGGGGTGGGGGTCACAGAGGCTTGTAGTTAGGGCTAGCTAGACTAGATAGTCCTTCTAGTTCAATGTTACCTGGATAAAATTAATCTAATAAATTAGGAGATAAAATCTTCAATAACTTCTACTTTTTATCTTCACCCATCATATCTCAATTTTTAAGACGGAATTATTGGCATGCCGACCCTCACGACATCTTTAATTCAGCACACGGATGGTTTCGTTCTTATGGATATCAAACTGTATTGCCACCATCATTGGTGCGCACCTGATGCGCAAGCTACATGTAGAATGGAGAGAGGATGACTGGCGACTTTGGAGTTTTTTCAAAAGCAATGTCAATAGCATTGATAAAATCTTCAACAACTTCTACTTCTTATCATCACCCATCATATCTCAATTTTTAAAGAAAATGCAATTACGATTAATTTACATGAATTATTGGCATGTCGACCCTCACGACATCTTTAATTCAGCGCACAGATGGTTTCGTTCTAATGGATATCAAACTGTATCCACCATCATTGGTGTGCACCTGATGCGCAAGCTATATGTAGAATGGAAAGAGGATGAGTGGCGACTGTGGAGTTTTTTTCAAAAGCAATGTCAATAACATTGAAATGTGTTGCAAATTTTTTAGAACTCACAATTTTTTTTACTTGGCACCGTCCAAGGTGGATTCCGGCCATGGTTGAGAAATAGGGATGGAAACCAACCAAAGTTTTCTCCTGATGATTGTGTTGGCTTTGTGGATATCGACCCTTCGATACGCTCATGGACTTCGAACTAGATTTTGGCTATCCCACATCATTTGAGACTGAATGCTCTATCCTTTATGAATACTATAATCTAAACTATTTTTGATATTATGAGTAACGGTTATATCAATTCAAATTTTTTCTTCAACGTGTATTGTAATGACTTCAGTATGACTGAAACGTCCCTTGGTTCTGTGGTCTGGGATTGTGATAATGGTATTTTAATGGTGGAGGATGGGGAATAAGACATCGTTTCTTTTCACACTTAGACTATGGTTTGGGATAGTTGGGGTTTGTTCTCTTAGGACTGGTGTACTACTAGAACTTTTATTTTTCTTGCTGTGTTCTGTAATACGTTTTGGTCTTTTTCCCTTGGCTCTTGTGCATTCATATTTTGAAACATAGTGTTTGAATTGTAAGTTTAGGTTTTGTTGTTGACCATTCAGTTGCATAACAATGCACGTAACTATTAATAGTTAATTGTCATCATTACTAATATCTGCTTACAGTGATAATAGCATGCATAATAGAGCCTGGCATCACTCATGAACAAAATCGCCTAAATAGCATATACGAGGGTCATCCGAAAAGTCTTGAAGTTTGGAGTATAGTAGTAGGTCTACTTTTTATTCATTGTCGTAAACAAACATTATATAATATTATATTATAGATATTATACTATATAGATTAGTAGTAAACGTTTTAGGCTAAACAATGACAGTGCATTTCTAACTATGCTACACAAAACAGATTACAAAAAATAAGCAAGGCATCAGTTATTCCTCACAAATAGCACATCTACGCTGTCTTTAACATTTCAAAAAGTATGTTTCATTTATGCTCCGAGTTGTTTCTCAACGGAACTCTCATATAGTCCTTCATCCGGGCAACTTCCTGCGTGAGGTGTTGTAGTTGCTCCCTGAGCTCGATGGTCTCTTCGGGATTGTCCTTGTTATGAGTTGTCTCATTCTTTACATTATATGTTTTCTTCATAGGACTCGTGTCGGCTACTGCTTCTTGCCTATTGTTTAACTGATTGTCTCCTGTCCTATCAATGCCATCATAAATGCGATCCATCCTTTGCGATGGTCTGAAATGATCGTTTGTTGATTGTTCCTGATGAAAACGCTTTTGAACACCATTCATTTCGGTATGGTTATGCAAGTCTCTAGGTTCACCCTTTGACAGATCCGTAGGTAGCAGATCTAGATGTCGTCCATATTGCGAGCTGTTTTGGTTGTATCTATAAGCGTACGTTGGTTGGTCGGGCAAACTTTGAGGTAATGTGTTATGCCTGGCTTCCTGGTAAGGTACGTCGGATTGCTCCGTGCTGTCTGGACAATGATTGGTTCCTTGATTATGATCCCAGTAAGGTTCATTAGGCTGCATCATATAGTTCACGAATCCTTGGTCGCCAGCGAGCAATGACCTATGTTGACCAGGACTGACGCTGGAATCAATTAGCCTATTATTAGCGTTATTATGAATTCTAGCACCGTGATTATTCCTAGACATCATATGCGGCTCTTCTGGGTGCATATGGTCGTTCATTTCATGCATTTGTTGATCTTCATGTTTCATGTGCTTATACATAGGCGATCCACTGGCATGTTCTCGTTCGTCCTCAGAAAACCGTCGCTCCGAGCTTGGCTGGTATTCCTTCCCTGTTATGAAGTTCTTGTTTATCGGTAGACCATACTTTGCTTTAATTGCGTTAAGTTCTTGTTTCAGCATTAGATTTTCTCGATCGAGTGCTGCGTTTCTTCCTTTGATACTCAAATCCATGTTTCGTTTTATTTCACGGGATTTCCGAGCTGCTTCATTGTTGCGTTTGCGTTTTTCCCAATAGCGATCATCCTTGCACTCAGTGGGAATGCATGTCTTACTCCTGCGTCTGGTCTTCATGAGTTGCTTCTCCAATTGTTCTGACATCTTAATACAAAGTCAGCCGCTGCAGTATATATCCTATCAATCAAACAAAAGTGATATAAGCATGTAATCATTTGTTTACAAGTCAAATGTGATCTTGATTGACAAGGTTTCGGTTGCCCAAATTGTGTTATAACACCTTGGAAGTCGAAGATGGTCAAATGGAGTCATCATGATAAACCATGACATATCAAACCTTCTCAGCCCTGAGATGTTTCAGGTGAAACAGAAAGATGCTATGAGTATCAGAATGAAATGGAGTGACTATGGGGAAACTCAACATGGCGTGTTGCGTAATATCATGGGGTTTCTCTAGAGGCACCACCAAGTGCCACTGAGTCCAGTGGATATTGTGAGCTCGCGCAATGGACTCGACAGGGAAGGGTGGAACTCGACACGGTCCGTTGGGGTTAGGACTATGCAACTTGAGGTTAAATGCCACTTCGAGTGCAAAATTGAACATAAGTGCAAGCAGTTGAAATCACAAGATTATCACGGATTTAATTTTGCTAAATGAAAACAATCAATGGAAATATTTCTAAACAAGTTTCAGAGACCAAACTTTTATAGATTGGGAACTATATGCCATGTGCTTTAGTTAAAGAAGGTGTGGTCCTAATCTTGCGTCAAGACTGCCCTTCCTCCTTATGTACCTCACCAACACGTAGAAACGTACTTGGGAGGGGGGGGGGAGGGGGTGCTCACGAGGTGGTTCCTGTATGTTGATGTTTTCCTAATTCCTGCCATACATATATATCATGATTTGATATTTGACCCATGGCTAAAACTGTCGCAGTTTTGCACATCGTATACTTACGATCCGAAATATGGAATCCGATTATAAGATTAAGAATTATAATCAAAAATGTTTCCCATTTAGAATTTAAATGAGGACCATTGCTTTTGTCAGCAAAAACAAATCCGCAATTAATATAGCCTTATGGCTTCGACTGTAATTGCACTTTTGATAGTAGAATGAAGTGTGTTCTCAACGGACTAGATCCATCGCATCCCGGCATCGCATCCCTCAAAAAACCGCATCCCTAAATAACCTCTATTTATACAGTGAGTTTACACCTAACTTTGCTCCCAATATTACATAACACTTTAAAATATTCTAAAACCTAGAAAAATTCACACAGTCATAGGCTGAGTGCAATATCAATGAAAAGTTCTAAGTACAATAAAATAATACAAAACAAGAGAAATAAAGCATACCTCGTCCTTAAGTGTGCTAAACTGCAACTTTTCCTCAAAATTTGACAGGTATCGGACTGACTTTATCAACGTCTAATGTAACCTTCTCTGTGTGCTATTGCATGTACATGTACATGTAATAGTAACATGTAATAATAGTATATTTTTAGACTGCATAATACAAGGGACCGGTCAATCTTTCCCAACCTGGTTATTTGAAGATCCTAATTTAGTAACGTACATGAATAAGAACACCGAGCATGATTTAAAAATAAATAATTTCCATTTGCATCAAGAATGAATAATATGATCCGGTCACAGTTGATTTGAATCGAATAAGAATAACATTATAAAATGTGATTTCTGCAGTAAGAAATGATCGATCCCACTCAGTGGTCAATGCATTCGTACAACATTACGTAATGTTATCTATAATCACTGACCACTCTAATTACATAACGGCTGATTACATAAAGCAGTGGGTAGCCGGCCTAGTGGGATAAAGATAGGTAAATTAGTAACCTTAGCGTATGTTATGTAATACTAGTAATTTCGTTCGTAAGTGGTAAATAGTTGCGCAATATGGGTAAACTCGTGCTTTATAATTACACTTTCTTCAATCATGAACTACTTTTTAGTGCTCAGCACTCCAATCATCAAAATTCAAGATTTGTTACAAAGAAAATCATTTAAGTTTACCACCATTCTCCAGCCGCATGACTCTCCAACGTCCAGGAAAACTTTCTTGAACAGAACGAGTCCTGAAGCCCCCGGGCCCTGTGTTCTTTGATGATACGCTGTTGAATGTTACTCGGTTTTTTATAATTTAATGGAGATGTGGCTTGCTCTATCGATCGAAAATTAGACTGACTGGTATAATATTAATCTAGCTCAAGACAAGCCCATGTAAGTCCCCCCCCCCCTAATTACACATTTTGCTGGTGAAGTAGATAAGGGGGAGGAGGTCCACAGTCTTGAAGGAAGACTTGCACCGGGCGGTGGGGATTAGCCTTTTATGGATATCACTTACTTAAAGTCTCTAGCCAATGACATAGTGGGGGCCGTAAAAGAACGTAAGATACCATTTTGCTAGATGTGATAAATTGAGGACGGAAACGCAAATAGAAATCGACAAAAATGAATTCCAACATGGTAACTTAATTATATGTTAATTCCCCGGTTAATTCAATAGTTTAAGTTCATAATACAACACACACTATTTTTATTTGTTTTTATATTACACTGTTGCTCATAAATATGGAATATTAGATTTGGCAGCTCAGAATTCAAAGTTTGGAGTAAGAGAACATTTATTTGGAGTTGGTTCAGACATTTATTTTCTAGGCAAATCATAACCACATATTTCATCTACAGATCAACATTTTTTAGAGAAAAAATATTCACATTTAAGTTTAGAAAATTACTGTTATTTAAACAGGGGTACGGCTAAGAATTTTGGCATTTTCAAAACACACCGATCCAAATCGTCATGTAAAACAGATCAAACAAAATAAACATCTGGTCATGAAGATTGAAGTGTCCTCAATCCAATGATAGCACTAATATGCATTATGTCCTCTTTCTCCTGCAATCAGAGCAACAACCCTTCGGGACCAGCATAGAATGAAACATCTGACCTTTCGAAGTGAAATAAGGCCCCATTCCTCAATCTGGGCAGTGCGTAACGTGTCTAAATTTTGAGTTGGAGGTCCAAGTCACGAATCTCAGTACCAAGGTCATCCCACATTTGCTCTGCATTAGCCTGATTGGCTGATTTTTGTGCCCATGGTAGCTGGTCCACAATGCCTGCCCTGATGTAATCCAACACGATGCCACTAGCATATGCATCAGCATGATCATTCTGCAGTTGAATGTTGCCCCAAAACACTCTGTTTGCATGTGGTACTTGATGGAGGTCCAAAAGGTCAAATTACTCTGAAATTATGTTTGGGAATCACCAAGGGGGTGCAACTTTTGTAGTACTGCTCTAAACAACCTCTGTAATACTGCTCCAAACATAAATAGGGTCGCCTTCATGGACTGCCACATCAGTTAGTGTCCTTATTGTCTCTTTCCCCTGGTCTAAGACAGAAAGGAACACAATTATCAACTTTGTTGAGGACACATCTTATTTCTTCACATGCTGTCATATGACACCAAAGATTAGGTCCAATGTTTTGGTGCTTTCCTGCCCATTGAAGGGACCTTCCTTTGTTATGATCAGTCAGCTGTGGTCTCTTCAAAGGTCTCGTGGCCTTGCATCCGTTATAAAGAAATCACTGGTTGTCTTTAGCTCTGGAACACAGGTTTTGAGGTTGGGCAGCCATTCACCTCGTAGACTACTGGTTGACTAATAAGCGATTTTGATGACATAAATGCAGTAGGTGGTGGTCTTTTCTTACATTTCTCTCTCTGGGGCTACTATTGCTGTGACCTGGAGTCATAGTCCATTACCTTTGGTACCACTGCAAAATTTTAGAGACTGTTCCTGACACACCCCTAGGGTCCTGGCAATGGCAGTTTGTTTCATGCCAGAGAGCGCCACCTCTATGACCTACCATGCTCTTTTTCATTTATTCTATGGGGCCTGCCTTCCAAAAACTCTTCCAACTCTAAATTAAAATTTTATAAAATGTGCACAATGATTACAGCTAAGGTTTGGACACCTCTTTCAAGTTACCATTATCATGAGGTCAAGGGGTCACCTGAGTAAGTACAAGTTTAATCAACCATAAATGTTTTAACTTTTCATACCAATCAGTTTTATATGCAAAACTGATGAGGGAATGAGAACACATTACAAATTTTCATCAAAATGTTATCATTTTGTAGAAATTCCATCGAACAGTTCGTATCTATAAAATATTCCATATTTATGAGCAACAGTGTATAAGCTGATTTGTCAGGTATGGCTCGGTTTTATGGGCTACTCATGCTCAGTTTTTCATTTTCAAAATTTGTATTATACATTTAGAAAAATAATTATCCCATCGAACGAAGTTCGGAGGGATATAGGGAACGCCTCCGTCCGTCCGGGCAATAACTCAAATACCGTTGGCCCGATTTTGTTCATATTTTGTACACATATACCCACCCTATGGGGGTAGAAGTTCTGCTCGAAAGCCGATTTTCAAAATGGCAGCTCATTTCAAAATGGCGGCCATTTTAGTGCCGATTTTACAGTAATTTAGGTGTAATATGTAAAACTGTAATAGCAATATGTTTTAAATGTAAAAAAATTATAAAGGACATTAATAATGCTACAAATGTAGATATTAAAGAAGCACATGGCAGCCATCTTGAAAAATGGCGGCCTTTACTCGTCATTTTACGATTTTTGCTATAACTCAAAAAATAGTGGAGCGATTTTGTTCATATTTGATATGTGAATACTATAAGCATTGCACACTGTCTAAAAACACTTTTGGTAGAAGGCGGCCATTTTGAAATTTTTTTTGAAAAATGGCCGCCATTTTAATGTATTTTACTATAACTCGAAAAGTAGTGGAGTGATTTTGTCCATATTTGGTATGTGAATACTATAAGCATGGCACACTGTCCTATGACACTTTTAGTAGAAGGCGGCCATTTTGAAAAAAAATTTGAAAAATGGCCGCCATTTTAATGTATTTTACTATAACTCGAAAAGTAGTAGAGCGATTTTGTTCATATTTGATATGTGAATACTTTAAGCATGGCACATTGTCTAATAAAACTTTGGGGAGTAGTCGGCCATTTTGAAATATGGCCACCATTTTTATGTGTGTTATTTTTCAAAAATTTTAGAGGTGGCTAATTAAAAGCACATTATTTCTTCTGATGACAACTTGGCTAGTGAGCAACCATTTTGAAAATGGTGGCCTTTCTGGTGTGTTGTTTTATGATATTTGCTATTCGTTTGTAAAAATGCCAGCCATTTCTGTTCGATGGGATTCGCTACGCTTTGGCGTTGCCGTTGTTCTGGTTATTTATGTGGCGATCTAAACAGTGGCCAGAGGTGTCTAGAGAAGCTAAAATTGCCATCTGATTGGTTCTCTCATGTAAAGTGTAGTTGTAAAAGATATATTTACCATTTGAAACTGCTCCTCCACGCCAGACAAAATATTGAAACATTTTCATAAAAAAATTAAAAGAACTTGCAATACATCACATTACCCTTTCAGAATTATAATGATGAAGACATGTAAATACAACTATCATGGGCGTAGGACTATATTTTGCCTTGGTTCGCCCACTTTGGTATGTTTCATTGCGTAGCCGAAGGTCGTGCATCTCGAGGAAGGGGGGTCCGGGGTATGCTCCACCGGGGAAAAGGCGTTACTGAATTGATGCCGATCTGAGCGTTTTTATCAAGTTAATAGTTCCAACCCTGGAGTTCCATTCTAAATGGTTGAATATACAATTATAGAATCATTAATAAATGTGCAAAAAATCAATGCCGCGAGTTTAACATTAATTTTATTCAAATTCATTTGGCACTCACGGGCGTACTGTGCGTTACGGGCGCAACAACCACGACTATCAAGTCACTACACAAATGATAAACTCAATATTGCATGGAGCTAGTGAGTAGTCTTCTTTGGTATAACGAAAATGAGTTAGAAAATATTTTGTGAAGTTTTCTTAGTGTTTTTAAAAAACATAGCATGCTCCCCCAAGGCGGACAAATCTTTCGATGACAACCCCCGCCGCTGAGGCCCAGGAATATGTTAAAAATGTTTAAAAAGTCCACTAGTGTACTGAGTTGGTAATGTGTGGTGTATTCATGTATATAATCTTTTACTATATTACTATATTACTTACATTGAATAAGAATAAGACTGATTTTTTATTAATAAGAATAAGACTGATTTTTTAAAAAAATCAGTGACCTTTCCTAATTAGACGCCCAGGATAAATTGATAACATGAAAAAAAAGAAATAGACATCCCCGATCTCCCCATACTCGTTTCCCAGTTTGATTTTCAAATATGAAAACATGCGATCTCCCATGGAAGTGTGGTTTTAGAATTAATTACACCAAGTGACATCTATAAATCAACTACAGGAACTCACCAAAGATATGACAGCCGGACTATCTCAATTAGCAATTAATTCATCCGCCATAATGTACTCCACAGTTGAATCTTCCTTTTGTCGATTAAAAATAAAAGGTCATCTGATGAATAGTATAAGTTACAATTATGATTTTTAACAAAACGTACAATTTCCTGTCCGCATCATAAGGCATATAATGAGTTGCCATTAAAGACTTATATTCTAAACGCGACATTTTGTGTTTGTAATAAGGCCAGCAGCCATCTTGGAATACTATTGTCACTTTCAGAATTTTAACGTTTAAACAGATATTTAGCCACATTTCCAGCTTTGGTTGATAATCTGAGGTATAAATATGGATGAAGAATATGATGTTATCGTATTAGGAACTGGATTGAAGGTATGGGTTGTATACATTTAGAGGTATCGTGTAAAAACAAAAAACGTCCCTCCCACTGCCGGCCTTTTTTATTTCCGGAATATTTTTACCTTTTTATTTCCTATTTGGCCAGACTAGATCATTTCATAACTGGTATTCAAGTCTATGATACGATTAAAATATGAACGTGTACATATAATTACATTGCCTCTGTCATATTTTGGCGTGAATCCAACCTGTCAATTCGCTCCTGATTTCTTTTTATATGAACATGTTCCCTGTAGCCTAGATCTATATTTGCATCATGAGAGTACATATGATAAATGTGTCCTTGCATTTTTGTTGGAAATCGAATGATATAGTAGTATGATAGATGCTCATCGACATGTCATCTATCTTCACAAATTCATGAGGCGATCTAGGGATGGGTTGTAATGTCATTGAGCTGGCAATTGTGAGGTAATTTCGATGCCAGAATTTGGATAATTTCCCCATATGAATAATTCAATCCAGCCATGGGATAAACTTCACTCAACACTAGTCTTAATTTCTGACATGTTCCCGTTTTGGGAAAATAAAAGATTGTCTTGGTGGTAAATGTATTTTGACAGTTATCAAATCAAACTTTGACATTTGAACTTTCAGGTTTCTGCTTCATTTGTGACAAATCACTTGTTCCTTAAACCCTTCTACAAAATATTGCTTCTGATATTTGTGTACTATTTTGTTGTAGGAATGTATTCTGAGTGGATTGATGTCTGTAAGCGGCAAGAAGGTGTTGCATATGGACCGAAACAAATATTATGGAGGAGAGAGTGCTTCAATCACACCATTAGAAGATGTAAGTGTTAATTCAGTACAGTGAAACCTTGGCCAAAAACACTGGCCAAAATTAAGAGATTTTGTGTTCCTTCTGACATCTCTGTTACGATAGTCAAATAATCAAGCTCTTGTGGGTCACCTACCAAAAATATAGCAGGTGAGAGGGGGATTTTGTGCAAATTTGAATATTTTCTGGAAGTATGAATAATCAGCCTTACCTCAGTGATTTAAAGTCAATGACTTCACATGTACCTATCACAATACTTTACTGTCATACCCTCACTTAGCTTATTCAGATTCTGTCTGTGTTCACTAAAAAATACTTGAGAAATCCTCGGAAATTTCACATAAATAATTCATCATTTCAACTTGCAGAAAACTAGGAGGAGAGATTATAACATTACTTCAGTATTATAAGACATCCCAATTATGGGACAAATTTTTGTATGTTGTGGAAATCTGAATCAAAATAATGATAATTTGCCTGCCATCATTAAACATGTCAAGCTCTCAGTCTTACTTATTGCAAGACTAAGATGTATTGGATATGAGAATATTATTCGAAGGGAGAGATGCCATATAGACAAGTCCAGATGGTACACTTGGAACCATAGCTATTTATTACAGAATATAGGGAGAATCATGTTTTCACAACACAGGATCTATACCCTTTGTATTTGTTCAGCTTCGCTTCTTTTAAGAGATCATCTTCATCAGTAACTAGACTTTGTCTCAGGGTAATAGGTTAAGACTAGACCCAGGGTAATATATTTTATGTCATGCTTTTCAAACTTGCCTGAAGTTATTGTTATAAATGATATTTGAATTTCATCAGAATCATGTCTTTCATTTAAAAGTTGAGAATAGAACAGTGAAATAGACCAACATGACATAAAATTCTGTGCACAGGGCTTACTAAATCTACACTAGTAGGCAGTAAGCAATATTGATTTTCTGATGCAGACATTGAGGTTCAACCCTTGCAGGCTTTCATGAATTCCAAGTGCATCTAAAAAATTCCAGAAATTTTTCAAAATGTTCATTAGAAATAGTTATTGATGCGCTACGCAAAAAGATTTGTGGAATTTATACATCAGAATCTGTAAATCTATTTTGTATTTCGGAGTGCCAGTGAGGAATTAGTTTTGATTTTTTGATTTTGTAAGACCTCCTTGAATGCCACATAGCATACTCTAGATCTGGGTCTTTGGGATTATCTATATTATGCATACATTGCCAATCTGTGCATTTAAATATCCAGACAAGAGTGATCAGTCCCTTCATATAAAGGGGAAGGCTTGTGAATAGAACCACCTGTCATATTTTATTTATGTTATTGTCATTTATTAATGCGATCTCTCATTTATCTTTGAGAGTCTGCATAGAATTATCGAAAGGGTTGTTCATTATAGGCTTGGCATTCCAGAAGTCATATTTAATTACAATATATAAAAGCTTGATTGATTGTACATTTGTATTACCATATTTTCATTCTGAATTCTCTATTGATAGTAGTAGTTGTAGTATTGTATGTAAATCTTAGATGGAACATTACTATAATATCTGGGCTTTCAATAGCAGGGGGCGAGAGTCCAAAATCGCCGTTTGTTTTCTATAATTCGCCGGTTGTCAGAAGCCAAATATTGAGATTAAAAAAGTCACATCATTTTATCAGTACTTATCGAACACTGTATACACACAGGTTGCATTTTATATTAAGTGTTCAACCCGGGAAGTGCATTTGAATTTGTAAAACCTGTGGAAGAATAAATCATAATTTATTTTTAATAGAATATAAAAGGTAAAAATGGCATTCTATATGAGTTGCCCTAGTCATTCCACAGTTCCAGGTGTTATTTTGTGTAGCCCGTGTCGTGGGGTCAATTAAATTGACAATATCACACATGGAAATGACTTTGGAAAACCTGCAATACGTAAAATCTTTAAAATCACCTCTCAATAGACTTCAATGTTCAAAACTTTGAATGAATGTACAATACTCTTGTATATGAGATACATTGTCTGAAATATATTCACAGGCACGAGTTTTCATCCTTGCACTTTTGTGACCCGTAGTATATTTTGCCTTTAATCTTTTACAAGAACAATAATAAGTGGATTACACCAAACTCATCTGATCAGCAGTGATCCCATGCAATAGCAATCAGTCGAAATGTTGAGGCATGCGCAGACCTCTATTTAGTGATATTTTCATTTCAAATATGGCGGCCAATCCGATGTCTGACGACCCTTACAAAGAATCTAGGCAGTTTGCATTTTTACCTCCTGTGAAATAACAAGTGGAATTTAGTAGTTGTTTTGTGTTTTATTATCATTCTGCATCGTAATTCTATGTGATGTGGTGTTGAAATGTCAGCAGAAACACATATCCATACAATAATCGAGTGAATCAGATAACAGATTTTTCGAAAACCCGTCTCGTGCTAAGAGTGTAAAAACTTGTATTAACATGCTCAAAAGTGCCAATGTGCACATCAATGTCAAGCTAAATCAATGTTGTGTCTAAAACAGGTACCCGATCTACTCAAAACAGCTTGTCATTCACGTATACACGCTTAGCAAACACGGCGAAATGACCTGAATCTTGGAATTTCGTTCAAGAGCTAGTAATGTTTGCTCCGGTCTTCGTCATAAGTGTTCATCAGACTTCACGCATGCGCAAGAGAAAAACAATCAACCAATAAGGTTTATAAATCAATTTTGCGCATGCGCCTTACAACGGTAAACAAATTCGTATTTATAAACGAACCAGTTTGAGATAACCCGATATCAGCCGGAGAAATCTGACGATCTACGAAACTCACTTCAAAAAATCAAATGCGGACTGACGGCGTATTCTACTATGTTTGGATCTAAGATTTTCAGTATAGATAAAGTCTTTTATGATCTTTCGAATGAGGTAAGTCTCTAGTTCGAAAGACAATCGTATCAACTTGAACAAAAGTTGAGTTTTGACGAAAAAATTTTACATGCGCAGAAGTCCCATTTTCGTTGTACCATATTGACTGGCAATAGCATAATGTACATCAGGATGTGAATTTGATTTCGGCATTCCCTGTCCATTTATCCACTTTCGGTGCACGAACGCTTTAATAACAAGAATTTGCATTTCGGAGAGTGTAAAATTGGTTATTTTGAATGCCGCCTCTTGTATTTCTCATCTGCCTCTTGTAAAAAAAGTTACTGAAACCACTGAATATATTGTGGTAGATGAGGTTATGTCTCATTTTGCCTCATAGGTAGAGACCAGTTTCTATCTTCTTTTCTTCCTCCATTTTGAGACAGAAGGTCCTAAATCATCTAATTGATATTCCATCTTTTGTTGGATAACATGGAACTAAGCAAATTATTGGCTTTACAATGCTTAGTTATATCAATCAATGAAATGAATAATGCCAGGTTCATCATGCAAAATACAGGCGTTGATAATTCATGTTATGATTAAGAATCCTCTCTCCCTTGTTTTATCTTTCAATTTAATATGGAGATAGTCTAAGCTGTGGTCTCCCCAGGATCTAATTGTATGGCACCCCTCCCTGTTGATTCATATCTAGTGCCCTGTACCCACCCCCACCTGCTCATGGGGAGAAAGTCACTCCCTCTCTTTCTTATATTATCTATATTAAGAAAGTGAATATACGAGGGAGTGGTGGGGGTGTCTCCCTCCCCATCACCTACTATGAAAAAATCCTGAGGAGATCATTACTAAGTGTCATGATGTCAGAGGTTGCAAGATAGTTCTGTGTGAACAGTCAACAAGTTCTGTCACAAGTGTTTTGCTCTTATAACTTGTAGTATATCAACACCTGGTTATTTCTTAACCTTGTGTTAACTGTCTTATCAATGATTTATATTAATACCTTACGACTGATTTTTTCTGACAGGTTGATTTAAAGCAAAGGCCATATATTTGTCATAAATAGTAGAATCTATTTTTTTCAGTCACCATTTTTGTAACTGGTGTCTTTGTTTGGATCAGAATCTGTTAAAAATTGTTACATTTTATAATGTCAATCTTTGTTATTGCACCCTTGGGTGCTAAATTGTGATCAGTTGGTCAGGCTGGCTGGTTGGTGGGTGGATGGGCAGTTGGGTAGGTGTGTATACAGGTTTTCGGCCAAACCATTTGAGGGATTCATCTGAAATTTTCAGGGGGGGCTTGTCTTGAAGCAAGAATAAGACATTCAGTTCAATAACCCAGATGCGAGTAGAAATAATCTTGATTTACGTCATTAAAAATTCAAAATTCAGTCAAAGTAATATCATATTTGAAATCTACATGTAAAATTACATCTAGAAATGTGGTTTTAAAAAGTGTTTATTAACTTTGAAAAATAAATTTTCTTTGAAAATGTGACTTCTAGCTCGGGGAGATTCCCCATAGACCCCATGCTATAAAATCACAAAATATGAAATATCTTTTCTTTTAGTGGACAGATAATATTTTGCTTTACTGGACATATTTTCATTAGTATAAGTATCAGACACATAAGGGTTATATGAAAATTGAGCCACTTAAATTGATAATATTCAAGTTTAAGGGAACTTTCTTATATACCTGCCATGTTAATTGACCCGAATCAGCCACCTGGTGGTGAAACTGGTAACTACCTACTCGCATTTGGGTAATTGTTCTAATTTTTAAGATGTAATTTACAGTACATGTATTACATTATCCTATGACTTTAAGAAATATCATTTTTATCTGCACGAGAGAGTGAAGGGAAAGAGTATATATCAAAATCACCGAGTAGATTGAAATGGTATTCTAAAAAATCAAAGGATGTTCTTATTATTATCCTGCACTTCTAAGTAGGGCACTAAATATATAAAAAAAATGTAAAAAATACATTTCATGTCAAATAGTTCAATTTGGCGGGAAATCAACGAGCAGAGTATATCATCACAATATCCTCCGCATATTGGTCTTCCGGAGTATATATAGAGATTATCCTATATGAGGTTCAGGATATTGGGATTATCCCGAGGCCCATATAATATATCTGCCCGAGGGCCGTAGGTCCCGAGGGTAGATATATTATATTGGCCAAGGGATAATCCAAATATCCTGAACCGACTATAGGATGATCTGTTTATCCCATACCAATCACATTGTTCAATTGGCCAAAGTTCAGAAACTTTGCAACCAACCGTGGAATTATTTTAAAATATTCATGTCCAGTTTTGTATTCTTGTCCGTAGCCAGATTTTCCTGTTCAAATCTTTGATTATTAACGGGGCATACTGCTCCTTCCCTTCTTTTAAGCATTAAACGGATCGCGTTTTTCTCCATTGTTGTTAACAGTATGCGAACGTTACAAAAAAGAACCAATACGGGAACAGCGATTATGACGTAGCGGGCAGATATACTATATCTGCCCGCTCGGAGCGGGACGTAGAGCTATATCTGCCCGCTGATGAAAATATAAGTTTTTACAAACCGGCTTTATGTACCCGTAACACGTCCAAGTATGGGATAAATCACAATATCCTCCACATATTGGTTTTCCGGAATATATCGTGGCAATATCTTCCAGTTATATATTTTGCCAATATAGATATCAAATTTATTTTCTAATGGTATTATATATTTAGTACACTAAGTATAGGATAATTATCAATATCATGTTTAAATGAATTAACTTGGCTTTTCGAAAGTATATTATAGCTATATGCTATAATGCTATAATGACTCAATAATGTTCATGACTCAGTAAATATTCATTGTTAATGTTTCTGTTTTGTAAATCAATACTTCTACTTCTAAATGTTTTGAAGTAACGACTAGAGTAATAGTATGATTTTCTCTTTATTTAGAGGACAAGGATGCAATATCGTCCATGTAAATAATTGTTCATCCTCCGATCACAGGGCTTCAAAATCCAGAATATATTCTTTCTTTTTACGCCCTGCGATAAGCAGTTAGCATTTCCTCAATTAAGAACTCGCAATTTGATTGGCTGTCGCAACACTGCGACTGAAATCATGTATTAGTCATTGCGCATAATTAGATCACGTGATTCAGTTTAATCGGGCGCTTCCAAATTGGTTATAGCATTGGGAAGAAGGAGGTACGGATTCTGGATACCTGCTTAGGAGGATGATAATTGTTGGACACCCAGTGCATGTTGTGCATATTGTGACATTTACCTTCAAAGACAACATTGTCTCCTTGCCCTCTAAGCAACAAATAACAACAATATTGATTACCAACCCATAAGCAAATTTTCAGGTTTTTCATATTTGCACGATAATACTTTGTATCATATTGAATGGTGTTTTTCAGTTTTCATACTTAAACTATTTAGTAGCTTTATAAATAATTTCAGGTATACTTTGTTGTAAAAGCCTATTTTATTGTTAACAGTAGTTACATATGATAATTTTGTAAAAAGAAATCAGCAAAAATTCATAATCACTTTTTTATTGTCGGCCATTTTGGATTTTTCCGTCCTAAAATCTTGTCTGTAAAGTCTTGTCTACGTGTTTTCAGGAGAACCGTTTGGTATATCAATTTCAAATTTTCAGGGATGATTCTTAGAATGAAAATCTAGATCTCATTAGTTTTTGGGCATTCTGGGTAAATGTCAAGGCAGCCATTTTGGATTTTCCGTCTTAAAATCTTGCCCGTAAAGTCTTGTCTACGCATTTTCAGGTGAACCGTTTGCTTGATCAATTTCAAATTTTCAGGGATGATTTTTAGTATGAAAATCTAGTTCTGATTAGTTTTTTAACATTCTGGGTAAATGTCAAGGCAGCCATTTTGGATTTTCTGTCCTAAAATCTTGTCTGTAAAGTCTTGTCTACGCATTTCCAGGTGAACTGTTTGGTAGATCAATTTCAAATTTTCAGGGATGATTCTTAGTATGAAAATCTAGAACTGGCTAATTCTTTGGCATTCTGGGTAAATTTTAAGGTGACCATTCTGGATTTTCCGTCCTCAAATTGTGTCGGTTAAGTCTTGTCTACTCATTTTTAGGATAACCATTTGACAGGATCACCAAAAGGTGGGGACATTTTGTACACATTTGTGTTCTTGTTTCAAATCTAGATTCTAAACAATTTTTAATTCTTAAGTTTTCAGTTTTGTCAGTGTTTAATATTTGAATTGCCAATTTGACAATAAAATATCAACATTGACATGTATGTTTTATTTAATATAAAAGTGATGTTTTACACATGTCTATTTATTACAAGTTTCACAGCAGTAGACTATAGATTTAATATGTCAATCAATTATCTGTATTCAACTCATCAGTACATCTTCACTATTTATTGAGGTTAAACTATTAAAGCAACTGTTTGCGGAAATGGGAGATATGGATTTTTATTAAGCAGCTAAACTCTTACCAACTTCATAGCAGGCAAATAATCTGTGTATTAGTAGAAAGAATATAAGATATACATGTACAAGAAGTACAAGTATTGAGAAGTTTTTGCATATGAATCGTTTTAAGAATTTACTGAAAGTTTAAGACACTGCACTTCAACCATTGAAATGGAGCATGTCTAATTATTAATTTATTACTAAGACATGTCGCCAATAGTTTCATCCCCTAGAATGCCGAATTGCAATGAAAATGCTTGATATGTGCACAAACTTTTAATTGTCGATTTTATTGGCTAGTATGGATGTTTTTACTGGTAGCGTTTAAATCTTCAGATGATGTGTTTTGCATTTTCTGATCAAAACCTTAAAAGAACAAATCATCACTTTATTCATCCTCCTTAGCAGGTGTCCAGAATCCGTACCTCCTTCTTTCCCCCTGCTATAACCAATTTGGAATCGGGGGGAAATGCTAACTGCATATCGAAGGAGGTAAAAAGAAAGAAGTATCCTGTTATCTGAGGATGCACTTTATTCTGCCTAAGTTTTTTATTATCCTAAAAAATCTAAATTGTTGTATTTGCAGCTATTTAAGCGTTTTGAAAAAGATGGCGATGCTTCCCAATATGGACGTGGTCGAGACTGGAATGTTGACCTGATTCCTAAATTCTTGATGGCAAAGGGTAAGGACTATTATCATTTAAAGTGGCTCTACCTCCATTGCCTTACAAAAGAAGTCATTCCGCAAAAAATGATCGATCAAAATCGTAAATCAAATCAAAAATGTTTTAATGTTCTGCAACATTTCTGTAACAATTTACAACATTTCAAGACAGATCTTTATTTGTTTGTACGTTAAGTGTGCAAAGTACAAAAATGCATGAAAAGATTTATTGTTCAATGTAAAAGATTAGGATTCAACTTACTTACAAAAACATTCATAGAAAAGTATGATCCAACACTGAAAGAATATTTTAAAGGTGATTTTGTCTCAACTTTTTGAAACTGGATTTTAACTTGTAACTGGTATAACATTTTTAAAAAAATTGCAACTTTCTCTGGTGTAAGACTATGGACGGACTATGATACAAACTGTAACTAAATATTTTCTGAGTATATTCATACTTTTCAAAGAACTTTTAGGCTATAAATTCTATTACATGTTCTCGGTGAGTAGTATTTCTAGATAATTATCAACCAATCACATTAATTAGCACATAACATGCACCGTAAATGAAAGCAGAAAATCATTCAAATTTAGTGTAAGGTAAGAGTTCTAAAGGTTTTTTGAGGAGACAGATCCTAGCTTCAAGAGACAATTGAGTCAACTCAAAAAGTTGAGTTAACAGTGGAAACTTTAAGAATACCATAGAACATACAGTTTCTTTTCAAATTCTAGACAATTTATTTTTAAATACAGAGTATTTTATCATTGATAGGGCGGTGTGTTTGACATTATTTCTAAAGTATTTAGCAAGTTCAGTAATAAAGAGTGAGTCCCTTTAATACCTGTAACAGTAACTATTATACAGTTGAAAGTGTATTGTTATTGTTTTGTTAAAAGGTTATTATCCCACCAAACGTAGTTTATGAGGGATATAGAGAAGCCATCCATTGATCTGTCCATTCGTCTGTCCAGACAATAAATCAAATACCTTATAAATAATTTGCAGGCCGATGCCTTATGAAATTAGGACCTCTGCTTGAGAATATATCCATTCAATTCAAAATGGCGGCCATTTCAGTTCAGTTCAAAATGGGTACTAGTTTTTTGTAAAAAAGTAATTTTGATAACTTAATATCAGAATGTGAATATGGATATTTGAATTCTGTTAAAATTTTATGTGCTGATGCCTTAGGGCATTGGATACTGCTCAAGAAAGTTTCCAAGATAATTGTTGAAAATGGCCACCTTATTTCGTGAAAAATGTAATAACTGAAATACCAATCGTTTGATTTGGTTCATATTTTTTTGCCTATCTTATTAGCATAAGGCTGAAAAATAATTTAAGTTCAAAATGACCACTATTTCTCAGAAATGCATGATCCAATGCAAAAAGTTATCAGATGTGGTCTTAATTGTATAGGCTCATGTAATGGCTTGTGATCATAAGACTTCTTCTCGAGAAGAAATTTATGATATGGTGCCTTGCCACATCATAGAGTATAGATTTTTCCAAAAGGAGACTATTATTACACTACTTGGGATTTGATACTCCGTGGAGTTACTGTTTTTCTAATTTATTTCATGGATATAATTGAATAAAATGTTATGTTTTTCTAATGAATACATTCTGCAATTTAATTGTTCACTTAGCTAGATTTGTATTAATAATTGCACATGTAGGGGAAATGGTTCTACTATTTGGCAAGGTTACTCTAGAAAACTACTGAAACTTCAACTTACTTCGAGGATATAACACGAAAGATCAAACTTTCTTCTAAAATTTGAGTTGTGTTTGACATTTCTCATTCTCTGAATACTAACACTAAAAGACCCCTAAGACCCACATGGATGGTCATCCTCATTATTGCACGAGTCATCCTAATTATTTCACAGTTGTATTTTGATTGTTATTTCATGGTACTTGTATATTATGCTGACTATTTATAATGGATATCTGCACACATTAAAATCATTTTCCATCAATTTTAATGTAAAATATCAACAAATTTGACATTATTCACTTACTTTTCTGTCTTAATCTGTCTTTATTTGGATGGGGGTCAAGCAAAAATGATGAGCAATTTGTAGATGGATTAGTCATTAAGATTGGGAGAAATGGTGTTGGGCTGGTGTTAGTAACACTGGTTAAAAAGAGGTGGGTTCATATTTTAGCCATTTATGACAAATGTGTGATAATTAGGACTGTGTGATAATATTAGGACCATTTTCCCTATGTACTAAATGCTAGATTCTTTCGATAAATTATATCCTAAATGCTAGGTCAACTTGTAAAACTACTGATCCACACTGGAGTAACTCGTTACCTGGAGTTTAAGTCAGTAGAGGGCAGCTACGTGTTTAAGGGCGACAAGATCTATAAGGTTCCTGCTGATGAGGCTGAGGCTCTTGGATCCAGTAAGCCTAGAAACAGATTATGAACATTTCATCATTTCACCATGCATTTTCTCATTTTTACCTCACAAGTGATTTCTTGCTTATCATATGTTTTACCTTGGATGTATAGATCTGGCTTCTTGGCATGATGATGGTTGACATGTGATAGACGTGAAATTGCTTTTTCCGGGGAATCTGAATGTTGTGATGTCATTGTTTACTACCCTTGTTTTACTATCTCCTAAGGTAAAAGTATCGTATAATTATCAAAAGATGAAAAATTGAGTGTCATCTAAAAAGAATTACAATTTTCTTATATAGATCCATAAATATCATTTGGAGATAGTAAAGCAGTTCCCTTGGTGACATTGTGTATGATTGTGTTGTCTGTGTTTTATGTTTTCTAGACCTGGTGGCATTATACCTACAATATTGACCTTGCTTAACTTGACTTTTTAGCTCTCCCTGTATCAGTACCCACTAGGAACACCTGTATTGCTAGGAACTAGGTCTAGCCTATATCTAGCTCATTGCTAGCAACATCTAGCTCCTTGCTAAAGCTAAGTTCACGTCGACGGCGCTTTGATAGTGCTTTAAAGCGCCGTGCAAAGCTGCTTTGCAAGCCCCTTTACACCGTTGGTGTGAAATTAGCTTTAGGACATCTTGCTAATTTCTAAAACTGATATAGATGACATCGTGAGATATCACAGCCTCCTCTCAGTTGCCTTCTTTGCAAAGCAGAGATGATCTGAATTTCAGAATGTAAAGTTGAATGGACATGAGTTCATTTGCTTGCAGCATACTATTACATATGAGTAATATGCAATATGTTTGCAAGGTACCAATAGTACTCTAGCATATACTGGTCTGGTTTGATATATGGGAGTTCTAAATCTTGAGGTCATTTGAGCCATTCCATGCGCTTTCTTTGTAGAGTCTGGTGCCATCTTGAATCAAGCACAGCTTTTTGTATCAGTAAGGCTTAATCCTTATATGCTAGGGGATGCCGCAGCCTTCTTGATCTATGGTTAAACTCCAGAGGGCAAAGGGTTAAGTTAACCCCACCCCTGATGGATATTAACACTAAGCTTGCTTGCACATCATTATTTTTCAGTTTTACTTCAATATCTTCATTTTGCATATGTTTTAATTTTTTCTGCTGGCCGTTTACTTTAGGTCAGTTAGTCCAGCTGCTGCTCCATACAGGTTGTACCAGGTACCTCGAGTTCAAAGTAATTGAGGGAAGTTACGTCTATAAAAAGGGCGGAAAAATTCACAAAGTTCCTGCAGATGAAAAAGAGGCTATCACTACCAGTATGCAAACAGTTTGTTAACATATTTACAAAACTTTTGTTTTTTTCTTGAATATGCATTGAATGTTATCATATTAAATTTCTTCAGATGAAAGAAGTTATTGGTTTCCTCAAAAATTCACATTGGCATTTTGATAAAATCTGGGAATAATTTATTTAAGATCAGTGGTACCTATTTGGAAACCAAATCAGTCTTTCTTAGTAACAAAATGGATATGCATACAGAAGAAGAAAATAGAATTGAAAAAAATTAAGTTCATCATTCCACCAATAAGGGAGATTCGTGCTTCAATACTTAAATGTCTTTGAAAATAATATACAGGGTGTCTAAAAAGTTATCTTCACACTTTACACAGACTTTGTATTATAATTGTGAAGAAACTTGATGGACACCCTGTATATCCATCAGTTCCAATAAATGGGCGATACATTCCTCATTTTAACCACCAGGAATTTCACAGCCAAATGTAATATTTCCAAGATGCTCAATGTTTCTGACCTGGATATCCTGCGTTCAAATATTATTAATAAAAAGTGACCTTCATAGAATTTTTGACCATGCTCTTGAGAATGACCACTCATTATACTTAAAATGCACAGTTTTCTCTTATGATTCGATCACTGCAAGCACTAGCTAATACACAGTCCTGTTATTTGATCAAAATTAGCGGAAGGGACCCTTGCAGTTGCAGCCATATCCTGGCTTGTTCAAACAATTTTATTCATGAAATAGTACAATATTTTCAAAACTTCACATGGGCCCTTTAATACATAGGCAAAGTATTGAAATACAAACTGACTCTGTGTCTGTGGTTTTGAAAATGGGGAAAACTGAACTTACTTTTTCTTCTGGATGTGCATTCCAAATTGTTGAAGTCTTTTTAAAAAAAATTGGGTTTTAAGTTTTTCAAAGTGCTTTAAAAATGGATCTGCCCTTTTGTTGCAAATCAGGCTGATATTTGAACCTGTGTTTTATGGAACATTGTCCTCATCCAATACGTTGTCCATTTAGTAATACACCTACATTTTCTTGTTTCAGTTGTATATCCATATTTTCATTGTCACGACCATTATCATTTTACTTTTCATTTGCACTTGCTGTTAAGACCCTGCATGAAAGGCACACATTAATATTGGCATGAGCTCCCAAAAACCAAATGATATTTAGTCTTTTTACCCTTCATATACGCAGCTACTGATAATTTACTGGGTGGGTGTGGTTGTATGACTGGGGTGGTGACAGGGATTGTTTTTGAATTTAAATTACCTATATCTTGCATAATTTCGAGCTTTTTGTTGATATTTTGGCACATTTTCTTTGTCTCAAAGGCAGCAATTTAGAAAATGGTGGCCTTTGTATATGTTTCATTTTACATTTTTATTACTATAACTCCAAAAGTAAAAATTGACTTTAATGATATTTTATTTGCAAGATCTTGGAAGCATGAGAAGCATATCAGTTTGCTCAATATTTTTTTGCTCAATAATTCTGCCATTTTATATGATTCATTTTATACATTTCTTTGTTATATCTCGAAAAAGAAATGGAATGATTTTGTTAATATTTACATACAAATACATTTAATTTGAAGATGTTCCTAGTTTTAGATATTTGTATGAAGTAATACTTTAATATGCATTAAGGTTTTTTTTCTCAAGAAGTATTTGCTCATCTTCATGAGAACTTCTATTTAATTATTACATATAATATTCCTATATAAAGGTAAGATGCAATGTTGACATACCATACACATCTTGTATATATCATTATCACATTTTGGATGAATAGAAAAAACCCAGGTGACTAAGAACTGAATAATTTTGATCCATGTGCAGTCAAAACATTGATTCATAGGTCCCTAGCAAATAATTATGAGCAGATCATTCTTGAGGGAACAAGCCTTAATTTGTTCATAAAGAATTTATTTACTTCTTAAAATCTGTGAAAAAATATTGGAGCTCCAAACACTCTTTAAGATACCATGGATTTCAAATTTGACATGAAAAATCATTTAGAAGCAAGATATGAGTAATTTAAATTAAAAAATAACCGTAGGCTGGTCAGGCTGTCACAGTCGTCAGATCCATTATCGGTAGCTGCATATACCAAGGATGCTATCTAGAACCTGTGTTGTTCACAAAATATATTGTGACATGCAATCGTAAATAAAGCTTTGCTTAGATGTCTCCATAACATTGAATGTTTCTTCCACATAATATTACATATTTACATGTATATATCAGACTCTTTGAATTAGTTTTAATAGACTTAATTAAAAGGAATAATCAAGTTAATGGTTATTAAATGATATGGATGACTTATTGCTAAATTTATGAAATTTACAGTTAATTCAGTATAATTTTATAATCTATGAATAAAAATATATATAAAAATATATAATCTGTCCTAGGTTTAATGGGTCTCTTTGAGAAGCGCCATTTTCGCAACTACCTGATGTACATTCACAAATTTGATGAGAATGATCCAAAGACGCATGATGGGGTTGATGCCACCAAAACGACCGCTGAAGAATTGTACAAAAAATTCAGTCTTGACAAAAATACACAAGACTTTGTTGGCCATGCTGTTTCTTTACATCGAAATGACGAGTAAGTTTGGGTATTTATGATATTATAAGTCTCCTGTTATTCTTAAGGATGTTCCCTGGTCAGATAGGAAAATATTCAATAGTATTTAACTTTTTCTCAAAAATGGTTTTCTGGGATTCTCACGGGCAACAAAGAATATTAAAACTTTAAAAACCATATGTTAGTGTGCTTTTTTCTGAGCAAGAGGCCTCTAAAGTGTCAATATTTGACAAAAGTGGGCGTGGCACTTTCTCATTGAAACCCATGTTAAAAATCAGGTTTTCACCCCAAAACACACTTTTGAATATTTAACTTTTTCTTAAACTCACAGAAACACTTAGTTATGCTATGTACTTCACATTTTGAAAAGAAAAATTAGGGGTTGGTGTTCATCGTTTTCAACTTCGTCCAGGGAACATCCTTAAAGCCCCTGCGCATAGTTGGAATTTTTTGGTTTATGCTTTATATTAGGCGACTTAAGAGTGGTAGAATGTGTATTTGATTGTTAATATGAAAAAATTAAAATCCACATCAATATAGATCTTTTTTGATAAGCCCATGGTCTGCTGGGCAACTGGTCCCCAAGACAACTCACATCCCACATCCACTAGTCACCACTATTATCATATAATGCTTTGATAATATTGGACTGTTGGTATGGAACAAGAATATACATTTAACTATGTATATAACTTCAAAATAGGCAACATTCTAAAGATTTCTTTCTTGTTACAGCTACATTAAACAACCAGTGCTAGACCAGATACGCAAAAACAAGCTCTACTATGATTCTCTGGCTACCTATGGGAAAAGTCCTTATTTGTACCCACTTTATGGACTAGGAGAATTGCCTCAAGGATTTGCCAGGTATGGATTTGGATATAAACTAAAAAACAGCAACTCTGTATTTGCAAATGCCACCAAGCAAAATGTATATTTTCAAATTAGTCGTCATTTTCATGAGGCATTAGTATTTTCTCATTTTAGCAAAATGTACATACATGACATGACATGATATGGTTGACCCCATATTCAAAATTCAGGGCTTTTGCTAGGCTTTTGGAATGCCATCGTAAAATCAACTCTCAACACAACCTTTTCAAGATGGTGACTGTCGAATTTTGACCACCTGTCAGATACAGTTCGCCTGCTGTCAGAACCATTTACCAATCATAGACATTTTACCTTCAAAATTAATCCAAATGAATGAATTTAATTTTGTCATTTTGCTTTTGATTTCCATTTTTCAAAAATGCTCTTGTGTTGTTTGGGTGTTTACTATTTATAGACATTAATCCTTTTGTTAATATGTTCCAGGCTTAGTGCAATCTACGGTGGTGTCTATATGCTTGACAAGCCCTGTGATGAAATCGTTTATGAAGATGGCAAGGTGGTAGGAGTGAAATCTGAGGGTGAAACAGCAAAGTGCAAGATGGTCATTTGCGACCCCTCATATGTACCAGGGAAGGTCAAGAAGGTTGGACAGGTAAATGACTGACACAATCTACTTGCCAAAATTGTTAACTTTTCGAATCTTTGATCTAAAGATATGAAAAGACACAAACTGCAATATTTCAAATATAAACCACACAACCCCTATAAAATATCTCAATGCTTAATTCAGGGCTTGCATTAACGGCGTCCCCTACATGTTAAGGACTCAAAAATAATTTGGAGGACGCAAAAATTAAAAATATTTCCGTTTTTTGGACGCAAAATTTTTTTACGTCAATACTACAATGTGTTTACAACGATACCTAACAAAAACAAATAATTATGATCTCTCACCTTTATTTGAATCGTAAATAAGGCTCAACATGTTGAATATTTACAAATAATCATGATTCTCTCAAATTTTTCGACTTTGTTTATTTTTAGATTTGAAACCATGACACGCCACAGTTTTTCCTATTCAGAAACAAATATTAGGTTATTCATGAAATAAAATGTATTCATTGTCGAATGAACGAACATGCATTTATTCAGTCCGTATTTAACGTTTACTTCCGTTTTAAATTCGCGGCAAGAAATCAAAAACTGAAAAATAGGGGACACACTTTTTTTTCAAAGGACACACTTTTTAAAAAAAATTACGTCCTTGGGACTCACAAATTTTCTAACCTAATGCAAGCGCTGGGCTTAATTTCAGGTTGTACGTGCCATCTGTTTGCTGGACCATCCAATTCCAAACACTAAGGATGCTCTATCTTGTCAGATCATTATTCCACAGAATCAAGTAAACCGTAAAAATGGTAAGTTTGATTTTGTTACATCCTGAGAGCTTTTAGTTTTAACCAATGTTTCAGATTAAGTGGCGACATTGTTATGGTCTCCAACCTTTTGTGGACTGTGTTCCGCATTCAATGTTCCGAGTTCAGTGTTTGTAACAAATGGCAGTTGGTGCCATTTCGCATGTTAATGCCTCGTTCCTAATGTTCCAACATTAGAAATTTGAAGTGACATTCAGTCAACAACATACATAAAATCAATATGAAAATAAATATACTGTTACTTTGCTAAAAAGCTTATAAAATAGTTTATTTTTTCTGACTTAAGAAATTTAAGCAGAATAAATTATGTTGATTTGTATTTCCAGATATCTACGTTTGTTGTGTATCATATACTCACCAGGTGGCAGTCAAAGGGTATTTTATTGCACTTGTCGCCACCACAGTGGAGACGGATAATCCTGAGAAAGAATTGGATCACGGACTTAACCTATTAGGGCAAATACGAGAAAAGTAAGCTTGGCTTTAATATTTAGCCCAAAAATTCGACATACTCATGTATATCACAGTATATCAAAGTATTTATTTCCTGATTTTCATTGAAATGAGAACATGATAATGTACAATATTGTGTGGTTTTTTCCTCAGATCAAGTCATACAAAAGCAGATTTAGTATTCTCGAGGGCCAGCTTTTTGCTCAAACCACAATCTAAGTTAGAATTAACCCCAAATTAATTTTTGTCATATTCTGCTAATAACTTGGAGATTTTGGATGCCTAGTGTGTACTGACATCATGTAGTCCAAAAGTCATCTAACTCCACTACCTTAAAAGTGCTACATTTCTCACTTGTAAATTATGTTAAATTGTTATTCCAGATTCGTTAGTGTTAGTGACTTGTACGAGCCCACAGACACCGGTGAGAATAGTCGCGTATTCGTTTCATCCTCCTATGATGCCACAACTCATTTTGAAACTACATGTCTCGATGTGTTAGATATTTTCAAGCGTGCGACTGGAGAGGACTTTGATTTCAGTAAAGTAAAGACACAAGAAGAAGCAGATGAATAAAATCAATGAAGTTCATTAGATTATGAGGTTCATGCGAACATTATGACTATGAGTGCACAATCTGCAGTCTTGTACCACATTAAGAGTTTAACTCTGTTTATGATAAAGAGGGCGTACTCAGTCTCTTTATATTTACATTTGCAGCTATGCTTTCGTCTCTGTCACGCACATTGGATATATAAAATTGACTGAAGATTGACTGACAGTCATGGACATTTTAGGATTGTGCATCAAAATTCAAAAAACATGGATTACGTTATATGATAACTGATGTTTGAAGGTGTACTGGTTCCGAAGATTATTGTAACCTCTGTGATAAGCATTGATAGACGATTTTGAAACTGTATATTTGGTAGCAAAAGAGTGTGAGAAATAACAGGGTGAAAATATATTCAACTTCATACTCTTATTTATACCAAGCAAGATGCTTATATACAGGCTTTGTAATCAATTGATGTATTCTATCTATAAATGTGAACTATTACTGTCAGTTCAACAAAAGCAATTTTGTGAATCGAAAATATCTTAAATTATTATTGCCATAATGCACTGCTTCATATGCTCATGTAAGACGCGACTTTGATTCAAACATTCCTTTCGTACTTAAATGTTGAATGTTCATAGACATGCTGTTACATAGATAAGTAGAAGGTAATGTTAACATGTGAAAAAATACTTACACATGTAGACAAGTGCAATTGGTATAAAGTGGGTAAACAATTGTCTATTAACATATACATTTCTCATCAAACTTTTATCATAACAAGGCCAAAGAGCTTTCTTGAACTTTGAAACCTCAACATTTTTCATTGTTCATTTGTTCTCAAGCATATATAGGGGTGACTGCATATTGTGATCTCATGCTGGCTCTAAAGTATTCACATGTAGTGTTGTACTGTATACAGTTCAGCAAATATACACAAACTAGAATTCAAATAGGAATTTTTTTAATGGAAAACTGACCAGTATGATATCAAAATATGGAATTGTAGAAATAGAATGAATACTCATTAATAAGTCCTAATTATGAGTTATATGCCAAAAATTCAGTTAGTTGTAAAGTGAAGATGATCGAAATTCATACTCCTGGGTTTTATATTTTTTATGGTATTATTATGAATAAATGTGATATAGAGTTGGGTGCAACTTGGGAGTGCTCTAATTCAAACTTATAGGAATAGATGGGGAGGTGGCAATACATGTATTGTTAGATAGGTTTAGAAGTACTCATTAAGTGACAAAATCTGAATATGAAATTATTGTACACTAATCTTCTAACAATGTTGTTGGACTTAGATTTTTGAATGGTTAGATTTGAAAAAGTTTTCAAAGTGAATTTTTGCTGTTTTACATCAAATGTTTCGTTATCCAGCTCTGCTTTCATGAATAGTTGTAAATGAGAGTATACATTCGAGCATATGGCAAATATTCCAACTAATCATATATCAATTGATGAATATTCTTGTGGGTTTCATATTGTTGTAAACAAAAATTACCAATTTATTCACCCGTTTGTCTTGTTGGGTGTATATACAAGTACTAGATGTAATGAAATAGACTGATCTGGTAGTGTTAGTGCCATGTACTAGACTGACCTGGTAGTGTTAGTGCCGTGTACTAAAGACTGATCTGGTAGTGTTAGTGCCATGTACTAGAGACTGACCTTGTAATGTTAGTGCCATGTACTAAAGATTACCTGGTAGTGTTAGTGCCATGTACTAAAGATTGATCTGGTAATGTTAGTGCCATGTACTAAAAACTGACCAGGTAGTGTTAGTGCCATGTACTAGAGACTGACCTGGTAATGTTAGTGCCATGTACTAAAACTGACCTGGTAGTGATAGTGCCATGTACTAAAAACTGACCTGGTAATGTTAGTGCCATGTACTAAAAACTGACCTGGAAGTGTTAGTGCCATGTACTAAAGTACCTGAATAAATGTTAAAGCCATCTCTGTGTACGCTCCTAAACATAGTGAGCATTCTGAACAAAGATGTGTCTACGCATGCTACCATATATGGTCATATATATAAATGTCAATGTGTCTATTGTGGCTCCATCTATCTGCATGGATAATAAATCAGTATAAAACTTAAAACTTGTGTTACTCTGAATTTAAGATATAAAAATAGAGAGATCATCTGGGATGTCTCTATGATAATTAGCAATATTTGGTAATAACATGGTTCAGCTGTTCAATATGATAATATCTGCATATCTAACATTCTTGTTGTTATGTAGTGATAACCAGAGAACTAATAGTCAGATTGACTTGAAGCATTTAGATCGAGGACCTCTCGATGTGTTCTAATTTTAGGCCATGTTTGCAATCTCACTTGGTATAAAAATAAGCAATGGCTATAAGGATTGATCCCTCATTATGGTGATACATAAACACACTGGTCAAGCCTGTCCTCTTTTTAGTTTTCCTAATATTACATGTGTGCATGTATATTGCATACTTCTATCATGACTGGGTCAAATAAAGTTCAATAATAAGAAAATTCATAAACAAATCAAGTGATAAATATTTATTTTATTTTTATTTTGCAAAAATTCCAACGTAAGAAAAAGCACAATGCTACAAGTGTACTTAGTACTGTTGTCACTATACAGGTAGAATAAATAAAATATAGCACCCCAACTCTGTCAAAAACATTCCTTTAGCAATACTGTCCTAGTATATCATCAAATCTTAAATATAGAAATATGTCATTATGTAGGGGGGTTTAGTGACAATTTTTGCCAACTGGCAAAGCAAAGCAAATAGAAACAACAGGCAAAATTATAGAAAATGATTAGTTTCGATGGAAACAGTTGGAAATTTCCTCAAAACATGGAGTTTTGGAAAAAACAACTTGTGACAACTGCCCGATATCTGCTGCTTTTTATCTACATTAACAAACTTGAAAAAATATCATGATATTCAGTATGCCTTAACTATAACACTGTCTACTTATAAAGTTCTGGTGATGTTGCTTACTTGTATTTTGGGCAATTATAAATATTAATAGTACATAATATTTATTTTAGAAAAACTCGGTCAATTATGAACAAAAGTTGCAAAACTCAAACATTAGCCCTGTTCATTGTGCATATACTCCATATACAATCAAAGGCACAAAATGAAGTAGCATCAAATAACAGGGTAACTACAGTCATTGTGGCTGGAGTCCACTAAAATTTCCACTATATGCTCTACCAAAGCCATTTTGTCTACAACAGTTGAAGATAACAGCACATTGCCATTAAGTATACATGTATTAAGTATATTAAAATATCACAGTTACAGACACAGTGGGGTTACACATTACACAACCTGTACTCAGTCACTCATATGACAGCATTATCCATGCCTAGATTGCGAGTTGTACAAACTCACAACATACACGTAACATGGATACAGCACGTTTTAATCAATAGTCCATTTTGAAACATTTATGCTACGCAATTATGAAGGAGAAATGAATATATAAAACTGAACTAGTCACAGGGCAAAATGAAAAGAAAAAATCCTCTTTAATTTCTGCAATTTCTGAGAAGTTTGTGAATGTTACAGAAATAGGCCATGATAATGGATACCCCACTGTGTTATCACTAGAGGAACAAGCTTTTGGCAATTTACTTTGACTTCTACCTTTAAGTACCACTTAGTATTTAAGGTATGTATACCTATTTACAAAAATACATATTAGTTCACTACTGTATCTGTAGGTATAACATGAATATAAAATGTGAACCATTTAAAACATCCAATATATATGAAGATATAAATATTAAAAGCTGTTTTATTTCAGATTCATAGTGCAAGGCCCTGACAACAGTGACATCAGATTCCGTTGTCCAAAATGGAGGATGTAATAGCAGCATCCAATCTAAAATTGATTGATTCTCATTTCATGTGACATTTTTGGCGCTAAAACTCATGTGATTATATCAAATACTAATTTAGATCAAATGTGGTCGTGAATTGCCATAATATACCGTTTTCCAAATCATCAAAGACAATGGATTTTGAATTAAAAAAATATAATGGTAGATGTTATATACAGTATCTATTGACATGTACCCCATTTTAATTTGTAAAATTAAGGTAACTTCCTCAATGTGAGAATATTTAACTTTAGGATATTAGTAAAAATACACTTTCATTGATTGTACGTGCCATAGGAATTTAAATCTATTTGCTCCATTTAACATGCAGCGTAAGAAAATCAAATTGAATATGAACCTTCATCCGCCATTTTGGAAAACAGAATCTGATGTCGCCATTGTCAGGGTGTTCCAGTGTGAGATTGAAGGCAACTATATGAGGCAATTGCTAAGCAGACTTGGTTTCTCTCATGTCATCTTAAAGGGACTCTTGCCCATAGATTAGAATAAATGCAAATATATGAACACATCCCTTTTTTGTCTATGGGTAGTTATAGCAATAGCTTCACGCTCTCTATCTAATATCAGTAAGCCAATACCATGAGGAGTAAGTCACCCATCCCTCTTATATTTCTGTAACCTTTTAGAATTATATTAGACATTTAATATAGAGAATATTTGAAGGGGGTGACTTCCTCCCTGTGGCCAATACATACTTAAAAACATTCAACAATTATCATTGAACACACTAACCTGGTACATAACCAGAAAATAACTAAATCCATAAAAAATCATGATGTCATAAAGAGAACATTAAAAGCTACGGGAGCACTTCTTGTAATGAAGACTTAATATCTATCTACCTAATAAGGCCTTATTATACAGGGGCATAGCATGCAAGGGTCCATATAGGCTTTGTAAATTTAAAGGCAGAATCAGATCTATTAGGGAGTAACAAAATTGCAAGCACAAATGTACAGTTGACCTTCTTATATACTCCTTACAATCTCAAATACAATATCTCCCAAAAGATCCATGATATGTTATAAACTGGTGACGTTATTAAGGATTCCAAAATAGGAGGAAAATGTGTAAATTCTCAAATAATAAATATGATAATCATATTTAAAGATATTTTTATAAAATGAATGCAGTATTGTAAAAACTTTAGTTGTCCTCAAATAAAGTATACACTTTAGGGATTTTAAGAAAAAAGACATAACAAGGAATCATATGAGGCCAAAATATTCTAAAATTGAAACAACTTTTGTCCAGAGTACTCATCAGTATCTTTCAAGATCTGATTCTGCCTTTAAATAGGTAAGTCAATAAGAACATTTTATTATATTTCTATATGACATAAATTGTATTTTTCAAACTTTGAGTTCAAAAACATCTAACAAATGCCCCATAGCAAGCCATGCCCATGGTACATATGCAGCCTTTAGGCTTGTTCATTAGTATGTGGTTCCTCTACAGCTGCACCCCCAGGGGCCAGTGGGCGGGGCTGAAGCTCAATATGCTCCTCACCTGGAGGGTGACGAGAATTATCCTCCCACATCTCTGGAGATTTGTGATTTTCATAAATATCTTGCACCGTAAGGAATATGATGATAAAATTCTTGACCAAAAATACGGAAATGTCTTGATCAAGTGCGTGCCATAGGAAGAGTCTGATTGACAGGAAAGGAAGGTTGACGAGGAATAATCTTGCAAGGGTGTGCAAAGTACGAATTACTTTCGCTGCCTTTCCTTCAGCATAATGAGTTTTACTCAAAGTCAATAAGGTCATTGTCGGAAGCAGGAGATTGATACATGAGAACGCAATTATTGAATCCTCCAGCGCAAAGGGTAATAAGATCCTTGTTTCTTGTACGAAGAGTATCTCCAGTTGGTCCACACTGTCCAAAACATCTAAGGAGACTTCACCCGTGACACGTTCCAGAAAGTGTTCCTTAGAGCTATGGGGCGGGGCCTCATGATGTGTCATTACCAGAAGCATAAATATGACACTAGATAGAGCGATTACAACTTTTAACAAGTTTGGCCCAAAGAAGTTCTTCTCTTCCAAGAACTGTGCCGTGTGCTTGAATAGAATAGCAACCTTAATGATGAGGACTAAGGAGTAGATAAACCATATAATGTAAGCCAATGGTAGTTCACCGCCTTGCCTTACGGCCACTAACTTCCTAGATGCTGGAGTAGACTGATCTTCCTCTCGCCTTGCATATTTATTATGCTTATAGGAAATCACAAATGATGTGATAAACACCGAAATGACTATAACGTCGGCTATTGCCCATAGAGAGTGGAAAATGCCACGGTCTATCACTAAGTAATAGTTCATAATGGCACCTTGCAAAATGATAAATCCGATGCAAAAGGTTCTGGTTAGGATACCACTGATATTGTTGCAGATAATTGTCCCTACGGATGGCATTTTCAGATCCTATGCTGGTGTCAGTTATGTAGTAAACAGAACAGCTTACACACTTTACGTGGTAGATCTGGTATTCTTTTCCCACTACAGATTTTCTGAAATAAAACCAATGATGATAATTTTATCAAATTACACTTTAAGTTTACATATCTATTATAGGCTTTATCTATGGTCATTGTCCATGGTTGGGAGTTACTGAATGTCAGCTAGGAAGAACAGGTTAAGACTGCACCGCAGGTGGAGAAACAGAGTAGAGTTGTAAGCGTACTCTTATTAATTTGTTCTGTTCAGTGTGACTTTTCTCAGACTTTTTCTCGATGTACATCGCGATGTGCATCGATGTTTACTCCTGAAAATTGCCGATTATGGCACATCGCGACAACACTAGTCATGACTGTGGTAATGTTAAAGCTTGATATGACCATGACAGTCATATCAATGGTTGCAAGGCCTGTCATGACTGTGGTAATGTTAAAGCTTGATATGACCGTGACTAATGGTTGCAGCGCCTGTCATGACTGTGGTAATGTTAAAGCTTGATATGACCGTGACAATGGTTGCAGCGCCTGTCATGACTGTGGTAATGTTAAAGCTTGATTTGACCATGACAATGGTTGCAAGGCCTGTCATGACCATGGTAATGTTAAAGCTTGATATGACCGTGACAATGGTTGCAAGGCCTGCCATGACCGTGGTAATGTTTAAGCCTGGTATGACTGTGACAATGGTTGCAGCGCCTGTCATGACCGTGGTAATGTTAAAGCTTGATATGACCGTGACAATGGTTGCAGCGCCTGTCATGACTGTGGTAATGTTAAAGCTTGATATGACCGTGACAATGGTTGCAAGGCCTGTCACGACCGTGGTTATGTTAAAGCACAATATGACCATGCCATTAGTTATATCATATCATCATTTAGAAGCATGAGAATACCATAATGAAAAAATTCATTGTTTAACTTCCTTAAATATGTAAATCTAGACTACTATACATGTACATGGTACTTGCGTACGTTGATACATAAAATTTTAGATTCATGAACTTATAATTAATTTCCACAAACTAAAATACAAATCTCATTCGAAAACGTGAACATTGTCATGGTCATATAAGGCTTCAACATTACTGCGGTCATGACAGGCCTTACAGCATTGTCACGGTCATATCAGGTTTTAAAATTACCATGGTCATGGCAGGCCTTGCAATATAATACAGCATTGTCACGATTATACCAGGCTTTCACAATAACACTACCACGGTCATGGCAGGATCCTTGCGAAACTTAAAAACACTCATGTGCCAGGCATAAGTCTTGCAATAGATAGCATGTGCAAAAAGATTGAGTATTTTGCGGAAGATTTCCAAACGATGGCACTGTAGGTCCACTGATTAACATACACATTTTTTAATATCAGGGTTTACCTTGAGTACATGTAAGTAAAACGTGAATGATGAATATTTGAATAATTATTTGTAATTTTTTATATTTTTCAGAAAATTTCCACATTGGTTGGATAGCGATTCCGATTATGAATTTCAAGTGAAACCTGTAAAACACAGGTCACTGATAAAGTATAAATACGTGTACTTAATGTTAAAATTCCTGAGAAACATTTAAATAGACGTCTATGGAGAAAATAAAAACAAACACTTTCTTACTTCCGGGTTTGTACAGCAAAGTCAGGTTTAATACTTAAAGCTATCTACGTATAACATTTATTTTTATTTTTTCGCTAGGGATAGCGTAAAATATGAACAACAGAGCGAATAAATAAATATTTTCTTTTTAATTTGAATTTTTTTTAAACGTGTTAAAAGATATATCGCCTGATTTGTAATTTTGTTTCGTATTTTACTTAGAATTCCAGAGAAAATGGCAGAGGCGCCTTCGTGGAGCAAAAAGGTTCTATGCAGGTATACTCCCTAAGAACAAAGCTTTATGTCAATAATTATAGCAAAAAACTTGAGAAGACATATCCAATGAACAAAATATAAAAAGATTTGCCGTGTATTTTGCCCACGTAGGCTAGAATATTGTAAATCAATTGAGGCCAAATTTTGTTTTGATTTGCAATTTTTTGTGAAAAATATTCAGCTTTCAGATAGCTAGAGAATTTCATAATAACTTTGTAATTTTTGTCATTGTTAAAATACCATATATCCACCTACCTAAGTGTTTTTTTTACTCTGGATGTGTTACTGAGTTTATAGTTTGTAATCACAGATATTGGCCAGATCGTTTTGTAGTAGGATCATAGGCTCAAAGAATAATACAGAAGATACGACACTAAATTGGAAAATTTCGAAAAAAAAGTGACCACCTTTCAAAACGTTCCTTATACAAAATGGTACCTGTTTCCCCGTGACAGATTTTGCACTTATTTTATAGCTGAGATCTTCATCTTTCTATTTCTACTTGTTTGGTTCGAGTAAATAACCTATGGATGCAGTTATTTGACTTTCAATACGGCGAATATTTTTCACGAAATCCGGACTCTTGTGTGTCCAAATATCATTGTAATGATGACGTCACATTTCTGGAACCACGGGAGCAACATTCAGATTTGGACAGACAAGAGTCCGGCGATAAAATATCACTGTTTTGGCCTCTTATCAACGCAGTATTGCTTGAATAACGGCCATTGGTGATAAAAAAGGTAAAGAATAACAAGACCCTTCGAATGAGGTATGATTTGTCTCATATTTTTCAGAAATGGCTGCCGAATCGTCATTTTAAAATTTGAAATTTTCTGAGGTGTCTCATCTTGAGGAAATATTATTGAGCTACTGATTCTACTACAAAAGAATCTGGCCGGGATCTATGTTTGTAATGTACTACTTTTTTCAAGGCCTGACTGCGTCGCTAACATGCTAAATATAAGAGTTAGCTGACGTTTGGGAGTCTGACTTACCTTCTAAAGGTTAGAACCATATCACCTTCGTTGCGTCGATGATGATGCATAAACATAGCATTTGATAGAAATTAGCGTAAATGCTTTTCCGACTTTTTCATTTTTCATCAATGTTGACTTCCGGGAAGGCGTTGTAGCATGGGCATTATCACGAAATAACGCATTGACCCTTGAACTTTACTTTGTTGACGTGTCAACCAAGCATGTCTGGTGTGAAAATTAAAAGAATATTAAGCAATGTTCTACATCCGCCAAGCTAAGTGAAGTAGTCAATATTTAAAATTACCAATTTCAAGTGAAGTACGCAACGAACGAAACTGCGTGATCTACACTCCCACTATTGGTCTGAATGAAATGCTACGTAGAAATATGAGCCGTCTGCTGTATTAGTCGATTAATAGAGTAAGACCTGTTGGTGATGCTTTATAATTTAGACCAAAACATTGAAGAACAAACGAACCTGTAAATCGTGAAAACAACGAACAAATATTCGGTTTTCACATATGTTCGGTAATTTTTCGTATTGAAACTTCCGGAACTTACAAAAAAATCATTCATTTTCTCGATCCATGATTTACCTCTTGGATGTTGTGGCAAATGCTCCATGGTTGACGGAACAAAGGTGATATGGTTTCATTAAGATTCGGGTTCTAACCTTTAGAAGGTAAGTCAGACTCCCAAACGTCAGCTAACTCTTATATTTAGCATGTTAGCGACGCAGTCAGGCCTTGAAAAAAGTAGTAATGCATCTAGAAATTTTCGAAAAAATGAGGTTCTCTAAAACTTGCCCTCAGTCATATCATGATAGAGCCCATGGTCATATGGTCCCCCAATATCTCACTTCAACTAGGACAGCACCAGTTTCCTTTTGTAACCACTCTAGCAATGAAACGTCCCTGTGCATGGTGTCTGGGGAATTGTAGTGTAACAAGTCAGGAAAGGGAGTGTTCTAAAATTCAATGCTGTGTGGGAATTGAACCCAGGACCTTCTGCTCCAAAGTCTACTACTTGAGCCAAAGGGGCAAGGTGCTACAGCGCTGTAGCAGCAACTTGCTATCGAGGATCATCCTCCCTGAAGGACGATGTCCATTTGTGACTAATTTACAAGGGCAAATTCCACTTCTGACACCAATGAGTTGCTCCAGGACAGCACCAGTTTCGTTTGTAACGGCTCTAGAGCTTTTAGACTATGGATCCTAGCTTTGATTCCCACATCGGGCGTTGAATTTAGCACACATTCTTTCATGTCTGTATCTGGTTCATATTACACTCTCCTCAGAAGTTGGCCATTTCTCTGAAGTGCCCTCAGGTCATTTTATTGGTGTTTGATGTGAGATCTCCCTCACATCAAGGAAATTTCATAAAAACACCTATTTAAAACCAAGAATACACCAACCCATACTTTGCATGTATTTTCAGGTATTTTGCTCATGGAGTATGCAGAGAAGGTGATAACTGTCGCTACGCCCATGATTTCTCACGTCCCCCAGACTCAACATGTCGTTACTACCTCATGGGGACTTGTTCCTATGGAGATAAATGCAGGTTAGTACCTAAAGAGAAAAATTCTGGGGTCAACCCAGTTGTCCGAAACCCAGTTGTCCGAAACCCAATTCTCCGAAACCCAGTTGTCCGAAACCCAGTTCTCCGAAAATAAGGGGATCTTATCAAAAAATACAATTTTTTAAAACGAATCTTGTCGCAACCTCTGCGAATCACGACAGCATAACATTTGAATCACGTTGACATGACATCATTGCAAAATTAGGCTAAATATGCGAAGTCAAGACGTTAATTAGCCCACGAAAGTTCATGGGTAACTTGAGAACTACAAAATACAACCAAATACTTTTCGAACTTACAATAGCAACATTTCTCACCTAACGTCTTCATAGTTTTAGGAACGTATTTTAAACGCATGATAGCCAAATATATCAAGATACTATATCTGCCTAAATGAAGTTAATTAGTGTTGACAAAGTTTTGAAATATATTTTATCCAGATCCATCAGAAATTAAGTTATCCAATACATTACTTTACTAGTTCTAGTATCTTGCATGACTCGTTCATAAGAATTCTTTAATTCCATCTCCCGTTCCTGCCATTCTGGTAACGCCATGCAATGGATGCAATTCAAAGTGAGAGCGAGATTTATGAATATCAGAATGCGTCCATGCCATTAATTTGGCCAAATACATGGCATGAAACTGACGTAAGCTTAAGTAAGTTACGCCCCCCCCCCCTTTCTCTGTTAAATTATGACTTTATTTTTCGGAGTAATGGGTTTCGGACAACTGGGTTTCGGGGAATTGGGTTTCGGACAACTGGGTTTCGGAGAACTGGGGTGTACCCAAAATTCTTGGTTTTGCAAGCCTTCAGATGAACTGAAAACTTTGTTGAAAAATGAGTTCATTGTTCTTATGTTCTATATCAGAGTCACCAATAATCACTAATTAACTTAGTGCCACAAATGAGACTAATAAAATGGCATACACTGTGAGGATTAATGCATGATTAATTAATTATTCAAACATGACTGTATTCACACCTTCTATAAACTGTAAACAAAGTCAATGCTTCAGCTGGGTTATATTCGAGATCAAATCCCCAGCTCTGTACTAAGTGTTTCGCTCAGTGCACTCATTGGTCAGTTTAGGTCGTTCGGGGTACAGAAAACGTTTGTGCCTAGACCCTGCGGGGTGTATTCGAAACTAGTAGCCCTGCTCTTCAGTCTATATTTCGTCGCATGAGAATAACTTTGTACTATCTCACATTTTTACGGAACTGAGAAATCAAGGTTTGAAAGTTTAGAAGCCTGTATCTTACTTAGTATTGCTATGTGAAACTTGATTTTTTGTATGTCACCTGGTCTCACCCTAGAGATATCTTATATGAAATATCATACCTTGAAACAATTTACAAGATCCTTTTTTAAAACTATGGAAATGGAGTTGATACAATTTCCCACCGGAATAACAGCTTATTTCTAATTTCAAATTGTCATATCTGATATCAACTGTTTCAACCAATCAACTCTCTAAGAATTGGTCATGTGACTTGCAAAACTTGGAGTTATAACAATCTTATAGTAAAACAAAGTATGCCAATATGCATGTTATTGTATCTAGAATATTATTTAATAAAATAAAGAAAATTCAATTTATAAAACTTTAAAATCAATTTCTCAAATAAGTACAATTATTTCTAAATTTTGGAATCTCAGGACACCCTTCAAAAAGAATTTATTGCCTTTGAAACTAAGGCAGAAGTACAATACATTGAAACCAATGATGCCAATATGGTCCCCCACATATTTCCCTCGGTATAAACCCTGTAGCCTAAACCTCCCAGCACATTACAATGTAGCCCCTAAGGGCCGGTCCGCTGGTCATCATCAGGTTATTTTTGATACAGACCAGTTGATTTTTACACTGGGTATAGGAGAATAACATTGCAATTGGTCCGTAATTCCATTTTGACCAGCAGGTTTCAGATCCTTAGGGCCTAAGACATAACCAATTTTTATTACATGCACATGGAAGAAATTTGAAAATAGAAAAATAATTTCTAATTCATTTTAGATTAATGAAAGTGATGAAACCTCGATTTAGGTAATCACATTTTGTTCATTGGGATGCAGCTATCATTATCCATTCATTTTCTGTTGTTTGCTACTCTGTGGAGTACAATTGGGAATTGAAGCAATTGTAGAAGTGGAGACTAAGAGTGGCTCTTTGTAAAGAAATTGAACCAATTTGTTACTTTTGCAAAATAAAATGTAGATGATCTAAAAACAATGATCCAAAAATGCAAAAGAAAGGACAAATCTGAAAAACATACTAGTAATAAAATAACTAAAAAGATCCCAGATGTTCAGTGAAAAGCGCAAAGTAAATCATAGATGAAGAGAAAATAAAATAAGTGTTTTAAGGAACTATACTAACATAAAGATAACTCCTTATTGATATAGTGTATGGTCAGTAAAAGTTAAAGCTAGTTTAAATAGATTTAGCTTTTTTCCACAAACTATAAAACATCATTTTGAAAGAGATTTCAATAGTATACAGACAGTGATTGCCTTTGAGCAATGTAGTGCAAAATATGACAGTTACTATTTGTTTTGATTACTATATCTAGTATATAACCTATTATTATGTACTCTACATTTCTATTTGAAGAAACAAGTAAGTAGTCTTTCATTTTCAACATTTAATGATGACAGCTTCGTATATGCATTTCTATTGCATTTGGCCATTCAAACCCCTATAAGACCTGGTAGCAGGGAAGATAAAGGGTACTTTTGACTGCTCACATGATCTAATTAACTGGTCATTTGTACTTTTCATCTTCCCTGGTAGCAAGGATTTAGGTTTTCAAGGAAATAGTAATTCTATTTCATATCATGTGGCCATGAATAATCCAATGAGCATCTGTAATACTTAATTGAGGGCATATAATTTGAATATGCATGGGATTACACATACTGTATCATTTTATTTTTTTGATCTACTTGTAATAGTTCTAAAACTAAAACATGAAAGGCCAGGCATTCAAACTGGCATGGTATTGTGTTACAAAACATTATTTCATTCTAGATACAATAACATGCATATTGGCATTCTTCGTTTTAATATAAGATTGTTATAACTCCAAGTTTTGCAAGTCACATGACCAATTCTTAGAGAGTTGATTGGTTGAAACAGTTGATATCAGATATGACAATTTGAAATTAGAAATAAGCTGTTTGTCTGGAGATGGTACAATTTCACACTGAATTCTAGCTTAATGAGAGGGAATTGAGATGGGGCATGTATCTGAGATGAAAGCCTGTGTTTCAAATAGTAAAATTCCATGTCTATCTCAATTTTTTTGAAAATGGCAGTTAGTACAAAGTTATTCTCACGTGACGATTTCTTAAATTAGGAATAAATCTTAATGAAATCATAAAAAATGATGGAATGCATGACACATTGAAAGCAGGATACAAAATTGCAGGCCTGTAGCTATGAGGGGGGGGGTCAAACAGACTATACAGTGTTATCTTTTTGGCTCACAAAGTGAGCCTATGGGATTGACCAGGCGTCCGTCCGTCCGTCCGTTGGTCCATCCGTCCGTCAACATTTGGCCGCACAAATTAAAACTGCTATTCAGATTGAGTCATATCCACATTCATTTAATGCATATCCATAATGCCTATTTGACCTATCATCGCCATATCCCAAGTTCGCCCGGTTTCCGAGAAATTGCGGATTTTGACGTAGTCAACTTTTCTGTAAATACTAGACACTTTGTTGAAGTAGAACTTTCAAATAACTGTTAGTAGTTGGTGTATATGCAACTTATGTCTTCTGAAGATATCAAAGCTCTTGGAATTACGTTTTTTGGTGTTTACTCTATAAAATTTGAAAAAAAGTAGGACTTGTCATTTTCAGGAAACTTTCTCATGTATAAAGTCAATGGCAGGTTTTGTGATTGACAAGATTCTTAAAGTTTGCCTTATACTTGATCATTTCCTGCAATAAATTACATCATTAATAGATTTAAGCATTCCCTACATATTTCTCAATATATGTCAGCATCAAATTTTTACCGTTTTTGAAATATTTGACGTCAAAAAACAGTAATAATAAATTAATTTTCAACTTGCTTCAATTTGACCTAATTTTTTTTTGAAAATCATCTACAAGTTGCCAGGAGTTCAAATCTGACATTAGTTTTATGATTTGACCTTTACTTGACCATCAGTGACCTTCAAAAGGTCAAAAAAGTTGATTTTTCAAATTGATTTTTGGATGTATATTTTGGTCAGCTTAATCACAAAAGACCTTACTGAGCTCTGAATAAGTAAAATTTTCAAGGTCAAAGGTCATCAAACTAGGTCACATAACTATGCTATCTAAGTTTCTCAAAGTTCGAGACTACAAATCCAAATTAATATTTTTGTTTGAAAGTCAGGATATAAATTCCTCTAAAGGTTCCAAACTGTGCGAGCATAGGACCATGGGTCCTTCATTTATTTCTTTAATTTGAATGCATTTAAATTATCATAATAAAATAATTTATTATATATACTTGGTATGTCATGTCTGATTCTGTTGTAGATTTGATCATGAAAAACCTAAGAAGGCATCACATAAATTTAACCTCAAAGCTGATGAGAAACTGAAGTCCAAAATGGTAACCCTAAGAAAGAATGGAAGTTACTCCTCTGACAGTGGATTAGGAGTGGATGGCGGCCTTGGAGAAGATTGGGCTAAAGCCCCTGAGTTTGTTCCTGGACAACCTTTTGCAGGTAACGGCGATTATCATTTACACAGAAAAGTTGTTATCAAATTAGGGAAAAATGCAATTATCAATGTGATGCATCGTGTTATAATCTCATTCTCAAGCTCTCTCAGTAAATTATCAATACATCTATAAGATGTAAGATCTCCATTTCTTATAAAATTGATATCATTGTTGCTGGAAATTTGCTATGTAAATGTAGACTTTGCTAAGCTATAAGGTCAATGGCAATATTACCGTTTGCATATTTTGTTTATTCATCAAAGAAATCAATGTTTAGTGTACAGGCAACTGACACCTTTTCGGGTGTATATAGTTACATATGATTATTGTATACTGAGTTTGTAAATTCCAACCATGTTGTTGACTTGTATCAAAGTTATTTTATATTTAGAGGTAAATAAAGAATACAATATATTTACAATTTAATCAGCTAATCAGAATTCAGATATATTGAGGTACAAATATACGTTTTGTATGGATTAGAAAAGTCTCACAGAAAGGAGTTGAGTTTAGTTTCTAAATATTGTTAAAAGAAGAGAATGTCTCCTGTTTTAGTTTTAATGGATTTGGACATTTCTTGACATCTTAAATCTTTAATTACATGTACTTCTATATTTATCCCTTAAATGTTTTATTTGACAGTACCCAGCTATGCTGACAAAACATCAAGTGGCCTGGATTGTGACGTTTCACCAGAGGAAACTGAGAACATGCTGTGTCCCTTTGCAGCTCATGGCGAGTGCCGATTTGGTGATAAATGTACATATCTTCATGGTGACACATGTGATCTTTGTGGACATGCAGTCCTTTTTCCTGGAGATGAAGTGCAACAGGCCAAACATAAAGAGGTAGGTTACTTTAGGATCTGTATATTCATGTACATGATATCCGAGGGTGCTTTCTTCAGGGAAATTCCATAGTCTATAGCAAAGCAAAAAACATGAAAAAAACTTGAGTAAGTCTGGTTCTCTTCCAAATCTGACAAGATTGCCTCGCCCTCTTACCTTCAACGCCGTTGAGATTAGTCATAACATGAAGCAATAAAAGTATTGATTTTATCTATTGTAGACTTTGACAATTGTTATTACTATTTGATTTTTATGGTAGCCCCAAGTAAGATTATTTACAGATTTGTACCAGTTTAGCATCCAGTTTGAGTTATTTAGAAAATTGCATGGTAACTGGGGTCAAATGTACCAATTGCAATTGCAACTTGGGTCAAATGTACAAATTGCATGGCAACCTGGGTCAGATGTTCAAATTGCATAGTAACCATGGTCAAATGTACAAATTGCATGGTAACCTGGATCAAATGTACAAATGGCATGGTACATATAACCTGGGTCAAATGTACAAATTGCATGCTAACGTGGGCCAAATGTACAAATTGCATGGTGACCTGGGTCAAATGTACAAATTACATGGTGACCTGGGTCGATTTGTACAAATTACATGGTGACCTGGGTCAAATGTACAAATGGCATGGTACATGTCTAATTGAAAGCCCATGGTCAAATGTACAAATTGCATGGTAACCTGGGTCAGATGTATGAATTGCATGGTAACCTGGGTCAAATGTACAATTGCATGGTAATCCTGGGTCAAATATATTACTATCCATTAGAGGGGTGTTCCATGAAGATGTTTTATTATATGGATAATCATTAACTCAAATTTTACAGGAGTGCATCAAAGAACATGAAGAAAACATGGAGAGATCATTTGCTATAGCCCGCAGTAAGGACAAATCATGTGGTATCTGTATGGAGGTCGTCAAAGAGAAGAAGCCATCAACAGAGGCTCGATTTGGTATCCTACCCAACTGCTCTCACACATTCTGTATACAATGTATAAGGAAATGGCGGAGTGCAAAACAATATGAACACAAAGTTGTCAGGTGTGTAGTCAGTTTTTATAGTGCCTAAAAAGTAGATTGTTATCAGCTTGATAGGCCTCAAGCAAGCACAAGGCCAAACTGCTGGATAGATTGATTTTACATTTTCTAGAGTGCTGTCAAGGCCATCACATAGGATTGGCATATTGATCAGTTAGTAGTGCATAAAATTGATGATAGATAAGTATGCATAGAATTGATGAAAAATTTTTCTTCATATTTTTCGTCATATTAAAAAAGCTGCATCTAATTAATTCAATACATTTGCAATACTATTATCAATAATTCAAAACTTCAACATCTTGAAGTTGATACAAAGAGCCCATTAAATGTTTTTAAAAGTTTTTTAAAAATTAAATTCATGGAAGTTTTACATGTTTTGCAGGTCTTGCCCGGAGTGTCGCACAAAGTCAGATTTTGTAGTCCCAAGTCAGTACTGGGTAGATGATAAAAAAGAAAAAGATCAACTTATTGAAGGATATAAGGGTGCACTTAGGTATGATTTTCACCCTTTTCCCCACTTTCCCCTTCCTTCATTTCTTTTTTTGTACCGGGGAATGGGAGTTTTATCATTTTATAATAGATTTCATGCAAAGCTAACTTTTCCCTTCACCATCTTAAGAAGCAAAATTAAACTTTCATAATTTCATCTAGTATCCTATTCACTGTATTAACATATCAACTACAATTTATCAAACTTATCATCAAATTATAAGAATCTTTGATTGTGCCTTCAAAGATTATCAATTTTTCTGATGATCAATTTTCGACAATATTATTTTTCATATTTCATGATAAGATAAAGACTTGAATTTTACCTTTTTATCATCACCCTTTGAAAAGGTAATTTTACCCTTCTTATAATCGCACTTTAAAAGAGTGCTAACAATGTTTCTAATATTGTCAAACCATGTTCATCATTTTTGCTTGTAGTCAAAAGGGCTGTAAATATTTCAACCAAGGAAAAGGAGAATGTCCATTTAACGAGAAATGTTTCTATAAGCACGCATATCCAGATGGTACCATTGCAGAACCTACTCCACGTCGTAAACGACATCGTCAAAACCATGGTGGCGATATAGACTTAATACAGCAATATCTTCTTTGGGACTTCCTAGAAGAACGTCAAAATAGACTCATGTTAGAAATAGGCATGGATGATGAATTAGATGATATATTCCTTTATGCAAATTGGGACACTGACACAGATTCAGACTATTCTGATTCCGAAGTTTATTTAGGTCTATAAAACAAATTGAGTCTATGTCGAAAACCATTTATCCCCTGTAAAATGAACCATGGTGGTCATTTTCAGCTTCCTATGAACGAAGAACAGAATGCCACTTCAATTTGAACATCTTTGCTGTGTGAACACTTTGAACACTTTCCTGGGCAGGCATTTTTGGTGCAATTACTCCATTGGTTCAATTGTTCCATTTCTCTGAGATAGACTTTTCCATCCCAATCTTGTACACTTTTTACTGGATCCTCAACATGTTAGTTTGAAGTTTTTCATCTTCTGTTAAAGATTAATTTTTATGCTTGTTTACATTATTAACTTCTTTCTTTCACAAAAACAAAAACCTTGCGAAAAAACTTTATGGGAGTACATGATCTCTGTAAGTAGCCCATGTTAGTTTGAAAAACCGATAATAGGCCATATTTACCTGAACAAATGGACAATATGGCTTTGTAGCAAATGAAACCCATGGTTATGAAACAAATTGGCCCTGTGCAGTGATCTCCCCAGGATTTTTCTCAAGTGGGTGCAAAATTCTTATATTCACAATTCACACCAAAATTCGTCAAAATATGCCCATTTTCATGATATTTCTCATTTTCAAGTGGGTGCAAATGCGCCCACTTGCTTTAATGCTGGGAAGGTCATTGCTGTGGCTATATGACAAATAGGTCCCATGGCTATGTAGCAAATGAAACCTATGCCTATGTAGCAAATAGGCCCCATGGCTGTTTAACTAATGAAACCTATGCCTATGTAGCAAATAGGCCCCATGGCTATTTAACTAATGAAACCCATGGCTATGTAACAAATGGGCCCCATGGCTATTTAACTAATGAAACCCATGGCTATGTAACAAATGGGCCCCATGGCTTTGTAACAAATATGCCCCATAGCTTTGTAACACATAAAACCCATGTCTATGTAACAAATGGACCACAAACTTACATCACATCTGTAGCCTATATAATGGTGATACCTTAATATACCTCATGGAATCCCAACCCACTTAATTAGTTAATATAACATATTGTCTCAAATGTCTCTTTGAGATATATAAATGGTCCCCTTGTCAAAGTGTGTATCAAATAAATGGAATAATGTATTGCGGCTTATTCAGAATTGAGATCGTCACTTTGTGAACAGAAGCGCAAGCACATATATGCATGCCATGGCCTATGGCATTATTTTTGCTTCTTTATTCATCAAATTCAAATATATTCGATATATGAAACATTTATATTCGCTAAATCATTTTTCCATTCGGTAAAAACGTTTATATGTTTGTTACAGCAAATAAAGTTTTCAAAATAACCAATCACTTAATACTATGTGCATCAAATTACATATTTCATTCGTTAAATGATATTTTTTGCGTAAATTGTTATGGTATTCCTTAAGAGTAACACATTATATGCACAATATTGAATTTCTATTTGAACCCTACCGAAATAAGTTTGCCTATATTTACCAAATGGTTTATTTTTCTACGACATAGTTAATGCATTTTACCGAAAGCTAATTTGCTATTTACCGAATGCAATAAAATTTACCGAATGCAATAAAGTAATATTCGATAACTTGCGTTGTTGTTCGATATTTTGTCACGTGACTTCTAGATTTGCAAAATGGCCGCGCAGCTATTCTACATCGTACAAATATATCACGTGACTGAAAGTCTCGTAAATTATCCAAAAATAACGAAATTTATCGAACGTGGCATTCGGTATTTACCGAATATAAATAATTTAAATACCGAATGTACAAATAATTAATTGAATTATACATGCGTTAAGGAAAACAAATTGATTCGCTGCATCACACAAATACATGTACAAATATCAAATGTGAATGTCAATACAAAGAACAAGTGAAACTATTTAGCGAATATAAATTGTATAGATTATTACATTTGATAAAATAAAAAAAGATTCTATAGATTGGGTAAAGGTTTGGTAAATTGTTTGTTTTATTTGGTATTTATGGAATATTAATGTACCGAATAAAGAAGCAGTTTAAACACCATAATGGCCCTGTATATGTTATATACTCTAGCCTGGATTGGAGGGGATGGATAATATTTATATCTTATGTCAAAACTAGTTATTGATTATCCCGGGGCACTGTCAATTCAGAACTTCTCAGGTTTTAGCGAATCAGATTTAAACAATTACTAAGTCATATGTCTAATGAGTAATGAGGTAACTGGTATTGTCATTATGATGTCACAATGGGCAATTGATACATTTGCAGGTTTATATACCGTGTATCAGACACAGTGCATGTATACTGTATAAATGCATTTATACCACTCTAAGTACAATTACAGTTGTATAACATGGGTCTATAACAACGATATACAGTGGAGAGTGGTATATCGTCATCGTATACAACTCCTCCGTATATAGTACTCCAGCGTATACCACTGTAGAAGTGCATTCTGGGAACTAATGAATAAAAAATCATGAAAATTTTCACGATTTCCTAGAATCAAGTGACGTCATAAATGGTTCCGGCATGATTTGCTAGAATCAAGCCACGTCATAAATGGTTCGAGATCAACATCAGCATTATTGAGTTGGCCATGGGATATTTTTATGGTTTTTAATTGTTATGATTGTGTTCGAATCAACTGTAATTGAACTTAGAGTGGCATAATAAGATAATATAATGGTTCTATATATCGTGCATTTTATACTCTCGTGAGAATATAATATATTCACTCGTTCGCTACGCTCACTTGTGAATATATCATATACTCACTCGAGTATAAACACAATATACAGAAAGAACCATTATATAACCTCATAGTATGTACTTTATGAAAATATTGATAATATTGGTATAGATACATACATGGATCATCTTTGAGATGGTCACTGCAATGAATAGTCAAGCTACCATTCACTCTACCTGACTTAACACCTTTTCTGTGTGCAAGGTCTTGTAGCTAGACTATGCAATGAACAGCCTTATCATGACAACACTAGTTGCAACATGTCAAAAGTCAAACTGCTGAGCTACAGACAGAATCTACAAGCTTCTTTCTCTTTCCTAATGTAAGGTGGTGTGAGTTTGGATATCACAGAACTAGAGAAGTGGATGAGAGACTTCCATTGGAAAAAACAAAACAAAAAACCTATGTTTGCCACAAGAGGTGCTGTAGGTTTCACATTCTCCGCCACCATTTTATATTACCATTGATCTTTTAGGATGACATCATTGGTATTATTGATCATGCATGTGCAGTTAGACTGAAATCTACAGCGCCTCTCATGGCAAAATAAGGATAAGACAAGATTCCCCGTGCTTCCAATCCATTTCTACAGGTCTGCGAATATGTAGCTCTGCTTACCCTGGGGGAAAAACCCCAGGGTAAGTTGATTGAGCCAAAAGTAGACATGATATATGATGTCATAGATGTTAGAATATCCAATGTATAATGTCACAATCCGTATAGGCTATTTGTGATGTCACAATTCATATATTTGTGATGTCACAACTAAATTATGATGTATAAGATAATATTGTACTACATTGTATGTTGCAATCTGTATTAAGATAATATTGTACTACATTATATTGTCATATACTGTATAAGATAATATTGTACATTATTATATCACTGTCAAATTCCTCACTCTCTGATTGGTCCATGTTCTACACGTGAATTAAAACAACAAGCAATATTCAACAGAAGTCACGTGACTTCCGTTTAATGTCACATTATATTCACCAGTGTCCGACTAAGTCCAGTGTAATTTTAATTTTATATATACTCAGGAGTACATAGTCATTATTTATTAGATATGAATAGTTTGTTATTCCATTAATGTGAGTGAGGAATATAACAGTGAATAATGATTAAATATGATAAAAGTAATGAAACAAATATTTAATTCTATTTTTGGTGGATACCCGTGACACTTTCACAAGACGATATTCCACTAGCCCTTCGAGCTTCGTGAATGAAGAGGTATTCACCTCAAAATAATTAAATATTGTTATGGTATAATATTGTATTGTCTAATAATGTATAAGATTATATTTTATTGTGTTAGATACAATATTGTTTATATACTTTGACAGAATAGCCCATGCTTACAATGTCATTTCAGTCAAGCTAATCTTCCAGTTTTTTTTTCAGAATTTGAATGAAGTAATTTTTTCTTGATAAAATGTCCATTCTATTTATTCCTATTATAATAATAATATAATATCTATTCTACAAGTTAGATGGACTGGCTTGACATTCTTAATAATTAACAGGTAGAATTAAGAATCCATTTAACTGAATTTTGTAAAATCATTTCATTTAGCCTAGAATGTAAAAGTAAAAACACTATTGCAACCTTATAGGGGTCTACAATACATAGAGTAAAAACATTTAGCTGCATTAATGTTAGATGAAATACATGTGTTTATGTAACGACCTTTGAAATACATATGTTAAGACATATCTGTGAGTGTGATCTAGGAACTTAAAATGGTTACCTAACGATATAATTATATTTATAGAGAACATTAATAGCCAGATAATATAACTATAGGTATATGTATTGTGTAGAGGTTTTCCTTGTTAAATGGGTTATCATTCAACGTGATCCATTGGAATAATTTCCCCTTGGAGCTATTAAATCAATTGTTCCAAAATCAGTTTGTTGTTTATTGTTTAAGTTGTTATATTTTTATTATCCCATTGAACGAAGTTCGGGGGATATAGAGAGTGGTTCTGTCTGTCCATCCACATATCTGTCCATCTGTCTGTGCAGGCAATAATTCAAATACCGTTGGCCCAAATTTGTTCCGACATAATGTCCCGAGTTCTGCTAGAATGATTTTGGAAATGGCTGTCAGTTTCAAAATGGCTGCCATTTCAGTGTCGATTTTACAGAATTTTAGTTACAACATATAAAACTGTAATATTAATATGTTTTAATGCAAAAAATTATATAGGATAAGACATATTGAGTTGAAAATCTAATTAAAAAAAAATCACAACTTTGAAAAACGGTGACATTTAAACGCTATTTACGATTTTTGCTCATATCTGATGTGTGACTACTTTTAAGAATGGTACACTTTCTTATGACACTTTGGCAGCCATTTTTATATATGGTAGCCGTTTATAGGCCGTTTGATGGGATTTGCTATGCCGTGGCAGCTGTTATCTAGTTGTACACGTTATTTCCTTATTTTTTAGAATTTTTCTGAGTTATGATCTGTGTTATTGCGAAATGATAAAAAATCACAAAAAATCTGAATATTAATTTAATTCAGTTGGTTGGTTAGGTAGTTATTATTTTTGCATAAAAATGACTGGTTTAGAAATAACAATATAAATACAAAACTGTATTACCTGTATACCAAGGGCATATCCAGATCTAAAATTAGACTTAAGGGAATGTATTACCAGTGGACTCCATTTCCAAAGTTTTATTTGAAAACAAAAGTGGGTGGAATTTAGACTATTCATATTCAATGATTGTATGCTATATCTTTGACAGATAATTTCTTCATATTGATTCTTTAA